AAATAATGACTAGTCAATAAGCTCGTGTAGAATGGACAGGAACTAGTGGAAAGTCGATAGAGTGTTTTAATATGAAATCTGTATGAAAAAGCAATGTTATTAATAAACATTAATAGAGTGGCGGTAAAATATGGACGATGGAAATAATACTGATAACGAAATAATAGTAGTAATAACAATAACAAAGATAATAATAATAATAGTAATAGTGAACTTACATAATAAAAAAGAAAGAAGCAGAATTATTGTAAGAGCTTTACACTAGCCACGGTAGGGCGAGTGAATGTATGTATCGCTTTTGAATGCAGAGGTTCGGTTTCAGATCTCGAATAGCTAGTGCTTCAGCTATGCACAGATGGCGTATGTGAAGTCCCTTTGTACGATATTGAGGCACTCTATGTAGCACTATGAAGCATTCATGTGAGGGTGCTCAATGTTCGGAGATGACAAGGTGTTTGAGGATAGAGCAGCTGCTATTCTTCTTTTCTCCTCAGGTTAACCAACCTGGACAGTGTTCCACAATACGTTTGTGCACTTGACTTTGCGTATGGCCGATATACGTTGCTTCAGAAGAGCAAGTAAATTGATAAATACACATTGAAGTGGCCAAAAGCGGTATCTTATGATTAACGTCACACTGGATTAACTGTCTGCTGGAGAATGTGATACGTAAGATGGCTGTTGGAAATGTCTTCTTCAGACATTTAGAAAGGTGGTTTCTGAGAAATTCTGCTGCAAAGTCACCTTTGAATTCCAGGTTCGTGAAGAGAGTTTTCTTAGGAATAGTTGTGACGTTTGGCGACGGAGGCTTCGCTTTCTTTCTTTCTCTCTTTTGTGAAGTGTCAAACTAAACAAGTAAGCTCTGAAAGTGGATAATGATCAATGAAGATAGATGGGAGTACTGCTACTACTATAACTATAGGAATTAACAGTAGTTATAAATCTTAGGCTGTTTGATCCTATCAATAGGATGAAAGGTAGCCTGACTGTCTTGTTCTCAAATTCTAACAGTTTAGTGTGTGTACAGTATTCCAAATTTGATCTATAAAATGAGTTGGTTTGTAAGGATGAAATTTGTTTTTACAAGTCTGGGTTCGAACCTCAGTGGGTGCGCACTTCCTATAATTACTAAACTAGGATGAAACAGCTGTCCAGTATTCCCTGGTTTTCAATGTTTCTCTAACTGATATCAATCCGTGATCAAACTCATAAAATGAGTTGTTTTTTCAGTTGATTTTAATTCGTAACAAAATCATTCACCCGACCGATGAGCTGATCCGTACACAGACTGCTCTTGAATAAATTAGTATTCCATGTTTTGTTCTTATTTCTTGAAGCTAGTGCAGTTTTAAAAAGTAGGAAATTTGTCATTAAATAAGTAGACTGGGGTAATTCTAAACAAACTATCCTCTTTTAAGAGTTATAGCAAAATAATTTCAAGTATATCTGCAGTAAACTCGAGAAATCTACATTCTGGGCTGCGAATCCCATCTATGTAAACATTTTGTTTTATTTTCAAGTAAGTATCCTCATTCCCAATATACATTTTTTTTCCGCAAATGTACTGCATTTTTAATTTAGATAATAAGTGAGTTCTGTTTATCTCATCCTTTGTGAAAATGGACAAAATGAAATAATGAAGAAAGAGAAATGCCCAAACTGTGCCATATGAAAATAATGCAAATAGTGTGGGGTGACCTATACCTTACTCATTGTATTTGTATATTAAATATTATCGCATAAATTCATCATTTGAATAACAGTGAGCCATTTTTAGTTGGAGGGAAGTTTCTATTCGCTGTGTGTAGATTATTAAAAGTAAACGAATGAAATAATAAAAAAACAAACATCGTAAACAGGTCACGTACTTTCTAATATAGAACCGTAACAATAAAGAAGTGTGTCCTTCCTATCATCACCTGTTACCATTAAATAATTGACGACATAAAACAAAGTTTGAGTAGTACGCATTTTTAAACAAATGAAAACAAAGTTTCACTTCTTTTGTATGCATGTGTATTATTGTTCTGGCTGCTTCCATAAGTAACCTATTGTTTTCATTTGTCTTTTTATTTTAAGCAAATATCACCCACGGTTTATATATATATATATATAAAGCCTTAGTAGAGAGCTCAGTTTTGTATTATCAGTCAAAATGATAACCAGATTAAAAATTTTAATTTTAATATATCTTTTTGGCTTATTCGGTAAGTCTCATGCTTGTACACATGATAATGAGATGTATTTTATTCATTTACCTTCAAATTAATTGTTTAAAATCTATGAGGGAATTCGTTTATTTTGATAACGTTTCACGTTAGAAAAGTTTCAGATATTATAATTATGATGGGGGATTTCAGTTATCTGTGGATAAGGCACCTGATAATAGCAGAGTTTGGATAAACATACTATTCGATTATGACAACAGTTCCAAAAAATGTTGTTTCCATATAGGTATTTTTAATGTAGCAAAAAAACAACAACGCTGAAATCAACAATTTTATAATTTAAACTCCTTGTTTAGTATTTTTCAGCGAAAGCTTGTCAGAACTAGCTGGGCTTTAGGACTCATCGTGATAGAGTTCGATTTCTGCTCCTATGTAATTCCACACTATGCTGATGTTTAAATTGACATTTAGAAAGCGTTGTATTCTAAGCCTGCTTAGCTGTTTATCTCTTTCATTTAATTAATTCTCTTCAGAGTGTTTTTGAAAATAAAACGTAAGATTTAAATAAGGGAATAAAAAGGCAAATATTGCGAGACGATATCATCTCGTAGTTTCTTCTCGATCGCTTTACAACTCGGAGGGTTGACGGCAGTAAAACATACTTGACGGTTGCATTATTATCGTAACTATGAAATGGTATCATCTTGCAGTACTTGTCTTCTTAGTGTCTTATTTAAATTTACCGAAGGTGCTAAGTGTTTCAGTTTTCTCAACAAAGTGAGATGTATGTGTAAAGACAATCAGGAGCTAACATGGATATACTGATTGTGAGAATTTTAGTGTGTTTTATACCTAACATTAATCAGTGGCATGTTTCATACAGTCTACTGATGTACATAAACTGATTTTGATGCAAACAGTATCTAGATGGAAGTATTAGCGTTTACTGAGTTTGTTTTGTTGCTAAGGTTACGAGAAACGGAGAAAGAATAGCTACCTGTACTTTTGTAACTTATTTGTTATAAGTTTGTGCTTTGTATATGCCCATGGATACTGATCTTACTGACATTAGGTGATCAAGGGTACAGTTATAACATTTCCTTCGTGTGGTATTCGAAAAAAAAACAATCAAATTATCATTTCAGTAAAGGAGTTTACAAATAAATAACCGTATTCGTGCGAGTTGAGTATCTATTTTTTGTGACACACAACGTTAGCAACTGAAAATTCTAGACTCTGAAGAGGAATAATAGCAATTTTTTGAAGTGACTTGCATCGACATTCGCATCTCACATTACATGGGACCCATTAGTGGGTTGTACATGCAATTATATGCAACTTTATGCAATCACTAAGCAAACACTAATTCAAACACTTCTGAATTACCCACAGATCTTAACAAATTTAAGTTCTGATTGGTTTCCTGTACACACGAAATTGTTTACACAATCAAAAAGTAATAAAGACGTTAAATCTACCGAAAACAAAGCGAGATTAAGTAACTAGATCGGCTGATATGATGTAGTTAAGATGATTGAAAGTAGTTCAGCGATGATAATTTAGTAAAAGATTAGGACTGTTAGGTAGAAAGATAATATACGGTAACAAAAGCAGAGTTAGAGAAAGAGTGACCAAAGTTAAAATCCAAAATGTCTTGATGGCGACTCCCGATGCCTATTCAAACACCAAATAATTTTTTTCATTCAGAGCTTGATCCTTATAATATTTGTTTTAATACCTTCTGATGTTTGAAGAGGGTCTCATCCGTACTTTATTAATGAGATTCCCTGTCAGATAACACTAAAACTGGTTATTGGTCTACTTGATTTCCAGAGTCGACCAGATGTTCTATGACCCACTTCATGCGATTCTCTTTTCTCCTTATTGAATCAAGGTGGTGCATGCTAACCTATATGTTTAGAAAGTGACCTTTGGGCACAGATGAAATATCTTGCTTTATAAAAGCGGGTGAATACATAGATGTTTTGGGTAGAATAAACCAACAGAAATTCATAGCTGCATGAAAACCCCAACAATTTTATAAGCTGACTAACCAGATTACGTTTTATCATTTTACGGGAGATTTAAAGCCTAACTTTAATATGGATTTCAGCTACTGTGTCTGAGTTGTGGTGTTCAGTATTTAATGACAGTGGGAATACAGAATATATTGAATCAGTTTTACTAGATACATGATGTTGCATAAACTTATGTAAGGCAAAATGGAAAGTTACTGTTGGGAGGTTAAGTACTTTTACTGCTTTCTAGAGCTGAAGACAAAGAATTGAAGATCTTAATTCTTAATCCGTTTAAAGTATATCACAAGAAAAATCCTTATGGGGAGTTTATATATTTCTGGACGTTTTCATATTATTCAAGCTAAACTGGTATTTTGAATCACTCATATCCTCATTAATTCGTATTATTTTTAAGGATTAGGCTTTCTTTGAAATACAGGATTGAAATTGGTATATGGATATTCATTTTCGTCGGAATGCTTCACTCATTCATGGCATATTTCCTCACTACTAAATCAGGATATCATTATCACGTACATAAATGAATAGGCTGTTTTATTTTTAGCCATTGTTTTCATGCATTACAAATTAAACTACGTTTTTTATATTTTGTCTGGTCATCTAGTTATTCTGTCATCCGGTCAACAGTCGTGTCCAGAGGTTAGCTATGTCACTCCAACTGAGGCAAGCACAGAAGGAGGTTCTGCACTCATGATTTTTGGATGCGGTAAGTATGCAATATTTGTTGAATTGGGGAATGAATGCAATACTGTTTCTATTTTACCACTAAAATCAGTAACATTCTTCATAGTAGATGATCTAGTATTTAAAGTCCCTATCAAAGAAGGAACACCGTCATTTAACTTTCCTGATAAGGATGATATTGTTAGGTATTTTACAGTTTTATAGTATTTATATTAAACCTTACTAAGCTGAAAGGTTATTTCGTCGTCAGATTAACTTACTGTTTAAAATCTGTTTGATGGTGAACATAAATGCATTTACAGAATACAAACAATTTATTTTGCGCTACCAGTCTTAATAGATTTTTATAGTCTGAGTAATTTATTAATGAATGGTTACGGGATACAGTTCCTTGTATTTTTGCCTTTGATTTTTTATTCAAAGCACTAACTGATAACCCAACGGCTAATTTGCAAATCCACTAAATAAAATAATCACTTGTGTCTTCGGCTCACACTTGTGAATGGGGCTAATTCTGACACAATTTACATCAGTGTTTTCAAATCAGTGGAACAAATACGGAGAAATCAGGTCCCCTGCACTTAAAACTTGATTTTTATGAATTCATATGTTCATTCTAACATCAGGTTCGGACTTACATGGCGATCTGGTTACAATGTTGACTGCACCTTCAAATAACGTTATTTAATCACACAGAAAACACTGAGATTTGACATTTCCGGCTTAAATGCATGAAGTCTTAAGTCGATCGGTCAGTTTTCTAGACTTTTGATTCAAGAACAAATTGCTTTGTACAAATATCTAATCAATTCCACTCATGTATATAAATGAAGTAAAAAGTTGTGTGAATGACTTGATATGATTATGAGCGGCAATAGTTTGTGCTCGAAACGTCATCAGTTAATATTACTGTATAACACTGTGTGATTTATCAAAATAAAATCTTATCTATAATGGAGTTATATTCTACCACAGTGCCCAAGTTATATACTTATATCAATAATTGCTTTGCACAAATTACCAAAAGAATAATATTAGCCTTGAATTCCCTTTAAAAGTAATAAGCAACAATTTTTAGTGTACCTTTATGATTTATTTGTCATCAAAACAGTCTCCTTCTTTGAAACACATGTAATTTTACGAAGACGGATCTCTAGAACAAGAGAAGTAGTCATTTAATCAATACAAATCTAGATCTACTTTATCATCTCTGTTATTACAGTAGGCTTTCAAAATCTGCCTACGTAATCTGTACGTATTTTTCACTACCAAGGCACTAACTGTCTATGATAAATTTCAGAATTTCAAGTGTTTATCAACAACTCATCAGCCGTTTTCATAAGGTATTCACCATTTCTGCTATTTCTCTCTATACTTATAATGCCTATCATGCAAAGTGTAACAATTAACTAGGCAATATAAGTATGTTTCGTTTCAGTGAAAAAAAAAATGCAGTTTTCAAATATATTTACTAGCTGCTTAATTCTATGATATCTTTTGGTTAATCATTTTAATTAGCGATCTAAATAATAATTTCTTAGTTGAAAGATTACTTTCAAAGTCAAGGAGGTATTTTTGAACGTTATACTTTAAGGATGACTCTCTTTTAGAAATATCTTGTTGAACATTTAACGCATCTTAGTTTTATATGCGTGTTGTATGAATTCTATGTTGTACAAATATTATTTCAGATTTACAAGAGTATCACAGATCTTTAAGCCTAAAACTGGTGTATACATTGAATTAGTGACAAATATACACAATCCATTGGATAAAAGAATCACTGGAAGTTTACAGAGTGATTAATTTTGCAAGCGATGAGTACACTTTTAAGTTAAAGCCAACATTGAAGCACATAATTTTCTTTTCGGTAGCGAAAATAATTTTGGAAATGAAGTTTTTCTATACTAGATAGTTTGAAGTTATTTAGAGCGAAATGTATGGTTTTGAATTGTCTTATCAAAATTTAATGTTTGAGATCATATGGTAATCAGTCTTTCTCCTCATGAGATCACTGAATATATTTTCACAAACTAATTTGCATAGCACGATAACTCGTAAAAGTAAATGAGAAGAAAATTGACTATAAAAACGATAAAAAGTTTGTACATTACTTGTACATCACATGAGATTCAGTTATATCTAGCACTCTATTACTGTTTATTAATAACATTGCTTTTTCATACAGATTTCATATTAAAACACTGTTTCGACTTTCCACTAGTTCCTGTCCATTCTACACGAGCTTATTGATTAGTCATTATTTCACACTTATTACGTCAAGGCAACTTCTGCCTCTTTTGTAACTCACAGTTAGTCATCCCTTCTTACATCTTACATTGTGTAATACATTTTTCGAGGACAAGGTTGCCAGGATCTGATTGGTCTAAAAATTTCTTTGTTTAATGTAATTACGATTGTACAGCTCTTGAAAATGAATCGTCGGAAAGAAAATTTTCTTCGCTGTTTACGGCTTTTTCTTATGACTCAATTATATTTCTTTTAGATAAGTAATTTTCAGTTGTACAACTGATGTGTTTACAAAACTTTTCATCTTTAAATATTAAAGTCAGAGATATTGATTGATCTTCATTACGAAGGTGTCATGAGCAGTATACTACTGCTCGGTGATACAAGTAGATTTGAACTACTTGTATTCTGCTTCCGTGCAAAGAAGCAATTTCTGATAGCACAGGAAAAAAGATACTGAAGGCAAAAAGAGCAGCCAGCAGACTACAAGAGAAAGCAGTGATGTACTTAAACCTGATCAACAAGCAAGTTAAATGGCTGCCATATCAGATGAATGAAGAAAAAAGTGTATTATGAATGACTTCTTTCAAATACAATAGATAATAGTATTGTAAAATACAAAAAGGAGTACTTTTAATTCAAGGTGGAGTCACATCAGCTGTTTTTCAATTTCATTTATAACTTCAAAGTACATACAAATAAAACTCGTATTTTTAAGTAGACGTTTTGTTACGCTAGATGGCTGGATGAAGTACACTTTTTAAAAACTTGAAAACAAAGTTCTGCAAAACCTAAATTAGCTAACGTGATATCTAAGAGACAACACTACTCCATACCTACAAGTAAACTATGGGTCTAACTAGTCATTAATTATAACACTGGTCAATTTTATGCAAGCATTTCAAGTTAAGAGATATTCCAGGTAATAAGAGGCTAAACAATTATATACTGCTCCTTCATCGGTATCTATCACTGACATATAAGGAAATAACATGGAATCTTCGGTATATTTAAGTAAATCTTAGACTACAGAAGTAATTTAAAGAAGTGCTATACTTATAGACCAAGCTATGATTATCATTCCTTTCTGTCAAGCGGCATGTTGCTTCTGTGTTGTATCATCGTCATGTATCACTTGCAAGATAATTTCTAAGACATGCAGCAAAATACCATAAGTAAATGTGTTCACTGGCATGCAGTGTTGACAATTTTTGTTATTTATTTGCATTATAAAGGTCTGTTGGTTGTTGAAGTATGATCCAAACACCAGGGGTATTTGATTTTAATGACTCATTCATTACACTCCGACTAAAGGTAACGTTACAAATAAAGAAAATTTGTTGTTCGCTTCTTCAAAATTTTGAGTTATAAAATCGCAGATATTTCTCAAGAAATAATTTGCATTAACACTTTAATATATCAAGGCGAGGTATTGACAAAGGATTCCGTTAGAGTTTAATATCTCATAACACTCACAGATTAATTTGTCTGTGAGAATAACAGATCCTTGGGGGTTTGCTTTAACAAAGTTTGTATTACCGTATTTATTTAATCTTATGAAACTAATTGTTTGTCAAATTCACTGTAGGGTTTGAGCAAAGTGCATTTGTATTGCCTGGAACTGATCCAAACTTTGGGAATCGAGTATTTCTGAGAAATGCTTGGCAGACATTTCAGGCAGAGTTAATTGAGGAAGGTGGAAACATGATTAAATTCTCCTCACCGTAAGCTACTATCACGTTTATACTAATTGTAAATCGATGTTTTTTTGCTGAGCTGTTTTTTATGTAAGGTATAATTCCTACTAGAAAGTAATAATAAGAAGCGGTAGTGATAAGGTTTTATGTACTTCCTTAATTTAAACGACATACAGGTGTTCTTATTAGAATCCTGGAATCGACCGCAAGATCATACACAAGATTTTAGGGTCTAAATGAACACCTAAGTATTCAGTTGTGGACTTTTCATCAATTGACATGGCATTAGTCGTCATTTGAAACGTTCTCTAAAAAGTCTTTGAGGACCCATTACATAAGGATCAATAATAATGGTAATTCTTTTGCATTAGTAAGAACACTGCTAGCAGCTGTTGAAATCTGAAGGAAATGAATTTAATTAGGGAATATTAATTTGAAAAATAAGGAGATTATATTTACTAACCTTGGTTTTACAAATAACGTAAAACAGTATATCTACAATTTGAATGAAACAGGAATAGCAGTTTGTCGAGTGTGTTTGTGTACAGTTTGCTTTACTCAAATTCACAAAGGGGAATGGTTGTATGAATCACCTACGATCCTAATATACCTAATGAAAGTTCGCTAAATCTATTGACCTGAAATACAAGTTCTTTGACTTAATTTTCACTAACGAACCAACTTTCGAAAATTATTAATTTATCCAATTATGAAATGAGTTCGGAATAAAAGTTATCTTTGAAAGTGTGAGCTACTGTTGGCTATCAGGTTTTTTGAAGTATTAGCAGAACAAACGAAGAAAAAATCTCAAGAAGGCAAGATTTGAGTAAAGACACTTCTTTAAAAAACTATTAACTTCCATTTCTGTCTACATTTCAAATTATGTAGTGCCAGTGATTTAATCAACAAAAGTAGAATATAAAGCGTAGATTCCCACTGGTAAAGAAGATGACGTTTTCGCATTTTATTGATTTATTACAGAAAACTTCCAGAAGACACTTATACACTGGTCGTTTCCATTGCTGGTGTCTTCGTTCCAAAGGAAAAAATGTGTCGAGGTTTCTCATGCACTATAAAAGTATGAAGCTAATCTATCAAATTTGTTTTAATACTTTACCATCCAGTTTTTTCATGTAATTTCGGTTATTAATCCATATTTTTATGCCAACAGTTATAATTTATAAACGCCACAAACAGCAAAACACTACAGACAGTTGTTTCTAAAAATCAACATCTAGAAATATGAAATAATGATTTTTCGTTAAATCTGCTATTTAAGGAATAGGTTTTATTTTCTACTTTTTGAATCAAACAACTGAAGCAAGCTGAAGTGATTATAGGATCTCATTTTACTTCATCCCATTTTGTTAACGGTATGTAATCCAAAACAATTCTAATAGCAGTTTACAAAATTGTTCACATACGATCATTTTTTTTATTTCTTTCACGTTCCTGAGTGGAACACAGGGCTTCAAGCTAGTGGCTTGAAGTTTCTGTAGCAGTGTTTAATTTTTACAGGATGGGGTTGCTAGTCTCATGCCCAACCTTTCCTCTTCACCAGCATTATTTCTAGCCTAGCGAGGTAAAGGAGTGCGTCAGCCGGGGGTTGAACCCCAGACCATGTGCATGGTCGGCGAGCGTCCTAACCACTATGCCACTGACGCACTACATACGATCATACTGTACTCATATAAATATCTGTCAATCGTCTAATTCAGTACACGAAAAGTTGGACAGATAAAATTTACAGGTGTTAGTAAGCTTCTTGGTATACATTAAAAATTACAAGAATATTCTGGATTTAGAAAAAGAAGAATTCAAAAACCTTCGAACCATATACATAAGGAACGCAGATTATCTGTTTCAGTTCCAGTCAGGTTGTTTGGATTTAGCGAGATCTAAAATTAACCAAGAAAAAAACTTGGCGAATTCTACGCATGTACTTACACGTAACGATACTGTAGGGGGAAGTGGATAAGAAAAAATTATTAAAAATAATATATTTGGTTCCCTTGATAAATTTCGATAGAGAAAGAAATACCAGATTTGCAGTATAGAATGATATCATTCAATTTCGCAGGTTCTCATCAGCTGCAAATTACCTGAAATTACAATAGTTATAAATAATAACATTTCATACTTCAATATTTGAGGGGTAATAGAGAAAATATTATAAGAGGAGCGCATCCGGAATATAAATATTACAATTTTTAGTTAAAGTTGCTTTCAATGGTTATCTAACTGATGTCAATCCGTGATCAACTCGTAAAAAGTTACTATCAATTTATATGTTATCAGACTATGAAAGAAAGGGTGTGTGTGAGATAAGAAAGAAAGCAGAAAAATCTAATAAAGAGTGTTAGCTTGTACGTCAACATGGCAACTTAATAAGGTTAAAGTTGCCCCCAACTGCACTGATAAATTTGCGTGCACCTGTGGCAGCAAGTACATTGGAAGAACAAATCTAATCTTTCTTTCTCTATCGAAAAATAATATAGTTAGGTTCAGAGAGGGTTTATTCACTGAATACTGTTAATTAAGTTAGCACCAAATGTTCGCGTTCAGAAAGATGGCACACCTATCCTGGATATATAGAAGATTACGTAAAAACAACAAAAAACATAAATTTTGCTCAGAATGTCATTCAGTTATCAGATAAACTCATAAGTAATCATAACTTACGAGGGTGCTCAAACTTTACCCTTATATTATCTCTTTCAGAAGTTATAATTCCGCTGTTAACTGTTGAATACTATGCCTCCTCGAAGGTTCATTTGTATATGTACTTATGTCATGCATGCACCTTTTTGTGATAATTATTTCATGATAATCTTTTTTTATCTTGTAGGTTAGAACAGCAGTGACTCCAGTTATCGAAAATGTGTCACCAGTTTATGCTCCACCAGGTATTATCCTTTCTGAATTTAATTAAACACCGCCAATTTCATTGTTTGAAAAAAGTTATGAATGTAGTTGGAAGTTTAGTAACTGGTATTGCCTCCTTACCTTTTTCTTGGTGGTATGAACACTCAAGGCTTACATTCATGTATTAAAAGCAACTCAGCTGTATTAACTTTACAGAAATTACATTTCAAAGAAGTATTAAATTACCTCTGGCTATTTGTAATAAAAGAATATATATGTAGATGTTGGTGTAATTTTTTGTGCATTCGAATACATTTTTCACATGCAAAACTCTAAAATCTCTAGGAAAGCGTAGCTCACCATGGCCTAAAATTTAACATATTATTCAATAGTATCATTATATTATAATGTTATACAAAACATTGTTAGTAACTCTGTAAACCTTAACATCCAGTTCATGTGTGTTGCTTCTTTTCTCATAGCTTCACTTATTGGATTGAATGGAACCATTTTCACTAGCCGATTCAGTTCGAATTTAGATGTCTTCACGGTTGGCAAACCTCAAAGTATAATAAGGTAATTTTACTGAAAGCAGATCATAGTTGAAGCAGTTTCTTTTTCATTTTTATAAGTTCTGAAGCAGTCATAACATAAGACAAAAAATATAGATGGAATAGTACATTTAGATTCTGCTTATTTTAAGAGTTATTTCAGTGAACGTTGACTTAAAATCGTTAATTGGAAGAAATATGTGTTGTCGTAGAATAATTCCCATCAAATTCTGGTTTAGAAATATGGTGAACCCAGTTATATCTTGCCATGACAACACGGCTTTATTCATATGATATTGAAAGAATTTAATATGAGTCAGTTTCGAGCGAACAAACTTATGTAGAAATGAGTTATTTTCTTTGCAATTCCTTCATTTCAATTTCTAGAAGATGTGAATTTGTTTTGCTTGTGAAGTTTGCATGGAAACTAAGGTGGGCAGTAAAAGTTCTCTATTATGTCAGAATAAAAGTCGGCTTTACCTGCTTTGCAGCTTGACAGTTAAGTCGTTAAAAAGAGATATTTCCCCGCCATCTTTGCTGTGATCATCATCGTACTGCTAATTTTTTATGCAACACTTGACCTGAAAGTTTAGAATCTTCATAGCAGTTCCCGTATTTAATAATCATTAAAAGTTTTGCAATTTACCCATTTCAAATCTACCCCCTTAATACATTAATTTAATTATCTTTATTCTTATCATGTGTATATCCACTTGCTCTAGCCTAGAGTTGTCTATTATACTGCAAACTAGAACGTTTGCATCACAATTATGTTATCGTGTTATGATATTTGCATAAGTCATCGTCTAAAAACAATGGCTGTTAGGAGGCTTTTTTTATTACAGCTTGATTCGACACCGTAGTTTTGCTACAGCTATGGAATTTTCAGCATGTGATATCGGTAGCCCCAATTTAGCAGGCCGACCATAGATATCAGGTGTGCGTCGACAGGGGATCGAACCCCGGACCATGTGCATGGTCGGCGAGAGTCCTAACCACTGTGCCACCGATGCACTTAATTATGGAAATATTATACATTGCCAAGCAGATGCTAAGAAGGGCTAGACTTTCACATTAGGTTTATTATTGGACAACTGTTCACTATTCAGATTCTGAATGTCAATCAGATATTCCATAATTTATATTCTCCATCATTACGCGATGAGCCACCGTTGCTATCAATTTATCTCATCTAGAAGTGAATCTCTATAGACTCAACCTCTATTAGTTTCGACTAAAATTTTGCAGTATACTGATATCCCATCATTAAACTGAAAGGTGTGTGATTCGAGACTTTCTATAGTAGATTCTCTGCTTACTTTTGCAATAAAAACACTAATTCCCCTCGTATTTTTTCTTAAAACAAAGAATTTACGACGGTCCAGGGAATTGTGAGCCTCAAAAACCCAACAGTGATGAATAGTAAGTGATATTTTACCGAAAGTAATGATAAATATAATCTAACTTTTGCTTTCTATTATTTATATTTTGGTCGCTTACTGATTTGAAAAACAAAGAATACTAGGATAGCAATGTACACCGAAAACAAATAGAGTCAGATATTTCACAGTTTAACAGTATAGGTTCGACTGTGTGAAATATAATGCAAAGAAGGTAAATTAAATTCAGTTAACCTCACTCAACATAGCGCAATGATAATGCAAACCAGATGACTTTTTCATTTGTTGCAACAGCTCACAGTTCAAGTAAAAATGATGTCGCGTTTCTCCAAACTGATGAAATCTCAATAGTCATTCCATTTGACTGACACCTTAGTGTTATCCTAAATATACCAGAATGAAGTGTACGAATACTCCAAATGACACTTTATGAAAAGCATGTTAATGATAAAGCAGTTCTATTTGATGACGTGGAAATTTAGAGTTGAGGAGTCTTTTTTTAAATGTTATCTGTAAATGCATTTTGTTATAATGTGAGGATGCAAACAAGTCAGACAAACGGGAAGATTAGTAAGCACATATCTTAGCGTATCCTATGATATCAGTGAATGAAAAGTGAGCTAGTCTTTCATCATGGAATTTACATCATAAAATCATTTAAAATATAAGAATATTATTTATGAATGTACAGTATCGTATACAGATTTTTATTCAAATGTGTAATCAATTCCACTCATGTATATAGATGAAGTAAAAAGTTGTGTGAGTAACTTGATATGATTATGAGCGGCAATAGTTTTTGCTCGAAACGTCATCAGTTAATATTACTGTATAACACTGTGTGATTTATCAAAATAAAATCTTATCCATAATGGAGTTATAATCTACCACAGTGCCCACGTTTTATACTTATATCAATAGGAATAGAATTTAGAGAGTGTGGTAGAGTGAAATTCCATTTGTTGAAACGCAATGACACAACATTATATAATGATGGTGCTTCAAGCATAAGTTATTTCCCATAATAATATCAAGATGCATCTTGTTATAAGTATGAATCATTTAGGATAATAAATACATCCATGAGTTCGAATTTATTATGTTTCATTCAAGTACTAGATGAAACTAGTGTATTATGGAAAAAAAACAGTTGTTTATCTTTCCCTGCTATGGTGATTTTATTGTTGTTTTGCTTATATTTAGTTTAACAACATTACTCTTGACCTAATCATCTGATTTCCAGTCATCCGAGTTTAATCTCCAACTTGGTTTGTTTTTTAAAAAGACCTGTCGTGCTAATGTTTTACACCTGGGAGGATCCTGCCTAAATCCCTTCCTGACTTTAGAATATTATTCTAACTATTTCGAATACAGGTATAAACAAGCTTACTCCTATCTCTTATCACTTTATTTATCTTAATACTTATGTGTTTTTTTTTAACAATATAACGTTAATGTTTTTGAAATACAAATCGATTAATCAGTGTTTGTAAATATTCTCGAAGTATATTTATTTTAAAATTATTTTACACTATATGATACCTAAAAGAAATTACCGATTAAAATGTTGTATTCTCCCACTAAATCTATTGTACTTGATTTGTGCAAACTTACCGGTGGGAATAGTTATCGGCAATTAATTTTAGCGGAATGTTTCACTTCAGTAACTTATCTTGAGCAGATTAGTTGGTTTAACTTCTACATCTGAAATCAAAAACAATAAGTAGGATTCTCAAGTTAAATGACTTTAGTTAATTAACTCAGTGCAATCCTTAAATCAATGGAGTTTACCTCTGAGTAAATTTCTGAGTTTAAATATCATCCTAATATCTGCTTTATCATGAATCCTGCATAGGTTTCTGACAGCCATTCTTATAATGATAACGCCTTGGTGGCTTCAAAAGTTAACATATTTATTTACAGCAGAAATCTTTTATTTTTTCTGTAAACAGCAATGTTTTCTTTTTAACTTCAGTTGAATTACTCAGATATCTAACTTTATTTTCCTTAAGTGCATTATGGCTACGAAAAGTCTAAAAATTCAGGAGAGACGAGGGTTTTCAAGGAATGAAACTGAGATAGTCTTCCTTTCTTATTTCGTTTAATAGTCTTAGATAAATAATAAAGCTTTTTCAATTTCTGGCTTGAGGTTGTATGGGATATCATATATTACTGAGTTTATGTTTTTTCCTTTTTATTCCTTCACGTTCCCAGTGGAACATAGGGCTTCAAGCTAGAAGCTTGAAGATTCTGTAGCAGTGTTTATTTTTACAGGATGGGGTTGCTAGCCTCATGCCCAACCTTTCTTCTTTACCAGTCTTACTACTGGCTTAGCGAGGTAAAGGAGTGCGTTGGCCGGGGATCGAACCCCGGACCATGTGCATGGTCGGCAAGCGTCCTAATCGCCATGCCACCGACGCATACTGAGTTTATGTATATATCCCGATTTAGACACAGTAAATGAGTGTTTGACATATTTCCTTCATACCAAAGAAAAAGAATAAAACCTTGTTATAGTTGTAAGTTTTCAACTGTCCATAAACATCTCTTCTGCTCATGAGGATTCACATGATTCTGCTGGACTGACAATTAAAATCACAAATGAAGAGGGCAAATTAATTGTTTTAGATCGCAAAATAAAATATAAATAGGGTGAGAATTCTAGTGCTAGTACATAAAGATTTTCAACCATTCTGGGTACAGTCTAGACTGTGGATTATTTAGTCACATATCAGTATAGGTAGGTCTTGTTAAATGTGTGAATAATTGGTCCAGGGGTCTGATGAAGAATTTAACAATTTAAATACGAAAATGAAACTTACAGGGGAAACGCTTGACTTAATAACCAATCAAAAAGATAATTTTCTGGATTTATACAAGCATAAGGTAGGCAGTAGTATTTATGTAACTAGTGGTCATGGTAGGGACATGAAGAATTTAAGGTGACTTAATTTTTGAAAAACCTATCTTTTTTTTTCAAGATGGTTGAGATAATCTTTCAAAATATGAACTCCTAAAGGAAATGTATATTCGTGAATCATCTGCAACAGTCAGTAGTGCTTCGTTACCTCATATAAAAGTCAGCATTAATTCATAAGATATACTTGGTCGGTTGGAAGAGTGGATACACTTAGTCAGTTTGGTATGTGTATTCATGGTAGCCAACAAAGTCCTCATCTGAGAAATGTCATTAATTCAACTCGACAAATTATTTATCGATTTTTTGAATTAATTTTAAATGTAATTTGTTTTTCAGCTATGGAATTGAACTCATTCCTCCGGGTTCTAATAAAGGCTATATTATATGCAAAAGGAACACTACATACATTGGTAATTCGTATTACAATTTTTATATTAAATCTTAATCACTTTCAGGTTCAATAAACATCACTTTTATCGTGGACTCGCCGTATGGAAGGTGAGTGGGTGTTTTATAATGGGATATCTTGTTTCGAATTCTGTGTATTAAGTTAGTTGTCCACATATGACAGCTTCAAAGACAACAAACACACGTGTCAAATTAGAATATTCAAAAATAGGTGACAGTAGGACAATTCAAATAATAGTATCATCAGAAATTGAGTTGGAAAGTATTATTAGTAAGAGCTCTTCCTACGTAAATGAAATACTTACCACTAGGAAACAGTTTTGGTAGTCCTGTGAAGATTAGGTTTTACTTAGTTCAAATTAAGTAACAAGGTGTTCAGGTGGAAATGCCCCGCAGTTAGGTAGTTATATAACAATTAAGTTATGATAATATTTTCCAGGCTAAGATAAAAAGGCATTAGATGGTTGGAGGCAATCGGCAGGAAGCCTTGGAGCCAGGTTTCGTGCTAGTTGGCACTCGTCAGCAAGGCGTTTCGGGAACCTAGAAGGAATTCATATCCCTTCTGAGATTTGAATCCACGTCACCCATTGATGCAATCAGAGACGTCAATCTGCATCAAAGAAAGGACTAGACACATAACACTAGTTACTAGTGTCCAATCAAAGCATAAAAAGCACTGTTATTATTCTACAAAAATTAGTTGGAAGATAGAAAAGCATAGGATTCCTAACATAGGGTTATAATTCTGTGGTTGATTTTATGTATATCAGCCTGCTACAATTTTTTCACTGGAATATTTTATGTGTCTTGAAGCAGAACTTTCAAAGAACATTTTCTTGTGATGCAATATCAAAACATCGTGATTACAAAATCTGATATGCTATTCCTTTCAGAACCGTTGTGTGTAAACAGTGAATTGAATGTCGAATACGATATTTTGAGGCATTTTATTTTTGTAATTGACCAGTTTTAATTATTCTGAATGCTTGAAGTATTTATTGAGAAGATCATAGTGACTATACGTTGCCTATTCTTTCAAACTGCATTGGATCACTTATTACACTCTTTTGAGAAAACAGTGCAGAAAAACCGAGACACTGTATTGTAGTTCCCCTCTTACACTTTATTTAACTAGTGTGACTCTGTCGTTTTACTATGAATTAGTAGATTGATATTTAAATGACAAATTATGAATAAAGTTGAGGAAGGGACTCAGACCGTGACGGAATTCAAAGTTAAAATAAATCTGATTACCAACTAGGTCTTCTAGATTACTTGATGGAGCTAAGGGCTAGTAACCCACAGAGGTCACTTATCCATCCCAAGTTTTCAAGCAACTTGTAATGAGCAGGCGAATTGTCAAAAATCCGCAACAATTGTATATCATTTTTCATAAATAATTCAAATTGCTTCACAACAAGTTTTATCCATAGATAGAATTGTATGCTTGATATACACATTTACCAGCCAGTACAGCTTGAAAATGCCACAAAAAGGTTTTATTTGACGTAAAAAACAGTGATGCAGTGAATAAAAAAAATTATGTATCACTGCGTGGTATAGTAGATGTTATTCCATTATGAAGTTTTAGTCCTACTGTCTTCAACATAAAAAATTATGCAACTGAAACTTGATTTTTATGAACATACTTTAAATATTTCTTTTTCTAGGAGTACAGCAGCTGAATCCATTTATCGTGTTGACAGAAATGAAAAAACTTATATGCACCAAGCATATGCAGGTAAAATCTTGATAAATGTGAACAATGATAATGAGTTTAGGAATAAAAGTAGCAGGTTACTTGAAATGTCTGTATCTGACACAGTTTCATTTTAACACGTGAATACATTCAAAAGTATTTCACTTCTGTAAAGAGAACAAACATTCTAATGTGTAATTATCCAACATCCTGTTTTTCAGATTATTCACCAGTTTAGTCGAGAAAAAATGCTGTTATGTATATCCTCCTGAGTAAAATTGACATCCATCAAATGTGTCTAGGTCTTAACACTTAGCAGTTAGTGAATCATTGGTTTTTGAACACTATTAATTCGCTACGTCGTCGCACAGATCGAGAGACCTTATTTAATCATGTATTAACTGCAAACGTTCAGCAGCTTTCTACATAACCAAGTGTTACTACTACGATATGTTTTTATAACACAAAGGTTCTATAAATACAGTGTCACTGGTTTAACGTTGAAGAGGAGGGTTTCAGTGATTTGAAATTACCTTATTTTAAACTTCAACCAGAAAGATAATCCCATGACGTAAAATCCAGTGATACACTATTATTTATTTACTGGTGGTGTTTCAACTACAACTTAATGCTTATGATCATATCAGTACACAGATCGTATTGTATCATTGTATTTTATCAAACAGAGTTATTTTATTACGAAATTATACTCTTCCACACTGCCGAAATATGTTAGTATAACAACAAAGGAGATTGTGACTTAATTTGGTAGGACACTCTAAAATCCGAAGCAGTTATCTGCTGACCATTGATTTGGTCCTTTACCTCGCTAAGCCAAAAATAATGCTGGTGAAGAGGAAAGGTTGGGAATGAGGCTAGCAACCACATCCTGTAAAATAAACACTGCTACAGAAACTTCAAGCCACTAGCTTGAAGCCTTTGTTCCGCTGGGGAACGTGGAGAAAAAAAAGAAGAAGAAGAACATTGATTTGGTGCTCTGACGACGTACCTATTAGACAAGACTACTAACCAGGTTGCTGTACACATCATTGGCGAATTAAAATATCTCCTTCTTCAAAAACAGATGCCTAAATTTTTTAGATGAATATTCTGTGTCTCGAAATTCATTACATCACATAAAGAATCGTGAATCGTGATTAACTCTAAGTGATTCAGAAAATATGAACTGTTTGAATACTTTAGCTATGCATTATTGTATAGAACAGATTTTATACCACAGGTTTTACATGTGCCTTATAGATCAACTGGAAACTCATTATGTGTATAATGTGATACAAGAGAATTTTATAGGTAACATGTGAACCTGATATATCGTTAAAAACCATGCCTAATCTCTTGAAATTTTTTTATTTATCAGTCATCAAAGGTGTTTCACCACCTCAAACATCTGCCAGTGGTGGTGGGTTGGTCGAAATTTCAGGAGAGTATTTGGGACCACAGGGCAATGTTAAAATCTTAGTAGGAAACACAAATTGTTCCCCAGTTCGAATGAATTCAACTGTCATTCACTGCATTCTTGATCAGATTACAGATACTTCATCAAATACTGCTTATCCAGGTTTGTTTATAATTTAAACAATACATCTTTCTGCTATTATTGTTATCATTATGATTCATTCCTTGCATCCCGAGTAAGACGCAGGCCTTCAGTGAAACATCTTCACTGCACTCGTTTCTCTGTCATCACTTTGACGTGGCCCCAAGAGTGCACAAGAGATTTCATCACCCCACTGGATGATCTCTATCGTGCAATCCGCAGCCGCCCAACCAGTTGCTTCACAGTCGAATTCTATTCTAGGGCCTGTATAGTCATTTGATGGTATTTTTAACGTATGTCAAATCCATATACTTCTGCAAATTTGTTGGGCCAAAGGATTTTGGTTTGTTCGTTGACACACTTTCTGGTCAGTCATTTGAGTTTTGGAGTCGAGAGAAAGCACGATTTGATGAAGGTTTGCCATTTGTTCAAAATGCCTTAGATGACAAGTGTTCCAGGTCGCTGAAGCTTGTGAAAGCACCAACTTAAAGTTCGTGTTGAAAATTCGAATGTTTTTCATTGTGCTGAGTGCTGCAGATCTCCATACTAATTTCTGAGTGATGAAAGCCTTTCGTGTTTCTCCCCTTCCGACTCTGGTTGGCTTTGACATCCATATTCCTGACATCTGTAATTGGAAGAACAGTGTGTAGATAAGAGCAAAAGACTAATTTATTAGGATTTCTCTCGCTGATGGTGATTGACTGTATGTTTTCATCACCTCTATCTTCTTCGTGTTCACCTAAATTCTTGTATTTTCTGACTTTTCTAATGAATTGTTCATTTTTGCTTGTAAATCTTCAAGTTTGTGCGACATGGGAGATAAATCATTGGCGAAATCTGGTTCCTTTAGAGACACTTTATCGGTACAATGTAGGACTGTCTTCTTGCTCCTCATGGTCTGTTGCATGATCCAGTCAACTTCAGTGAGGAAAATTATCAGTGATAGAAGGCAGCTTCGACTTACTCCTGTCTTGACTTAAAAATCCATACCGAGCTTTCCTTTAGCATGCGGCATACCCACATAGCCGTTGGATGAGGTGATATTGAAACAGTCGTCAAATTAATTCATGGTCAGCGCTACCAAAGGCCTTACCAGGATCGATTAAGTTGACGTACAGATAAAACTGTAAATGATACTGCTGCTTGCTTAGAAGGTATTCTAAGACAGTTTTCAATTAGGATATAAATATACTAAAAGGACAAATAGTCTCAAAACTTGATGGCTCACTGATTCACTTACTATCTACTATCATACTTTGATAAAATATCAGAATCAATCATTTTGTTATCAGTTTAAAAATTACGGCACAGAAGGGCAATAAAGCATAGCGGTTAGGACGCTCGCCGACCAAGCACATGGTCCGGGGTTCAAACCCCGGCCGACGCACTCCTTTACCTGGCTATCCAGAAATAGTGCTGGTGAAGAGGAAAGGTTGGGCATGAGGCTAGCAACCCCATCCTGTAAAATAAACACTGCTACAGAAACTTCAAGCCACTAGCTTGAAGCCCTATGTTCCACTGGGGAACATGAAGGGTAAAAAAAGTGAAATTAGCAGGTTTTATACATTTTTCTTGAAAATCAACAATTTTTTCGCCAAAAGTTTCATTAGCAGTAGGTTATTTTTCTAGTTCTTTTAAATTTTATTTTAACTCAGTCTAGTTTTAAAAAGTGATCACTTGAGCATAGCTAATCACTTATTAGAATTTCCTGAAAATCTACTTTACTAAAACTGTGATTTTTAAAAGTTATGATATTTCTTCATTTTGGAGTTTACAAACGTCATATAACTTGTTGTGTAATAGATGCAGCTTAGCTGGTAATTACAGAGTCATTTTAAAACATTACTGCAAAAAGTGTAGTTTAAAAGGTCCACGTGGTTAGCTAATGGCTTAAGCTTCGGTAGATATGGATCCTTTTCTTATTTCACTCTGTTCACAAGTGGCGAACTCTATGATTGCCAATTACCAACCTTTGGAGCCAGATCTATTTCATTATCTGACAAATATGGTGAATGAACGAAATATTCCCATATTGAGTCATAAGAAAAAGGCACAAACAGCAAAGAAAATTTTCTTTTCGACGATTCATTTTCATGAGCTGTACAATCGTAATTATAATTAACAAAGAAATCTTTAGACCAATCAGATTCTGGTAAATTTTGTCCTTGGAAAATTGTATTACATAATATAAGGTTAAGAAGGGATGACTAACTGTAAGTTAGAAAGGAGACAGAAGTCGGCATGACGTAATAAGTGTGAGATAATGAATAATCAATAAGCTCGTGTAAAATGGACAGGAACTAGTGGAAAGGCTATAAAGTGTTTTTGTGTAAAATATGTATGAAAAGCAATGTTATTAATAAACAGTAATAGAGTGGTAACAAAATGTGGATGATGGGAATAATAATGATAATAAAAGTATTAATAAAATAAAATGATAATAGTAATAATAGTGAACTTACATAATAAAGGAAAGAAGTAAAATTGTGGTGATAACTTTACTCTGGCCATGGTAAGGCGAGAGAATGTATGTATCGCTTTTGGATGCAGAGGTCCGGTTTCAGATCTCGAATAGCTAATGCTTCAGCTATGTACTATATTGAGGGACTCTGTGTAACACTGTGAAGCATTCATGTGGGGATGCTTGATGTCCAGAGATGACAAGGTGTTCGAGTATCGAGCTGTTGCTATTCTTCTTTTCTCTCTGGATAACCAAGCTGGGCAGTGTTCCAGAATACGTTTGGGGACTTGACTTTGCGTACGGCCAATATACTTTGCTCCATACGAGCAAGTAAATTGATAAATACACATTGAAGTGGCCAAAAGCGGTATCTTTTCCTTAGCGTTAGACTGGATTAACTGTCTGCAGGAGAACGTGATACGTAAGGTGGCTGTTGGAAATGTCTTCTTCAGACATTTAGAAAGGTGGTTTCTGAGAATTTCCGCTGCGACATCACCTTTGAATTCCAGGTTCATAAAGAGGGTCTTCTTAAGAGCCGTTGCGATGTTTGACACCGGAGGCTTCTCCTTCATGTTTTTGTCAATAAATCTTGGTGGATACCCATTCTCTAGTAGGGTTTTACGTAATAAATTTAATTCTTTCTCTATCATGTCTTCCGAGCAGATTTTTCTGATCCTTGAACACAACGTACGTACCAGGTTTCTCTTTCGGGTGATATTTATTGCATTGTTATTCGACTCAGTTTCAGTTATTAATGTCTTGTGTTCAGTAATTCAGTACTTCTGCTTTTTTTAAATTATTGGCTTATGGAGCAACTATTTTTGATTATTTTTCTTGATATGAAGCGGTGTAATGTCTGTGAAATATTAACTAATCTGCTTACAGAATATATTAGACAGTTATGCTTCATCATAAATATACTTGGGAGTTGCACTATCATATGCTCCACAACTCTGAAAAAAAGCATTATAAATTAAATGTTTTTACAACAAAGAGAATAAGTGTGTTTATTCCAAGTATCTTAAATTATTTTCAAACATGTGTTTCACTGGGAAAGTAATTTAAACAAAAATCTATGTGTTGTTTTATTGTTGCTTACATACTGAATTTTGATCTATAATTTTATCAGGAAATCGTGGTTCAACTGTACAGTTTTGGTCAGATTTGAAAGCTTCAACGGAAGATGATTTATTAAAATTAAACTTTTCGGAGTCTTCTTCAGCAGCTCTAGAAAAATTTCTTCATGAACCAGAGTTCATTCCAAGCGTTTTGTACAATGGAACTGGAATAGCTCGCCTAATTACTGTATTTGTGGCGCCAAAAAGTTCTGAATACCAGTTCATAGTTAGTTCAGTTGTCCCTTACGTTCTCCTTGGAGGAAGATCAAATGAGACTTTGGTACGTGCAGAATATAGGCAAAGTGTCCTTGAAAATAAATGCACATAAACATTTAGTTTTAATTAATCAAAATAAAAGCTGTATGAAACCCTGAAGCTTAAATTAAAATAAAAGTAGGAAGAAGAGAAAATATGCTACTTTATGTGTGTATATATATATTTAATTAATGGGAGGAGCAGAATTTCGATACGCCTTATTTGTAAAATAGCGTGTTTCGTCAATAATTTATAATTAAGATTTGTAATTTATCCATAATAACCAGGGACGATTACTGTTTATAACTTTTATAAGTTCCAGGAATGAAGGCATTAGCCGAATCTAAGTTTTTTCTTGTACCAAGTTCAGTAATCAGTTTAGAAACCTCAGCTTATAAGACTGCTGGAATTGATTTTGACGGGATTGCTGTACAGTGATTAGGACTCTTGCCGACCATGCACACGGTCCGGGTTGGAACCCCTGCTGACGCACACCTGATATCTATGGTCGGCCTGCAAAATTTGGGCTACTGATATCATATGCTGAAAATTCCATACTTGTACCAAAAATACTGTGTGGTTTCCAGCTATAATAAAAAAAATCAAAAAAAATTCTAAATTTCCCGAAATTGGCGTTTAATTGCTTGTTTACAAGTCAGCAGTCTGAAAACAAACCACTTTCAGGAGAATTTGTCTCAGCATTATTGACCCTCTCTCATAATTAAAAAGTTTCTTGCCTACTAATACTACTACTGCCACTTTTATCCTTGCAGATTTGGATTTATTGTTGTCTCTTACGTATTAACTATGTGTTGTTTGCACAAGAGGAGCTGGCAGATGAAGTTTGCTTTGACAGACAGAATAAAAGCCTAAGCCAGCTGATCATCTTAATATTTTGAGCTGGTTGTTTGTTATCTAAAGGTTATTCCACCGTCATTTTATATAATAATATAATGTATGAGAATTCACACTTTTTGGCGAACTCCTGTTTATACTGAATATGCTCAAATTTTATTTATGTCTTCTGTTCATCTGTGTGCAGATGAATTCGTGGCCCAAGTAAAGCCTACACACTGCTTGACAAAGCGCTTTAAAAATAATCGGTAGCTTAATCGAATTGCGATAATGCTGGCTTATTAAATTAAATATAAATATTCTCGATGGTATTTATAAAATATTTTCTAGGGTCTTGAAGTATGTAGACTAAAGCACTGAAAGATATCATAAAGATCGGAAAAAAACTGCATACATTTTTGTTATCCTGTATAGTGGTAATCCAATAGCTTACAGTTTGTTTGACTTCTTTTACTATGTACGATTTAAAGTTTTAGAAGCACGATGTTTTTCAAATGCAAAATTAGTGAAATGGTTTCATTATTAAATAATAGTGATTGACTTCACTGACGTCAGATATTAGGAATAAGTAGTCTGTGGAAACCACAAGACAAGAGCTATTTATGAGGCTAAGAATCAAAGATAAACAAAAAGAATCGATCTAAAGTGCAGGCTCAAACGCATACATAGTTTCTTGAATGCAAATTAGACTATAGAAGATAGTAAATAAAATGAGGGTTCTGAATTTTTCTATTTTAGACAAGGATGTCTGTAGTTAATGGTCGAACTAAATCAATTTACTTGCAGAGAGATGAAAGGTAAGTTTTTATTAAAATATTTGCGGTGATACTAATTTTATATTATTCAAAATGTTTATCTTAGATTTAAGTCCTTACTCAGAGATACTAACTTCGTAGACTCCAGATATGCTTGTGAAATCTCCTACATTGCAAGCATTCGTTTCAAAATAGTTCTGGAATAAAACTAGCTGAATAGCTCTTAAAGAGTGCATGTTTTATTCCGATATTTTTGGTAACTTAAATGCACATAGCTGACAGAAGGTTAAACTGTGAGCATTCAGTTTCAAGGACACAAACTCTGTTACTAAATCATTTAGCTGAAGTTCAATGGAATCCTTGCATTCAATTTGACTCTAGATATTTTCCCTAAAAGGTACTCATTTCCCTTACCAACGACTTTTCAGTAACTGTGACGAAATCGTTTTTACTACTGTTATTATTAAGAACTGTTATAAGTGAGAGTATTTTTCGTCAGACTGCCTGATGACTTAGTTCTAGACAAAAACACAATCAGGATGTTCACTCAGAATTTCAGTTGACATAAAAGACATATTATGCACCTTTCTGTACCCAAGATAATAGCAGATGTAGGTGTTATATGAATAAAAAGGCTTGTAGAGATTATCTTGTTTTTTTCAAGACAGTATATGTTTACCAACGAGTACAATCACATATCTTTAGGTGGCAAAGTCACACTTAGAAAACGAAGAAAATCATGTGATCAATAACTCTGATCGAGTAGGAATCCACCAAGATGATGGTAGTAGCGATAAGGTTAGGTTTCAAAGTGGGCGATCCCGTTCTGTTACGAAATAAGCTGAAGTAATACTGCTAAGAATTTTAGCGTGGTTCACTTTGCTGTATTTATTGCAAAGCTATGAATTTCTTTGGACTGCGCTGAAGTCTGAGTATTATTTTACTAGTGAGGACTTAATTGTGTGTAAAATGAACGTAAAGATAAGTTTTTGAGGACTGTTCATCTTAGTTACCAGGTAATAGAATGATATATTGGATTGTGTAAATCCTCATTTAAGATTATGTCCCAAAATTATTTGACAGTAATTTTTATAATTAATAAAAAGATATTTTAAAATGATGAAAATTTCCGTGAATAGTAACTGTAGTATATGTGTACTTCTTTTAATTAAGTTGGATACTTGAACTTCGCACCACACTTACCCGACCAACCGTTTTGATACGTCTATGTGCATCTATGTTGAATACAAGTTTGAACTCCCAACAACTGAAAGCATCAAAACCAACCTCCTATACAATATCACTTAAATCAAATGGCTATTCAGAAAAACAAGTACGTTCATAATCATTAATTTATATGAATAATTAGATATCGTAAAGATGCAAAATTGCTTAAAAATGACTGTAGCAAAGTAGCTAAATACATCAAGTTATATAAGTTTCAGAAAGAATTATTCGTGTTTTCGTATATGGTTTTTATTGCAAAGATGTTAAACCTTTTCTTGATACAAGGCAGTGTTTCAGATGACAGATGTTTGGATTCCATAGGAGTGTAAATATGCATTGAATAAAGTAGACACCTTACAGGTTGTCAGCTGCTTATCTAAGACTGATTATGTGTGACACTAAACCCCAGCTTCAGTCCAAAAGTCAAATCAGAAATACTATTTCATTGTAGAGCACTTTTTGTTTATGAAAGTATGAAAAACTAGTTTTGAGACATTCAAATACAAAATGTTATGCTAGCCAGCTCTTTTTAACAGGAGAAACGCAAAATTTGTGTTAGAAGTGAGCAAAATTATATGGCAGGGACTTCACACGCATAAATGGTACCTAGAGATTTACCTTCTTGTTACTATTTGTAAGACACAGAAGAACAACGAGACTGGATGTAGGCCAATATTTTTTAACATTTTAATTTTTGCCGATTCGAATATCTGACAACTGACAGTGAGTGTTTCCAGTATACAAGGGAATTATTATGTCTGCTTCTACTTCAGAGTGTAAAATTCTGGCTAACTAAAGATTTCAACCTGGCGTTCTCTGACACATATTTGTGTACCATGTAACCGGAGAATAGAGGAGACTGATTTATTGTAACCAGAGTGTCCTTAAATTGCTTCCTATTACACGATGAATATAAATCCTGAAAACTTATATTCAGTCATATGAAAAAGAGAAGACATTCAGCGAAGAGACACTTTTCGGCGAATTCATTCACATAGCTGTACAATCGCATTTATATATAAATATTTGTGTGTGTGTGTGTACATGAGGTTTGTCAAGTTTAGATAATTGATTAGTTAATACAAGAATGATGTAGTATAGAGACAAAGTTAATCAGACAGCAACTAAAGTAAGATTGAGTTAGTAAGCTAGATGACGTAATATAATTGACTAAAATGTTACAACTTAGGTCAGGATAGCAACAGAGGTAATTACAGGTAGAGATTAAGTAGAAGTGAAATTGAATGAATAAGTTGGATGACGTAACATGAATGACTAGAAACTGAGAGTTGTTCAAGTCAGTAACAGTGGTAGTGAGGTGTAGAGATTGAATCGGGTGGGGGTAGAGAACAAGAAAGTTGAAAATGTAAAATGTTACAATTGAGAAGACAAAATAATACTAATGAAGAGACAGAAGAAAAGACTAGGTAGAATTTATTTGTCGGCTAATAAGATAGATTACGTCCATTGTAAGTCTAGTGATTGAACGAACTTCTTCTGTATGCAGAGTTCAGGACTTAGCAAGTGAATCGCCATTGCTAATGAAGAGACAGAATTATTATTATTTTGTCTTCTCAATTGTAACATTTTACATTTTCAACTTTCTTGTTCTCTACCCCCACCCGATTCAATCTCTACACCTCACTACCACTGTTACTGACTTGAACAACTCTCAGTTTCTAGTCATTCATGTTACGTCATCCAACTTATTCATTCAATTTCACTTCTACTTAATCTCTACCTGTAATTACCTCTGTTGCTATCCTGACCTAAGTTGTAACATTTTAGTCAATTATATTACGTCATCTAGCTTACTAACTCAATCTTACTTTAGTTGCTGTCTGATTAACTTTGTCTCTATACTACATCATTCTTGTATTAACTAATCAATTATCTAAACTTGACAAACCTCATGTACACACACACACACAAATATTTATATATAAATGCGATTGTACAGCTATGTGAATGAATTCGCCGAAAAGTGTCTCTTCGCTGAATGTCTTCTCTTTTTTATATTCAGTCGCTAGGCTAAAAATAACTATTCGCTTCCACTTACATTAAAGGCTCCACACCAAAACCACCAAATTAGGAAACGATCATACTGCACAAATCTTTAAAAGTTAAAAATAATACAGTAACAATCCGCAAAAAAAGATGACAATCAGCATTACGAATCCGTGGTCTTATGTGGCTGCAGCTTAGGAAAGTCAGGTATCACTGAGGGTACTCCATCGTCGGAGCTACAAGTCAGCCGCCACTGCATACGAAGTTTTTACTTAAGTGGTCAGTTTGTAAATAAGTGTACTAGAGGGTTTAATGTGCCAAAATTAGTTTCTTTGATGCTTATAGAGATATCATGCAGGAAAAACCTAAATTAAACTGAACGTTCTCAGGATACCCACGCAAACCAGTAGAAGAATGTGAAACAAGAAGGCATAATTACTTATAAATATCTGTTTAAACTTAACAGAAATGATTTATCTAAAAACCTTTGGCCAAAGAATTGAAATCGTTTTTACTGAGACTGCTAATTCGTTAGTTTTGTTCAGACGACTTTGTTGTCAGACAAGCTTCTGTGCTAAGAATATACCTAAATTTCCAGTGGATTTGAAGTAAAAATTTAAAACTTCAAGTAAATATTATTTTTAGGCTGATTTTTAGGCAGAATTTCTATATCTCTTCATGAATATTTCAAACGTTTACCATATATGTACTCACTATCATATTTTCTAAATTGTTTATATAGGTAGTGAACCATTCTGCTTTATTTAACTCACCGATTACACCGATTGCTGAAATTCAAACGTTCAGTATACCATCAGCTGCTATGCAATATAAATTATGCTTATTTTCTTCTTGTACAGGTACGTAATCGATATTAACTTAGACTACACTACATAAACGATATAAAAACTAGACTGCACATAATATCAGTAAATTTAAGAATGAAGTATAACGAAGATTAAATTTCAGTTATTGAGTTTAGAAATATCATATTTTTGGAATTTCAGTTTTTGTGGATCTAATTCGTGTGATAAAGCTCAGAAAATCATAGGATACTGGCCAACATTTCGCCTTAGCGTAAGATTAAGAGAGGTTTTAACAGTTACAATATGACATCAAGGTACACGTCTAGTATCTTTCGAATTATCAATGAAACAGGTTATACAGATGAACACAGCAATCCAGAATTTAGTTTACAATGTGGTTTGTAGGTAATGAAGTATCTTCTGAATAATTTCCACCCAGGTTTTAGCCGGTAGGATGTATAGGGGGCTGAAACAGCAGACTTTAGATGGATATGAGGGAAAGAGTAAGAAAATCACCATACAGTTAGGAATTAACTGCTGCATGAAATGGTGATTACTATAGGAAGAGGAAAACTGGAATTCCATCTTGTGAATAGCCGTTTCTTTGTCTTTGATCTTAGTTAATGGTGTAGTTCTATTAAAGTAACCAGTCTTTTGAACTTGAAGTGATTTATCAGTGGTTATAATGACGTTTTCTTTCACAAACAGAATGATGAATACATACAAAGGAAAATAGTTCTTTGTTTGTTCTTATCAGGAGATACAGGAGGAATATAGGAGTATTTTTTCATAAATAAAAATTTTTTCGGTGACTGACTAATGAAAAAGTCAGTTTTTTAGAATAGTGCCTGTGATCACAAGATACTAAGATTCGCATTCGGACATCACGTATTAATATATATTTAAACCGGTGTACTTTTATTTTTCCACGATTATTTCCCTTTAGTACCGTTACCAGTTCAAAATCCAAATGTTGACCAGATCCAGTCAGAAATTAATGAAAAGTTTAGCAGTGCATCTACAAAAGTTAGAATTTTAGGTACAACCAGTGATTATTTTACTTTTGAAGTTACCTTTCCTAAAGAGTTTGGTAAGTGAATTACGATTTTACTATCATTTCAGTGTTTATTGATCCTTTTACTCAAAATGTTGTTGTTTTTTGGACATAATATCCAGTGCTGTATTTTTATTATAGATTTAGATAACTGACTCAGGTTTGATTATTAGTTTTATATATTAATTATTTATAGGGAATAAAAAGACAGTTGCAGCGAAGAAAATTTTCTTTTCGACGAAGTCATCATCTAGGCTGTACATTCGTGTATTTATATCAAATGGATGGGAAAGTTCCAGAAAATTTCCGGTTAAGGGTCAAATTAATAAAAATTACAATTAGGAATTAGAATGCCAAAATAAACAGGGGGACAGATAAAACTCAAACAAAGTAGCATTATAGTAACTAAGAAGATTGACATTGTGCAATTGGGGGTTAGAAATGTAGAAATAACAAAATAGACAGGATGTTTGGATAAAAAACTAATGTGATGAATAATTGTCTATGCAATCAGGGATTAAATATGTAGAAATAGTAAAATGACAAAATAAACAGGAAGTGTGGATATGAAAATATGGTAGTGTAGACAGGGATTAAGAAAAACTTAAATTAACATGAATAAACAGGAAGTTTAGATAAGAAAGGCGATGAGATCGTGATTACTAAAAAATTTACCTGTTTATGATGGTCATGGCAGGAAGGGTTGGACGCAATTCTTTTGGATACAATGAGTGGGTTTGAGTTTTTGAATAGCTAACGCCTCAGCTATGCCCAGATGTCTTGATTTGACTCCCTTTGATAGGTTTGATTGAATTTTGTATATTACTTTGAAGGATTTTTCGAAAGGCACTGAATGTCCTGAGTTGACCACACGAATGTACAGCCTAGATGATGATTTCGTCGAAAAGGAAATTTTCTTCGCTGCAACTGTCTTTTTATTCCCTATGATCAAATGTGTATATTCCGTGATTTAATGATTTATGTTGAATAAACTGTGAACCTGTTCAGAATGATACGAAGAAGAAAATGAAGAAGGTATATGAACAACTTCTGTTTATCTATCAAGTGAACACAATATCAAGAAAAATGATTCAGAAATAACAAGGTCTAGATAACTGTTTCTTGCCTACACCCTTTTCACGGATAATCATACAGATAAGCCTAGTTGAACATTCCACACCCAGCAGTTAGATGCCATTGTTTATCGTTCGATTTAAAATCTTTCTGATATGCATAAGCTATAACGTCATCAGTTCATTAAAAAGACAGGACATGCCTATTGGAAAAAAAGCGAGTACAAATCTTCTTTACATTTCTCATTTAGAAATCTGTCAAAAGTTAAAAATTTCCCTACTTACTTACTCTTCCGAAATTCCATTTATCAGTTTGGTTTATTCTATATTAAAATGTATTGGCATCATTTTGTATGATACTATCGTGTAATGTTCATTATGTTGGATTTCATAATTTCTACTAACTTAGTGACAATCTGAGTATGATGTACATTATAGGATTACAAAATCATTTGAATTTTAGTAATAAAAAGTAATGTTTGTTTATGCTATTTCCTACTAATACTGAGTTGCACATTAGGCGTTCAGAGTTTATTCAGCGGTCAAATATCCTGAACTTTTTCACACGTACAGTTGTTCACCAAAACTTCGAAGACAAAATTACATTGTTTGAAACTTCAATGTGTATTCAGCAGTTCACTGGTTTCTGTGAAGTTAAGTGCATAGGCAATTTCAGCAGGACATTATCTAGACACTCTCATGAACACCTATTGGCATGTTTGTTAAAAGGAGATCCTGTAACAGTCAACAGCACAATTCTGAGGCGCATTGTTACTACTTATTACACTAAATCTGCAGTGGTTGCATTTAGAGTCATATACGAAGCCCTATCAAGAGGCTTAAAACAAATCGCCTACATCTTCTCCATGCATCTGAAGCCCAAGAAATTTATGAGGAAAAACCTAAACTTTGTATTCGGAAACATTTTGTCCAGCCTTTTATTACCATGGTTGCAGTTTCAGTTTTATTTTCTTCATTCGTAGCATAATAAACTCTATGCAGTAGTTTTGTTTCTTATATTCAGTCCTTTATTCGCTTGTTTTCTATCTATTATTTCGAAATCATTACTAATCACTTGACTATTCACTTGTAGGCTCTTTTCATTGAGTAAGACTGTTCACTATTTTTTACACGTCACCTCTTATGAAATGACTTAATTTGTTACCAACTGAAATTAACCTCCGACATTTACTGTCAGTTAAATATATATAAACCGCTAAGTAACCGTACAGCTTTGAAGTTTCCAAAACAGATTTCTTTACTGACGTATGTGTTCTTAATTGATGTAATGTCATGGTTATTTACCATTTATGCAGTGTGTGAACGGTTCTAAAATGAAAACCTTTGGGCTGTTTTGTGTTAACTAAGTCACAATCCAAGTAAAATGACTAGAAGATGCGTTTTAAAAAAATAACACTGAGTTGGAAGATAGAATTTTATAATGAAAATAAAATTTGGCCTATAAGTGGATATTGGGTGGATTGTCCCAGTTCATACTGATGTTTTGAAAATGATTAATTTTTGATTCATGAAGATTTCAGCTGAAATTCGACTTGTCTTTTGACCAACCGGTATGTTGGATTCTTTTTCAATTAGTTGAATAGTTCGTACTAAGAATTCAGTATAAAAGAAGCTGTACTAACAGTAAAAGAATGACAACAGTACAACTAATGGAGTAATCACGTGAAAATTAAGTACGCCAGATCTTCAAGCACCAAAAGATTGGATTAGATTTTGAGGCTTACTATTTCTATATTTCATAGCATAAACTTATGACCCCAGACTAACGAACGATGATTAAGTTAGTAAACTTTATTTTGATACCATAACAGATGTACTATTGCTTTTGTTATTTGGTTTAGTGATCTTCATTGGTATTTTAACTTTCAATATGTCCTTTTAACTTGACCTAAGTCTATTTTCTCACTCCTTAACTCTTTGTTTAACTCTGAGATTTTGTAAATTCCGGTTTAATAAAGCTATTAGCATTAAATAGCGAAACGTCATTAAAAACAATATCGTTTTGTTTTTCATTCATTGGGAAATACAAAAACCTTTATTATAATAAACTTCTTAACTTCACCGTTCGGCGTGATGTCAAGATGCTATGCATCATTAATAACTCAGTTTTACAATGTGCGTAGTTTTGTAATTTGACTGGAGTGTTGCATATAAGCTCAGTACTCTGAAATAAGGGAACACTTCTGCTATGAAATGATCAATGACTGAATCTCCCAAGATACTTCTAAAGTTGCTTTATCGCGTAACTATTACTTTTCTATGTCAGTTCTACGCTTCCATGACGCATTCTCACTTAAATGCATCAACTCCCAGAGCTCATTAGGCTGTCTACTTCGATTTCAAATAGACAGCTTTATGTAGCATACGGTGTTACTAGTCCTCAGTATATGAGTAAAAGTCAAAGACTTTTCATTCTTAAAGAAATGTGAGTGTAAGTTATGAAGAGAAAGTAGTGTTCAAAAAGTAAATAATACTGATTAGGACTCCTCAGCTGAATTTTCTGCCTAGATTTTCGTATACACTGTAATGTAGCACTATGAATTAAAAGAAGAAATTACTCAGGAACATAGGCAAGAAAATGTTTCTATGAGTAAAGGAAAAAAGAAGGTAGTTAGAGATGTAAAGCTAATTCGGGTTTAAATTCGGCCTGATCCAAAATGAATTACATCAAAAGGGAGAAAAATCTGTAACAAAATAAGATAATGTATGCCAAAGTAGTAGTGACTGCTTCGAATGAGAATATAAGTGAGTTGACAGCAAATTAAAGTCAATGATATGTTTGAAAGATCCTTCAGGCAACAAATTCTTTCAAGAAAACTATAACTTTTTAAAATTGCATTATTTGTAAGCTTATTTAGGTCATTTGATTGAAGCGAAAAATTCCAGTTTAGCTAGTTTTAATTTACCCATTTTTTTTATAACTATAGGTGATATTCCGCTTTTTGAAGTAAGAACTATTGGACAAACGGTAAACAAAGCGCTGGTCAATGAAACAGTAAAAGGAATGACCGGATTTACAAAGGATATCCGACCGTCGTATGGTGGCATGTACTCTTACAATACCTACACACTTAATAGTACGGAGAGTGAAGTAAGTAAAAGTTTAGGACTTAGCTTTAACCGTGATTTCCTTAAAAAGTTTTAATTAAAGTCGTGAGATTTTTTTGAAGTTTTAAGTACCTTTTAATGGCTGATTCCATGGACAGTTAGTCTGATTAATTATTTGTTTTTGCTGAATTTTTGAGAAGATGTAATCGAGTGAAATCAGAGGATGTAAATAATAATAGTAATCTAGTGGGACAAATGTTGTTTAATTATATTGGCTGCCTGACATACACAGAAAATGTTTATAGGACATTACTGAAGTGGAAACGAAAACCTAAGTTGCGTGAGTATTCTAGTGAATAGCCTTAGTGCTGTTAACTCCGCTGAATGAATTGCAAAGTTTATAATATTGCCTATCTTGAATGCAGGTATATGCATGAAGCATACAAGTGTTTATACTCCTTTACTCACTAAAGACTAGGGTTTTTATATGCAGGAATTAAAGATATTTATCCTCCTGGTTGTTTTGTTAACACACGTAAGATTCAAACTCACTATTTAAATAGTATTTTCAGTACATTTATACATTTATCATGGAATGCCTAAGGGAAGCGACTCAAGAGAAACGGTCGATCTTACATACGAAGTGGACTAGTATTCAAATGTTTTTCTACGCTAACATAGATTTTACACTAACTCACTAAAATTAATAAATTTATATATCTGTTGATGTATAATTTGGGTTTCAGATTCGGGCAGCATATCTTAGTCTTGGTTCGTCTTGGTGTCCTCCAAAGTTGATTAGTCCGCCATTTAAATACGCTGTTTTTGATGATTTCGAAAATTCTACACGCAAAGAAGTTACAACAGAAGCTACTGCGTTTTGTGGTCGTCAGTGTGTAGAGAATCTGTTTACATATGTGTTTGATCAAGTTATCTCGGTCAACACTAATCCATTTGTGAGTTAAAATTGATGAGATATATTGTTTGTTCTTTCACATAATCCGTAAACATTTCAGTTTTCCACATACCATATACACACATAAAAAACTGTAAATCATAACTTCACATTCGTTTTAAATTTCCACAAATAATTTCTAAAAGTATAGTGTTCATAATTTAAGGTTTGGGTAGATGGATTGTAACGTTAGGAGGCAAGAAACTTGGTTAAAGAATGCTTATATAGAATTCGGTATCACTATGTAGGGAAATTATGCACAACTTATCATTACCATTTGAACAGATCTTCCGTGTTGTGCTACTTCTGGCATTCATACTGTGTTTCTTTGTGTTCTTTCCATGTCTCCAATTTATCTCGGCAACGTTGAATCATTTGCTATCTCTAACGTCAAATTTATCCCCCTGGTATTTGATATTTCTATGCCAACGAACGTCTCTTTATATACTATTGATAAATCGCATCAGTAGCACACGTCACAGGATGAATCAAGTCCCAGGCAAACTACACATCCACTTTACGCTCACATTACCTTAAGACTGTATTAATTTGTTTAATTAACCAGTGATTAGTGAATGTCGGGAAACTAAAGTTTCCAACCTTCACTCATTGGTTACTTCACAGAAGTTACTAATATGTCGGATTATAAGACAGCAAGAGAAAATAGTTACTCACAGATTATAAATAAGTCATAGCGAGCATAGATTTAAGAGTACAACTTTTAACAAATCACACCCATATTACAAAAATGACTGAATAATTTCATTTGACGGTGTGTTGAACGAAGTGTTTTCAAAATCGAACTGGACGTAATTCTAAAACCAAGTCAAAGTGTTTCCACTAGGCCACTAAGCGACGAGGGCACAACTTTTGCAATGAATATTAGTCAATATGTTTGAAGCTGTTGTAAATTTCCTGTTGAATGTTTACCATCAGAACATCTTTACTGATAGCTTGAGTTCTTAAATTTAAGTCCACAGTATTATCCTTCGTATTCAGAATAATAATAATGATCAAGTAGAAGAAAGGGGTGACAGAAATTTCTAAATCAGTTTTCACTGAATACCTACAAATGGAAATTAGTAAATAGTACGCAAATAATTCACTGTAATGCTTTACAGTATATTTGGTTAGTAGACTGTATTTCATTTCTGTTTTACTTGAATATGAAATATCATTGATTATATATAATATGCCGGTCCTTGTATTTTGTAAATACAATAGTCTAAAGGTTTTGATAGTAGTATGTTAGAAATAAAGGGATGGAGCTATGTTCTGAATGAATTAATCATGCTAGTCGGATACGCGATATATGGGATAACTTCCTAGGTTGAAACTGTATGACTTCTGAGGAAAATGTCAACAGATGTTAAACAGAATGATATTGTTTTTGTTGTAGTTACCGGTAGTAAAAGGATGTCACTGTGCGGACTAACTGATGAATAATCGTTGAATTTTTTTATCTGAATAAGAATGTGATAGACAGAAAATTTTGAATGTTAATATTTCAAAGAGAAAGCTTAGTAAAATATTATACAAAATTAAATGCAGTATATTTAATTTTTTCATGTTATTTTTTCATCATTTTTAATGAACCAATTCAGTTATGTTTTGCAGTAAAAGGTAAAGCACAAAATATAGTAACATTTGTGTACAACGCCATTGGTATTAACACTCGCTTACTTAAGCAATCTTTGAACTACGCAATCGATCTGACACTTCCTCAAGAAAACGTGTAAGTTTAATTTTCATTTTATGAGAGAAAATTAGACATTTTATCGAAATCCTGTAACATATACTTGACAAAATAACTTATTCGAAAGATCTATTACTATTATGTACTGACAACGTCCATTTCACGTTTGAAGGTGAACATTTTCGACAGGTGGATGGTGTTGCTGTGGGGAGTCCATTAGGACCTTTGTTAGTGGACGTTTACATGTCTTATGTTGAGAACTTGTCTCTTGATTTAATTTCTAAATTGCCCTTCTATAGGAGATATGCAGGTGATATCATTTTGATATGTGACGATCATGAAGATGCGAGTCGTCTATTAGATAGACTTAACTCTGTACAGAATCATATTAGTCTTACATGCCAGGAAGAAAGTCGCAGCCAGCTTGCATACTTCGAAGAGATGATGGTTCAATAGGACGATCAATCCACAGAAAGCCCACTTCTACAGGGCAGTACTTTAATTTTCACAGTTCCTGTCCACTACAGTATAAGAGAGGCTTGGTGAAATGTCTATTTAAGAGGATTCAGCGTATTTGCACAGCTTATGTTATAGAGAAAGAAAGTGGAATATTGATGGATACTCTTGTTAAAAAAGGATATCCTCTGAAATTTTTAAACAGGTGTAGAAGTCAGTTAGTCTTTTAACCTACAATCTATACCCACCTAAGAAAAATGTCTTCATCAAATTACCATATAACGGGGAAATAAATAGAGGATTATGAGACAAAGGTTGAATTCGGTCATACATAGAACCTATCATGCAGCCCGACTTGTAATTATTGAAAAAGCCAAAAATATGCTACACTGCAAACCTCAAAAGTGCACAAGTTATTATGTCACATCCCACACTATTTACCAATTTTCATGTGTGTGCGGTCACACACACAGAGGGAGGAGTAATCGCGGTTTGCATATGAGGGTGGGAGAGCATATCCCAGAATGGCTAGAAAAACAAATGAATTGTGAAAAACCAATAGATGCAGGTGTCAGACTACCAACTCCGTTTATAGCTAAATACCTAATCGAGATGAACCATAAGACTGATGTTAACACAGCCTTTAAGGTCATCTATAGAAATGGTCAAGGGCGCTTATTGAAATACGCTGAGCCTATAGCTATTCATAAGCCCTCCCCCTCATGTGAATTCAAAAACAGTTTATTATTACCCTTAACCTTAATCATTCTTAAGCTTTTTTTCTCACTTTGTTTAATTTAATTGCCCTTAATTTTTTCATATATATATCGACTTGACAAGTAAATGTGTGATCAGACTATTCGAAATGTATAGCGCAAATACATCACATTTTTAAGATAATCCCCGCCTTCTCATAACACTATCCTAACACAGTTTTAATAGACAAAGTTGAAATTGGAGCAGAAGAGTAAACTTAGATTCAAGTTTTCCCTGGATTGAAATTCATAAAAGAATAAGAAATTTTATTGATATGAGCATAAAACTTGGGCACTGTGGTGGAATATAACTCAATTATGAATATAAAATCACACAGTGTTATACACAGAGCAAGTTGTATGAGTGCCTTGATATGATAATGAGCAATATTTTTTCCTCAAAACGTCATCAGTAAACATTACTGTATAATACTGTGTGATTTTGTAGCTTTTCGAATATAACCTTTAGGGTATAAGAAAGACTAGTGATTTTTAGTTTCGTTGTAGGACCATTTCAACAAATAACAGAAAGCCAGGGGTAAAAATTAAAGCTTCCTTGCTCAAGAGGTAAAAAATGGCAGTTTTAATAAGGCCCAAATGTCCGATCATATTCATATGCTCTTCAAAATTTATCCTCTTTAACCTAGGTGGCACAGTGGTTAGGACTCTCGTCGACCATGCACATGGTCCGGGGTTCGATCCCCTGCCGACGCACACCCGATATCTATGGTCGGCCTGCAAAATTTGGGCTACCGATATCCATGCTGAAAATTCCATACTTGTACTGAAAATACGGTGTGGCATCAAGCTGCAATCAAAAATTAAATTAAATTAAATAAAAAAACAAATCAAATGGGTAATAAGCGAAACGAAAAGTATAACGAGTGAGGACCAGTGAAGAGATGATGGAATAAAAGTGGTGATTAGAATATCTGCTAATATTGCAACTGACAATAATTATTATTACTGCTTTAGAGGGGAACGGAACACTGAACTGTTAATTTTCATTTGCGTAGATAATAGTGAATTAGGGTTCACGTTTACCTTCAAGGTTAGGCAGTGATCCTATGATTTTTTCATTTTTCAACTTAACCAATGTTGGTTGGTCAAAATTACGTTTTTTTACGTTATTTGGAACTTGCATCTAGTGTCACAACATATGCTATACCATTATTAATATCTACGGTATTTAATTTCGACAAACCGAAGGAAACACTAAAGTATGAGTATTCGAAAATTCTGCAACCGTAAGCTTACACTGCCTACAATAGGATAATTTTTAAAAGTTGGTCAAGTAACAGTTCATGTAGTGAAAATCCCCCTGTTTAAGCCGTCATAAGCCGCCACAGAGTTGAAAACGACATGGAGTATATAAGTGACATCACCCTAAGTGGGATTTTGTCACATATCTGCTGATTTTCCTTCATTCCTATTCCACCTTCCATGTTGTATTTCATTTCATTTCTACTAAGAGTTGGGGTGAATTAAAGAGCTACACTTTTGCAAAATATCTTGTGTAACTAGGTCACTGTTAAGCTGGATGTCGAGTGTGATATTTAAACATCGTTGAACTAATGATGTAAAAATCGTAGCTGGTAAAGAAGTACTACTATGTCACATTGTTTTGTGAGTGTTACTACAAACAGAGAGAGACACTGTTAATACACTCGTTTTTTCTTTCTTTTAAATTCAAGATGGAAATATAAATGCATCGATGTACTACAGGTACTTCGTTCGAATCCACTCAACGTAAATGCAACAATCTTTCAACTGGAATCCTTCGGTGTTACACCGAGAAAGAAATTTTTTGAATCTCAGTTTTCTGTACATTTGGATACCGTTTACATGGGGCCGAAACCAATTTATGATGATGCAAATGGTAAATGTTTAGTATTTAATTTAGTATTTAATCATAACTTCCAGCATAGTCTAATACTACAAGTCAGTCTATAGAAGTATGCAAATTTTAAAGCTGAATGAGTTGACCTCTGAAGATAGTATCAGTTAAGATGGGACTTAGAAGAGCCACTAGCTCATAAGCTTAACATCATGTAACTGTAAATAGTAGATTTACTTACATTTTATTATACTCAAAAATATGGTAGCACAGATTATTGAATTTTAGTATGTCGACCGGACGGTAGTGTACTCACTAGATTATATGAGTGCTTCAAGACGCGTAGTTTATTTCCACATATACTGAATTGCTAATTCGCACGAAACAGTTGTTAAACGGTAAACGACCTTTATTAGTTTGTTATCTGACCTTACCAGTTCACAAGTGGTTGTTTTTGCAAATCAGTCAGTCAAGCGAAAGTGCATCTAAACAACGCCCAATATGAGTAGAAGCCAGATGGTCATAGTCGTGAAATTAGACACAACAAGTCAAGTTTAACCTTCACTTAGTAAAAACAAAATACGTGCTGAGTTAATTATGTCCTCTGAGCCAACCGATTTAGTTAAGAAGCTTTCGTCGTCCTTCTAGACAACATCTTCAGCGCAGGTTTTAGTATAAAATGAACTCATTTAAATTCTCCATGTAATTGAACCTCCTGGTTACCACTGTCGTGACTGGTTGTTAATTTATGTCTCTACTGATCATTTTTACTGACTTGGAATTCGAACTTTCCTGTCATATGATTTATTTTTTATTAGCTGATAAATTTGCTCTATGATAATGTGTTTGTTAATTGCTAATTCAATTGAGCAGCAAGCTTCTAGGAATTCCCTGGCATTTCCGGTGTTTCCTATATTTAAAACGTCTGTCTATTTCAAATGAATATGGCACACAAGCCAGCACAATCACTTCATTTGATATTGTGCAAACCCAAAGATTCAACAGAAAAAGAAGAAAAAATTAATACTATTTACAAAATAAACTGTATGAACTGCAATAAACATTACATCTGTCAAGGTAGACGTCCCCTTCGAATCCGAATCCAAGAACACAAATTGCCTGTAAAAAGACATGATATACATTTTCGTATCATTGCATGTGGATAATTATGGACACAATTGTGATTGGGAAAATGTAGAAGTTTTAAATAGAGGAAACACAGAAAATGCCAGGGAATTCATAGAAGCTTGCTACTCAATTGAATTAGCAATTAACAAACACATTAGAGAAAAAGTTAAGAGAACCACCTAACCTTGAATTCTCATCAGTGTATTAACTGTTAATTAACAGCTAATGCACTCACAAAATTTCCTTCCATGAGGGATCAGTGGTAGCATGAATAATCCGGTGGTTGGGTCTTTGATATTCGATGTACCAAATTACCTTAACTTAGTGAAACAAAATTTATTTTTCCTGTTACTATTCATCGATAACTAAAACAAGTGAACTACAAGTAATCGTCAGTTAATATTCTTTTTTCAGATGTCGCTACTTGGCCAAGATTTCCTAAGCAAGTATTCAGTGATGTTACAGTGATAAAAGGTGCTTCTAATGGTGTATTCACAGTCGAAATAACAACAAAATCATGTCTGCAAAATTTTGATTTATTTGGTTTAGCCGGTGTGCCAGTAAGCAATTCTTTTTATGAAATACTTTTCTAATATTATCATTTCAGATATACTGTTGACATCAAATTTTAGTTGCTTTTCTACTTTAACAGTGACATACAACCTAAAGAATTATTTCCCCTTTACATTAAACTATTTCGATGGACAATGAAAAACACACTAATTATACTTTCGACTGAAAATCGATAGCAATTTTGATAACAAAAGCACTGAAATTCGTGTTAGTGTAGTCCGCCTCCGTTTGGAAAGTAATAAAAAAGTAATATTAGTGGTTAGGCTCTGCCGTCATAATTCTCAAGATGTTTTTACTAGTTACAACAAACAGTTTTTTAGAGAGAAATGTCTTGAGATACTACACATGTTTACCGCTATGAAACCTGTGGTATCGTTCAATGAATACTATACAAAATTCAGTACAAATTAAGCCTCTTAGAACAGGAACTGAATTTAGATAGCTTCCAGTGTTTTGAAAGATTTCGATAAAGAAAGAAAGACGAAATTTGCAGTATAAAATGATATCATTCTATTTCACAGGTTCTCATCAGCTGCAGACTACCTGAAATTACAATGGTTATATAAATGATGATAACATACTTTAATGTTTGAGTAGTAGTAGAGAAGAGATAAAATTGACGCATCCAAAAAAGAATGAAAGCATTACAAATTTTTAGTTTAAGTTATCATCATCAATTTATACACTTTCAGAGTTGAAAAGAGGGGGGAGGGGTAAGACAGAAAACAGAAAAATTGATTAACAGAAACAGTGTTAGCTTGTAGGTTCACATGGCAACTCCAAAAACAAAAGCATTTACAGTTTATAAGATTGAGATTTGCTCAGTGAGTTGAGATCACTGAATTAGATGGCTCATCAAAATCAAAATTCAGTTACCAAGGGAGTGAGAGGTTAATCACACTCTCTTTTTTGGATGCGTCAATTTTATCTCTTCTCTACTACTAATCAAACATTAAAGTATGTTATTATCATCTATATAACCATTGTAATTTCAGGTAGTCTGCAGCTGATGAGAACCTGTGAAATAGAATGATATCATTTTATACTGCAAATTTCGCCTTCCTTTCTTTATCGAAATTTATCAAGGGAACCAGTTGTATGAAGTTTTGAAAGATATTTACAAATTGAATACGATCGAAATTAATAAGTGTTCATTTGGTTTTCTCAATGGTGGGAAAAGAGGTAGTATTGTGCTGCGAGCTAGATTCCATTTGTCAGTCACTGTAGAGAGATGCTACGAGGTGTCATTATTGAATCAGAGATACATGCAAACATTAAGTAAGTGGACGCTTTGCAAATATCTGTAGCGTTACTAGTATAACATTAAAACGTTTGCTGATAGAAACGTCAGAAAAGCACTAATACTTTTAGGTATAAATATCCTTCATAATTTCTACATAACACTGAACATTTGTGTCTATTGGTCCGTGAACTGCACAATCGAGAAAATGTTTTCATCTTGTTGGCACTGTATGGTAATGTTTGTGTTCTGGTACAATTTGTTGGTTAAACTAAGCTAATGAGATTCATCTCTAAGACAATTGTAAATAATGAGAGTATCACAAAATTAAACAGGAATCGTTGCAATTTATTTTCAAAATGTCATGCAATGTCTGAATTTTAGATGCAGAACAATAACAGCACTGTTGGACAGGAAGTAATTATTCGAGATGATAGATGGCCAACCCCTGTTCTAAGTTCAGTGATACGTACACAGGCTGCTTCTCCACCCATGAATGGATATTACGTCTTATCTTTTAAAGGAGTACCAACGTCACGTAAGCACGAGTTAATATGTCTAATCAGCTTACAACTTGAACTCATTTTCTTTAAAAATTAGCATGATACGAAATGCATTCGGGAGTTGGAGATTTTTAAGTATCTCTTAACCCTTATTTAGTCATGCTTACTTGAAATATCTAAAATAAGTATCAGTAAACAGTACAGTTCCCTCCTTCCATTTAGTAAAAGTTTTACATTAATTGCAAGTATATTACCAGCCAAATGTCAACATTTACTGTGGTCAAATTCTTCAATTTATGAGTGGAATTTCAGTTTTCCGATTGTATTCATAAGTATAGTCTAATACCCAGTGAAAAGAAGCACATATTCAGAAATGTTGTGTCCAAACTTTTGAGAGACAAATACTTAGTGATTCTTTGCTATAAGTCTTTAAATGGGAATGAACTGCACCCTAGATTAATAGTGTGGCACTGGTACTAAAATGTATAGTTTATAATTTATAGTTCATTGTTTACAATAAGTTGGATTAAGTATGAGGTCTCAACATATTCAGTGTGATTTATGTAGGTGCTTAGACAGTTCACATTCATGGAGAGTACAACGTTTGAGTAATCAGTTGTCACCTCATTTTCTTTATTTTCTTTTCGATGCACTTAATCATCATGGTTATTAAACTTTGATATCATTTCGGCTGCTTAGGTATTCCGGCAAGGTTTGTTCAACCCAATGTCGTCGAGAGAATACTGAATCTGCATCCTCATCTTGGTACTGTGCGTGTTAGTCGGAGTGGTGTGTGCAGAAGTTTTCAGTACGTTATTTGGCTTGACAGTTTACCCGGTGACCAACCAGAAATATCAGTAAGCAACAAAGATGAATAATCACTTTTTCGTTTGCAGATTTTATTCGTTTTGTTATGGCCAGTTGAGTGAATAGGAGTAGCACTGCAACCTGTTTTAAATAAGATGAAACCTACATAAATAATTTTTTCCCATTTATAACTTAAATGTAGAGCATCTGATTAGGGAAATAATCCAAATGTTGAGGAATTAATTATGAACATTCGATGATAAATTAGAACCTATCGACAATAGTCGCAAGTGAAGTGGACAACACAACAAGCAACCTAGACAGTAGGTTATTCACTCAAACACTGAGATGTTGGCATTAGGTTGACACAAATCTTCGTAAAGGTCATTCTCATTTCCTGTCATAAACCCTTGGTATAAATGGTTATTGATGAAATGTGAAAAAACGATATCAGTCGGAATAAATCCGATTCTCTAACATTACTTCATTAAAACTGGGCCCACCGAAAATGTAAATAATTTGGAATGTGAGAAAATAATAGAGTTTCATGATTGCATAAATCGTTTTGACAATAACTTCAGTGTGAACACTTTTCATAAGAAAACAGAGAATCTCAGCCAAACCATTGGTAATTCTGAACTGTCTTACAGTGCAAAGCAGCACAATAGCAGTTGTAGTTTTCCAACATGGAACGAATATTATCAGTAGATATTCACAAAGTGATAATGAAAAACCGCCAGTCTAAAGAAATGACCGGTAATCAATTGAATGACAGATATATAAAAGTAAAGCCACATTCCATCAGACCCGTCTCACAATTACCACACCCATAAAGATATTTAATAACCACTTATTTATCTCGAAAAGGGTATTTCAAGTCGAAAAAGGGCCCTACCCTTCACTTTTTCTTTCTTATATGTGAAAAGAAAGAAGGTTAGCCGAATGATCAGTATAAAAAGGTTTAAATCAATTATGTTTATTCTACGGCATGCTGTACAGCAATGATGACACTCCAGTTTAAGAAAACTGAAAATTTTATCGTTGTCACGATTTCAAAAAAAATGTACCTGGAAGCAATATAGGCAGAAGTTTCTTCAATGAAGTATGATGAAACAATAATAACATATTTATTTAGACAAATAATGTATTATAAAATGGATTTTCATTCACTTAAAACAGGTATCAAATCAAACAAAGTTGATTGGTGATGCACCACAAGTTACTGTACAGAAATCTGCGATTGGAGAGTTGGTTATGTGTCCTCTATCAGGTGATATGGTGGCGACAAGACATACTGTTCCACAAGTGAGTGGCTATTATTATTATTATTTTAAAACGTAGAATTTCAAAATATGTACAAATTATTTTTTTCATAGAAGGTTAGGAGTTAACTAAAGGAAATGAAGGTGGACCACATACAGAATTATTGTTATTGTTAGTGTACAGTAGATTGAAAATGTTTAGGGCTACAGTAGTAAGTAGCAATAAATAAAATAATTCAGCTTCAAAAGGGTGGGGTGTTTCTCATATAAAGCATAATCTGGATTACAGTAACCGACATGTAGCTAAGATATTCCAGTTTAGTGAGGTTTTTGTGGCTGACGAATATAGAAAGTTGCCAGGTTACTCAAACATATTCTCCTATAATTTTCTGTTTGCGTGAACAACCAGGTGACATGCTGCGTCTATGCAGTTGTAATTATGTGTGAATCCTAGTTGAACAAGAATTAGAATAATTAGATTGACCGTTTAAATTGTATTACTAAGTCATTCAAACACGAACAGTTATGAGAGTACTAACATTCGTATTTGAATAATCTGCACAAGATTCAAATAATCTATTTGCCTTTAGCACTTGGTCTTCACACGTTCATGTCACTATTATGCCTGATACTCGTTTCATTTTTTAATATCTACTGTCTTCATCACTGGATCTTCCACATACAACTTAATGAACTCTATGAGCTTTGCTGCGTAATGGCAAGAAGACAGGACAACTCAGAACAATAGGTTTCATGGAAAAATCTGAAGTTATCTAATGTATTTGCACTAATTATTTGCAGACTTACCCTGGAAAATTAAATAAAAGAAATAAGTGATTCTGACCTATGAAAATCACTGAAGATATTTTATTTTGAAGCTGAATTCATCGACTATTTTAGTGTCACACTATTGGGATGTGATTAGTGGTTATCTAGAGTCATGTGAAGAGATATTTCACAACAAATAAATCGACTGAAAATAAACTTTTAAGCCTTTTTTAATTTTCCCATCTTTCCTGTTGTTATAGCATCCTGGAAAACAGTTATCATCAGGTGATACCGTTAAACTGTGTGTACTTAGTTTCCTCAGATGACGCCAACTTATGCATTTATATGGCGGTGAACAGTGTTAGGTTCTCTATTACACATTTGTTTGTTATTCAGCAACTGACACGTATAGCGTCTGAAATGATTTTCTATATATTTGGAGTGCTCATAGTGTCTCAGATTTCTAAATGACTTGAATCATTTCACATTTGTTTAAGAATCAGGGATAACTCCTGGCACACATTGTTAAAGGAATTCAAGATTAATACCTTGTGTTGTGTTTATGATGGTATAAAACACATTTGGTGTTATCAAAATATAACGAGCATAAAGCGTTGAGGTATAAAGGCTGTATGCTTTGTCCCCATAATGTCCGCCACCTAGTGAAGCTTATCGTCTTTTTTGTATGGGACTGATATATAGCAGCAATAATGCTGAGATTCAGCTTTGTTTATCCGCGTAAACTGGTATTAAACAAGTAAAATCACTGCAAGTATTTTATGCTACTTAGTTCCTGATATTTGGTTCATTCACTAAATTGCGCTACTTCATGATTTCATGACTTTTGGTGACATTCCAAGTCACATTAAGGCTAATATGAAGTTGACTGTAAATGTCAGTAAAAAGTATGTGCATTGTGGGTTAGATCAAATTAATTACAACCGTATTTCAATAGTTTATACACAATGATAAATTTGTTGTTTTGTTGTGTATCTTTGTGTGAAAACTATTGAAACATAGTTATAATTAAATTTGCTGTACTTGATGACAAGGTGATTGTTAGTCGTCACTTGTTAATTTATTCTATTTTAAGTGTAGCTACTCAACTCATGTTATGCTTCGAAAACTTTCTTGAGATCTATGATTCACCTGAAGTTTTTACCAGATACCTAGCGCTTTCTTAGCTATTTCCCTATTATTATAGGAAGTGTAAAGTCATTTCCTTGGTTTTTATCTAAGTCATATGGAGACACCGTAGAGTAACTGAGTTCTAGAAGTTGAGATGTTTCGTACACACAACTACGTGATTCATTCTGCTTCACAAAGACAGTATTTCAGTTTTTTTTTCTTAACTACATTGATTCAACAAGTATTGATTCTGAAGTGTGACTTCAAAGATGTTTGACTTTGGCGAAAATCGGCTTCAAATATGAGTTCAGTATTCAAGAAGTTGTGCATCGGTGACACAGTGGTAGAATGCTCGCCAACGACGCATGTGGTCTGCGGTTTGATCCCCGGCCAACTCAGTCCTTTACCTCGCTAAGCCAGTAATAAGTCTGGTAAAGAGGGAAGGCTGGGCATGATGCTAGCAATGCCATCCTGTAAAAATAAACACCACTGCTACCAAAACTTCATGTCTTTAGATTGAATCCCTGTGTTCCACTGGGAACGTAAAGGAATAAAAAATTCAAGGAGTTAGCCGGACAATAGACTATACGTTGATGATTGAATATCTGAATGATTTGCAGATATATCCTCTGTTTTAAAATTAGAATAAGGCATATAAGCAGTCAATATTGCTTTCAGTAAGACCCTTAAGTCTCTGGGTTAATAAAGCCAAATATAAAATAAACAAACAGTACGAACATTTGATGCAGGCGGTGATAAGAATAATGAAGATGGCATGATACTGAAAACATTTTGGAATATAAATTATTTGAACAGCTTTTTTCAGTTACTTCTGCTTCGCGTTTTTAAGGTCTGAACAGTTTACACGCATTTCAATAATAATAATCCAAACCAATGGATTATCACTCCCCAATACAGTTCCTCATATGATTTTGATTAGCCTATTGTATTCCAACATCTATCAATTAATGAATGTAGAGTATATGTGTAAAACTTGGTCACTGTGGTAGTATATAGTTCCACATTAATTTGTTTATTAGATATATCATCCAGTGAAACAGTATTACTTACTGGATGACGTTTCGAACATAATTTATTGTTCATAATCATATCAAGCCCAAAGAAGTCATTAAAAGCAATGTTCTGCTCGAATCATCCTTGTTCTGAATATTTGTTGTAGGGAAAGTTAAATTTCTGTAAATATTTCAGTGATTAAAATGGGTTAAAATCTTTAAAAAAGTAGAAGTTATGTAAAACTAAAGATGTAGTGGATAGATAACTTGAGTTTAAATAACCAGAGTAGGTTTATAAAGGGAAGAAAAATAAGAAACAGGTGAGTTTTTATTAGTTTACTAAATCTGCTTAGGTCGAAGAAGAGTAGGTTTTCGGTAGTTCTGGCTTTGTTAGGATTCTGCTCGTAAGGTTCAATGGAATATAGTAAATAACCATGAAAGCTCTTCATCAGTTCACTCGGCTACATCAATATCAACGAAAAAAGACTTAAACAAGCTCATCATAGAATTTGTTTGAAGAATAAACTTCTTTTGAATGAACATGTTAGGGTTATCCTCTTGAGTTTCTATAGCCCACTTAATCTAACTGAAAACAATATTGTTCACCTGTATGTCGTTTTAGTTTCCAAAAATAAAGTTATCAAACAACGGGAGCACCAATAGCTTAAATACCATAAGCATGCTATTCAGATGGTTCATTAGCGTGTATCAGCCCCATCAGTAGTTGATTGATGTTATGATATAATGAAATAGGGTTTCGGTCTAAAATATCACGCGATTTACAGTATTTTCATATATTGTTAACAATCAAACATATCTCATACTGGATGTATTTTTATCTGGTGCTTTTTATATTACAATTTAAGGTTAGATTATATATCGATAATGTTCCGGCTTTTTGCGAATCATCATGCAGTCATCAGCTCGTTGATTTATCAAGTCCTACTGTAGAAAGTTCGTCAGTACAAGTCAGTAAGTTAATAAAACTATTTTCTATAGAAATTTCATTTACAGAAAGCTTAATAGTAATTACTTCACTTTATACAGTTTACTGATATAAAAGACATGAGTTCCTTCAAGGATGCAGGTACGCCTTGGTGACGAGTGCTAAATAGCAGGAAATCTAGGTCCAAGGCTTCCTGCCGATTGCGTCCAACCATCTAATATCATCAAATCAATGTGCACTATGACGGCGAGGTACCTAGAATGGTAACCACATTGCATATCTGACTGGTGTAATTCAGTTTGCACCAAACAAAGGACTAGACACATCACACCAGGTACTAGTGTCCAATCAAAGCATTACTGGTATACTGTCCAATATTTTTGAAAATTATGATCACTTGGTAGCAACTGAAACAGTTTCTACTGATTTATTGTTACTAATCATCATCGAAAGAAAATGCGGTCTGCGTGATCTGCGTAGTATAACACTCAAAAATAACTCATAAGCTCTATACAAGTCCTATAGACGTCATTCATTCAGCATCGCAGGATCTAATTTCTGTAATGAAACGCAGCTTTAAAAGCTACAGATCTATAAAAAAGTTATTTATCAAAAAAGGTCCATATGGAGAGTGAAATTAACCAATTTCCGAGCTTACTGCATGTATTGACAGTCTACGTAAATATAACATAAACTGAGCAAGTTAATATATCACTTAAAATGTGAATAGTGAAAGATAAAAGGAAATTAAATACTTCACAAGGATTATACAGCGTGACTTTCTGGCTGCAATAAACATTTAGAAGTTAGCTTTTAAGTCAAACTTTATAAAATTGAGTGCATTTTCTGCTGTTTCCATGGCCTACTTCTCTGTTGATAAGTGCAAACACATCGTTTTCTAATCATAACTTCTCTAACATTTCTGGACTACTGTCAGAAAGGCAAGATAAATGCATGACGTTATTGATATTGCATGAAATATTCACATGAGAATACGCTCAACATTAACTTTACTTTTCAGCTGACAATAATCTTACATTGGTTGTGTCCGGTACTGGCTTCACTGCAGACTCACCAGAACTATATGAGTTATTCCTCATGATAGATAAAACGACCATTTTGAAACAATGGGCTTTTCGGAGCACAACAACTCAATTACATTTCTTTAATCGACCACTAAAGGATATTCCTATAGGTTCATATACTGGCCGATTACGATTACGTGGACAAGGATTTACTAGTTCACAGTTCACAGTCTCCTTAGGCAAAGAAGGCAGTGGCATTGTGGACATTGTGCAAACAGGGTTATTTAAAGAAGGTTAGTTGCACCTTTATAATAAAAATCAATTAATCTGAATGCTTTTGGTACTATCATTTTGCTTGATTAAATCTCATTTGTACAGATTTGATTTACGATACCTGAATGATGGCTTTCTTCCTGTGTACCTCACACGAACAATAACAAATTAAGTGTACCGCAGTATGCTGTCAACTACCAAGGGTGATATTTTGCTTTGCAGTAATATGTTTCATAGAATTTGAAGTTGAACTTCCTTTCCTTCGAAATTGTTTTTATAAACAGAGTAAAATTTCGCGAAGGTTAATACTATAGGTGTAAATTTAATTATTCTGTTAGGAAACTAAGTTTTACCTGTTTTATATTGAAAAGAAACTAATGACAGCGAAAGTTACACTTTTGACACCCTAAGATTCCCATAATATCCAGTGACTGTATGGTTAAATTTTGGTTTGTAGAATTAACCCTGACCACTAAAAAGAAGTGAACATGCTATTTAATCCATTATAGCTTGATCACAACGTCAGCCTAGAAACTCTTATCCACAAAGTAAATGTAGACTTTCTAAGCGAACATGATTTCTGTAGTTGTGATCTGTAGAGCCACTAATAATTCATGAGTTCAAAGCCAAATCTCATCAATAATACCATTCAGCTTTTATCTTAATTATTATTTTGAACTGTTTTTGATTCCTCTTAATTTTACTACAGAAAACTGAATGAACCATCCTTTCTTCATAAACGTCTTTGTTAGTTATTTGCCATTGTAATATTCATGCAACTTCGATTCGGTCAGTATTTTATGCATTATTCATTACTAAGCTTTAATCACCAATCAATATTAAACATAAAATAAATGATGCACAGGACTATTTTATATTCTTATTACTCTAAATTTACAGTACAAGTTGTGCACCTGCATATTTATTATTTAAGTAATCAGCGGAGTCACTATTATTATATCACCTTCCATTTTCCTCTGATCAAGTTATTTTTGTCTGTGTTATTAAGGAATACTAAAGATGTAGCCTATACTGCTGAACTTATTATGATTCCCTTGATTTCCAAAGTGCATCTTTAATTCACTCCGTTTTCTATAGTCATTTCACCTGGCTCTATGATAGCCTATCAGCTCTCATCTCATCTTCACACGGTCTCCTCCATGTCACCCTCAGACCCTCTTCTAACCCATTGTTTTCCATCTGGGCCTGGTGCGTGGTATAACTCAGTGGTCTCCTTAGTGTGTGTCTAATCCCCCTCCATTTTATTCGGCATATTTGTTGATCAATAGGTTCTTGGTTCGTTCGTTCCCAGAGATCATTGTTACTAATCCTTTCTGATCATCTTTAGTAGGGAGAGAAGGCAGCGGTTAGTGAGAGTCTAAAGCTTGTTGAAAATGCGCACGTCAAGTCTCTGGATCACACATAGGCAATGAATTAACATTAGTGTTGAAGACTGGGCATAGATCCTTATACTGGGTTCACATTCATTTTCATTTTGTTATGAATGTCTGCCTTGCTTTTATATCCTAGCTGTAACATCGCCATCCATGCAGCCTGAGGTTGAGATGATGCTGCCCAAATAAACAAAAGAAGTAACCTCGTTCAAAATTCTCCTACTGATAGTAACTGGCGCTTGCTATTGTTGTTGTTGTTGTTGGTTATCTTTATCACATCTGTCTTCTCTATGCTCACTTGATGTCCTATCTTCACTGCTTATTCTGCCAACTTTCTGGTTTTCGCTCGTAAATCTTCGAGTTTGTGTGACATTAGACATAAATCACCCGTGATGTGCATATCTTCTAGTGTCTTTTGTTGGTGCGGTGTGTGCCCATTCTCTCCCTTTACGCGGTCTGAAGCATGATCCTGTCCACTCCATCAGGAATATCATAGATGATAGTAGGCAACTTTGTCTTCAGTTCAAACGTTTACTGAGCTTTCTGTTGTGAACCACCTCATATGTGGCATCATCATACAGCTTTTGAATGAGATTAATAAATGTTTAGGGCAATCCTGTACTAAGCAATAATCATTTACCCAAATAAGAACTTACAAAAGCGCTACTACATCGTTCTATGATCAGCCGAAGATATTGAGTTAGGCAAACATTTCACTGTAAATGGACACTGCATTTTCGCAAAATATTTCTTTAGTAACCTAGATACCAGATGATCGACAGATCATCTATACAATGAACTTTTATTTTGTTTATGTTTACTTTAAAAACATTGTAAATTTTGTAATTATTTAGTTTTTGAGCCAGATCTTCTTAAATTTAAATGGTATTCTTAAATTATTGGCTTTGCTAATTTTAATTTTAATCCTTGTAGATAAAGAGGTCATTAAAATTAATGGGTCTCGCTTTCTACCAAACTATTCGCAAGTTTACTTTGATAATACTCCTTGTGAATTAGAAAACATGACAACAACTGAAATCACTTGCTTATTTCCTATTACTGTAAGTATACTTTGCATAGTGTGAGATTGATTTTGCAGTAAAATACTTTCTTGTTAAAGTAAACTGACATTTTATTGAATTATTTATGAAGATTTTTTGACAGAAGGGCGAAATCTTCCCATAATAAGCTTACATAATACTCGTTGATGACTTTTGTGATGTTCTCAAATGAATGAGGCCGACAGGCGATGTATACAAAAGTAGCAATCTATTTTGAACTATATTTAATGCTGAACAAACCAAATCATGCCGTTAAACTAATTTAACCAACGTATGTTACTATAAAGGTTAAAAAGACTATAGATTTCGGTAACCATCTGTGTAAAATACAACGCTAACTGAAGTCGTTTAGCATAATTCACTTTCATAAGCAATGATCAGTAAATGTCATTTACGATTTTGTCAAGCACATATCTATTTAGCCTTTAGCACAAGTGCTAAGTTTTGGTTTTGTATCTCAATTCATTCAGTTCCGTAGATTTGAAGCCTTAGTAACTAAATAATCAGAATATTTGATTGTCTTGTTATTCAGGACCATTTTCATATGATAATCTTAGAAATTGATTCCAAGCTTAACTTGATTAATATAATTAAGATATATGTCATTTTCTTATCTTCTTTTGCTAGAAAAAGACAGTCAGCAGTTAATCTGAGCGTCTTTTGTTTTCATATTATAGGGTCTTTCCGGTCAGAAGGTAGTAAAAGTTCAACAGCCTAACGATATTATGTCCAAGACAAACGACTTCAATGTATCACGGTCTAATACACCAGTCATACTCTCTGTTCAACAGCAACAGTCTGCTTCAGTTTCAGGTATGCTTTGTAGTGGCATAATTCACTTGTTCTGTTTTTATTGACAAACTGCCAACTAAAGAAACAACACTGTAGGCGAAATACTAGGTTGTTATTATTATTATTTAACTGGTGGATGGTGACTAGCAGTGGAATCCAGGATGCGCATTTCGTCCTGTCTGGGACCGAGCACTTTGGTCCAATCAATCGACGGGAAAATCTAAATTTCAATTAAATAATTAATATGGCCCATTGCACAAGAGGTGGCTCTCGTGGCCCAAGTGGTCTAGTGGATAAAGATTTGGCGTTTGAAGCTATGGGCACTGGGTTCGAGCCTCGGTGGGAACATCATCACTCACTGGGGAGTGCAGGTACATTAAGCTGACTAGTCCTAAACACGACGGAATGCACATCCTGTATTCCACTACATGCCCAGACATCGTCAAAGCATCTGCACAAGAAGCCGACATATCTACCTGAGACCGAGCACTTCGGTCCAATCAATCGACGAGAAAATCTAAAATTCATTTAAATATTATTATTATTAAAAGGACCAACACAAATGGTCACCACATTAATTAACTTCGTCAACGATTTCAGAAAAGTTTGATTCACTGGGTTCATCTTAAAAGTTAAGCAGTGAATGTTTTAGATGCTAATGGAGTGTTAGACAGAAATTGAGCACTTGACTGATTATTAGAGGTTCTCTCTCAGATTGCTGTTATTGGATGAACTTATGCGCTGACATGGCGAAACTAAAATTAACTTCAAAATATTCAGATCAGCTAGGGATAATGAGGCCAACGTTAACACTGTGTTTCTTAATTTAATGGAACTATTGTTGAATAAATTCTAATAGTTTTGAGATAAGTGGAAGCCAGTCTGTAATTCATGATACTTACATTCCATTTTGCTTAAAAGATACTGGCAACACAGTAACATTTCCAAGATCATCTGAAAGATTTGAAAGTGATCTTTGGAATGTGTTTTAAAAGTACTCATAAAAACACTTATCCCTTGAATAACATTTTAAATGCTTAAATACTGAGATATTTGGAATTATTTCGTTACAGGTCCATTATTTTCAAATAATTCCATTGATTGATGATATATCAATGAGATCAAGGCTTACTTGTAATTCTACATTGATGAATTCACTCACTGATTTGTTGATAGATTTGAATCTGTGTGTTAAGTGGTGTCTATTAGTGTCAGTCAATACTAATCTTATAATTACAAAACATTTCTGCTGAATTTGTCTACTGTAGTCGCTGGAAGTGATATATTTGTGGACAAAAGCAGTTCATTTTATTGGTATTCGACTATACGGAGTATGACTGTTCGAACTGTTTCTGAGTAAAATGTCAACTTTCAGATGCACCTTGTCTTCTAAAAAAATGGTTGAAAACTCTTACATTTCAAATATTTGATGGCTTGGGAGTTTCAGCCAGTTATACCTGAAAAGAAGCATCATTATGAATTTACTGAAATGTTTATTTGATCTATGAAAATTAGGTATTATTTCAGACTACAAGGCGTTCACCGATGCTGTGTTACGTCATTTAGTGACCACACTGCACACTTTATCAATTGGTTAGGGTTAAATCCAGAAAAATTAACAATTTTTTCTATTATTTCCCTTCCAAGTTTCAAATACAAAACCAACTCTTCTCCGCATATACTACATCTTAAGCATACGATTCCTTTGTTCCGAGAAGCAAAATTCTTCATGTTACCCATCAAGTCTTCGGCACTGTCAAAATGGGATAGGGATGCAGTAGGATTTAAGTAACACAGATTTAAATGACATTATTCCAAACACACTAGAATTCTCCGTATTATGAAATTTAATATCAGAACATTGTCGACTTTACACTTTAGACAATATTTCTTTGAGAAAGTAAATTAACACATTGATCAGTGTGCCATAGAAACATTTGACTAGTCTACTGTATTTCTTGCCGTGGTGACGTAGCTGGTAACCAGTCAATAAACATTCACTTCTACAGACAACTATTTATAAGACGGATGAATACTTTGAATTCTGGAGGATACTTATTCTTGACTGTTGACTGACGGTTTCGTCAGAAATCAGATATAAAATAAAATTCTCTTAAGTACTGTTTTGCTTTTGTTCAGTCAACTAGTTTTTTACTGACGCCCTAATCATGAATCATATTTAAAATAGACCTAAGGAATTAGTAACCTTTTTGAGTTACAGAGTTCTAATAAATAACCGACAGCATATTCCACACAGTCACACTTAATCATCCGGCTTTAATTTTTCCATTCTCGTCACACATATACGTTTACATATGGAATATAAATCCGCTCGGTTTATCAAGTAAACCTACTTAAGTGTTCCAAAATTCTACTTTGTGCAAGGTACGAGATACCTTCAGAAGGTGGATGAGTAGACCACTAATTATATTTCTGATGATTTTTTTTTACTAAAAAACAACTCATTGTACCAGTAACCTTTGCAACATCTATACTTCACTTATTTTTACAGGCACTACTCAAGTTATCATCAATGGTCTAAGATTTACTCGTGATATGCTAATCTTCGTTGGTGGTGTAAGAGTGCAGAATTTCACTTTTGTAAACGAAACGCAAATTATAATGTTGGCCCCGCCTCAAAAGATAAATGGTGAAAAATTAATAGCGTTGTTTGATTCACAGAATATTCTTATCTCCCCCGAGTATGTGATATGTATTATATTTTATGAGAACTAATCTTTTGAAGAGTATATATATATGTATATATACCGCCATGCTTGCTTTCTTGATGGGATTTTATGATATCATGTAGATCATATATAATGATATGAATAATTTTGCCTTCAGAAGGAAACTGTGATAAAAGTTCACCTTTTACTGTGTAATTTAATAATTGATAATCGTATTCCCCTGAAGAGACATTCGTCAAAATTTGACCACTACACAAAGACTCAATCTGTAACTTACTAAGCACCTAAACTCATTTTCGCAGAGAAAATAATCTACACTATATAGTACATATTGCCAGCACTTCTGCAATAGTCTCACATTCCAATGTGTAAGCCAGTTTATATGTTTGGCCATATATACATATATATGGATAGGACCCATTGATCTTGTCCGGCTAGAAACATATAACACATTCTGAAGATGGTTCAAGAACAAATAAAATCATGCATTTCAAATGGCTATAGGTAATAGATGCCTAAACTCATTTCTCGCAAAACACATCACAAAGATGGGCATAAAGTTAGTGTAAGCAGTGCCTTGATATACACCTAGTACATATTTGAACTACAAGCTTAAATTCGTCCATATTCTGCTGTAATAATGTTTAAACCTCTTATATTATTTTTGATATAAGTATAAAACTTGGGCACTGTGGTAGAGTATAACTCCATTACAGATAAGATTTTATTTTGATAAATCACACATTGTTATACAGTAATATTAACTGATGACGTTTCGAGCACAAACCTTTACTCATAATAATATCAACTTACCTCAGTATTCTTATTTTAAAAGTGTATGGTATTTATACAATGACATTTACCTTTTTTCATTCCTTGCCTCCTATCTCAACCTCAAATGATCACTTGATCTATACCGACTCCATTTTAACCTTTTGTATGGTAGGCGTGCGTACAGTTAGAATGTTTGGAATGTGTCATGCAGATACATGACATATTTTATGTAAATTGGGTTTTCTTACGGTTTTGTCAAGATCCATAAAAGGAGTTAATTGCTTTATGCTTCTGTTGAATCTTTTAATTTCACTTTTGGATTGTCATACACACTAAGTCACTCTATGTGGCCGGCCAATGTGTATCTTTCCTGTTTCATTGTTCAAGGAAATTTTCTGTTACTTCATGTTGCAGCAAGATTACTGATCTGTTAAACAAAGGGTAGGACAATTTATAAAAAAAGAAAGCTGTTGGGAAGAAGGGGGTAAGGAAATTCGACATTTATAGGGGAAGATTACGTTCGAATTAAGATTTAAAACTGATTTAACTTCATTTTCTTTAACTTTGCGATACACATAACATAATGTAACATAACACTAAAAACCAGTTAGCATACTCCTGACATTTTATAACAAATAAGTTGACTCATAACTGAATACTAAAGCACTATTTCCATCAGATGTGCGGTTCCTGAATTAACCATGAAAGCATTTGATTTTTTGATGCAGTTAGCATAGGTTATTCACCTATTAAAAACATTACCTAAGAAATATGTGACTGTTTACAAAATCACACGAAATATTCAAATTGTCTAATATATTATACTATTTGGAGTATGCCTAGAATTCCGGTACAAAACTTTTCTCTCCTTTTCTGTACCTATTCCTGCTTATCATTCCATTTTAGATTTTCAGTTGTCTATCAGTTTGAACTGTCTAGCGTACAGCCTCAAATTGGAAGTTTTATGGGTGGACAAATTCTAAATGTAGATGGAGAGGGATTTGACAATCAAACTAAAGTTTTCATGAAACCAATTGATGATAAAAGTCAACTATGTTTTGATCGGCCTGCATCCGAGTGTGAAATTCTTTCGAGGGATTCAAGGAAAATACAATGCAAAACAGGGTCATTGGTTAAAACACATTATGTATTTGATAGTGGTGTGAGCCCAGGTGAGTTTCGTTTATGAGTTCGTCTTTTTCAAATGATCTACTACTAAGTATTTATTTTAACAGAACACCATGTTTACTATTTAATCGATAAAAAATTATTCATGTCACATTGGTACTTGTTGTTAATCCAGTTCTTTACAAGAGAATTTCAGTGTAAGTTTGAAGCCATGTGATTTCAGATAATTGTACACTTGATATGATTTCGAAAAACTGAATAAAATCAACGTGTTGGCATATAATAAGTTCGTGAATATTTTTAATATTTGCTTCACAAAATATTGAAACTATTAATAAAATTCAAATGAACCGTCGTCAAGATTTGACAGAATAGTTCTAAAATATTTGGGCGCCGAGTGAGGAGTAGACATTTGTAAAAAATTGATATTTGTAAAGTCTCAGCGAGAATTACTCATTTCAATCTCGCTGAGACTTTACAAATATCAATTTTTTACTAATAAAATTTGTATTTCTATGGTTAGTTTCCAGTTCATTGATTTAAGTACTATGTTTGCCACTAGCTAACATCACTTTTCGAAACACTAAAACATTCATAATGCATCTATGCAGTTGAACTGGAATTTAATCATCTGTATTTGCTAATTGTCATTTCAAAGTACAGCACAATCATTATTTAATCCCAATTAATAATAATTTGTGGTGTAAGATACGTAGGTAATACATAGAGAAACACTCATTAGTAACACTGGATGAGTTGGACACTAAGTCCTGAAACAATCTATGCTCACAAATTGCAACCTAACTCAATGACTGTGTACGTTAAATATTGTGAATCTCCTTATGTACTTTGCGTAGAAGTACATTATCTAGAAGCCAAACTAGTACGAAACATATGATAGTTACTTTGTGATTACTAATGAAGTACATCAGGTAAATTAAAGTGGCTTTATGTGTCGCACAAAATTAAGAATATAATGATATATTGATAATATTTGGAAGATTGAACGAGGTGGTAAGTAGTCCCTTAATAAATTTCATGGAAGTAGAATAGTTTAGTGATTCCGAATTTCTAAACAAATATTTTTGGATGCATTCTATGGTTATGAATGAATTTTAACTTTGCATCTGATGTGATTTAGCCGGCAGGCAAAATCTTGGTGCGAATGACATTAATCTAATACTTATTCATTCCACCGTAATTGTTAGTGTCTATAAAATCAAAAAATCAAATACTATGACGCAATACAATGGCTTTTGAGTGAACTTTGGTTCAACCCAAGGCTGGTCCTAACATTTAGCAGGTGAATATCAAAACTGTTAATAAAGAAGCTCTAACAATCGACTGATCAGTCGACACTTATTCATCCATTGGTAATAATGAATGCATTTATGCCTAATTCATCCTTCGAGTGACTCTTAGGAAGTTGTCCCCCTTGAATAACTAGACAAACTTAGATATTGTTCTAGCTTAATGGAAATTTATGAAACTTCTCCATTAAGCTGCAGCTGTGAAATCAGAAACCAGTACGGGACTTTACTTTTCATATCAAGGAACGCATGTGAACCGCAGCTAGTTACAAAATCAAAGCACTGGCATATTAAGTGCTTTTCCAAATGTCTTAGCCAGGGAGAACGAAATAAGTATGGCTGAAAGTAGTTTGACTAAATTTGGAGCTTCGCGTGCAGTGTATTATGCGATAACAGAAGTTCAGTTTCGCTAACTTTTCGAAGGTAAGTTAGGAAAGCAACTTCCGGACACTGAGCAACACACGATTTTAAAAGTGTTTACCAAATCCAATGCAGCAAAGGGCAGATACTGTGATGACTTCTATGTATGCATTTTTTCAGCACTAACTGTAACCATGACTGAACTGATATTCACTATGTTACTGAACCAGTCTACGTTTTCATGAGGCACCATCATCAACCAGGTCTTCAAACCAAGATTTAGAAATCGCTCAAACCTCACTTTAATCTGACGCATATTGTTGTTAAACTACTATAAAAAGTCATCCGTCACACTTCTGTTCATTTTACTGAAGCCTACAACCTTTTTGCTGGAGAACAGCATGGTTTTCCAAAAGACTGTTCTTCCCTTACCGGTATCTTCCCTTACCTAAAAGCTGGGCTATATTAGTCACCTTTATAGCATTTCTCACTCAGACCTTCTGGTAAAATTAGGTATTTCAAGAATCAACAAAATGATAAGATATTGCATCCCTATGGGAAAGAAGATAAAAAGTTAAGGTTTGTGGTACTCTGTCGTTGTTGCATAATTTGAAAAGGAAACCTAAAATTATTCTGATGTTAAATTAAACTGTATGGACGTATATACAGTATTATTATTATTACACAAACATGAGTGCAGTTCAACTTCACTTTTAAAGCCAACAATTTACCTGAGCTTTTACTGGGTTCTGCAAAAGGCTACATAAATCTTTGAACAGCCGGTTATTTAATGCTGTAATATAATCCACTATATAGTCATTTTATTTAACGAAAATGTACAGTGAAAGAGTATCATTCACTGAGAACGTTTAGAAATCAGTTTATTGCTGATAATCCTACTAACCCCATTATGAGCAACAAACTGAGCCCGAATCATAAGTAAATAATGTTGAATCAGTCGCTGTTTTGCTCAGTAAAATTATTGTGATGGAATTATATTCTACCACAGAGCTCAAATTTTATTCCTTTATTGGCTAAAACCATCGTCTAGGTGAATGTCATAGATGTCACTTTAAATACTCTGGACTCATAAAACGATGCACTATTCGTCTAAAGTATAACGGCGTTGTGCAAGAAATCTGAACTTGAAAAAACTCAAAAAGAGAATAAAAATCGAGAAACGATGAATTTGTCCACTTCTGACGAAAAATATTTCTCCAAGTTATACAGAATACATGTTTATCTAATGTTTAATTTTCCAATTAACAGAACGTGGTGTGGGATATGAATGGCAACCAAAGACTTTAACAATAATTCAAGGAGATAGTGTGGTATGGATTTGGAACACAACTACACGTACAAATCCTATTATGGTAGCACAAGCAACTGATGTTGAAGATCTGACTCCTTTCGCTCTTGGATTTCATAGTGGTGAACCGACAATGAAAGGTAATTTAGTCAATCTGACTTCAATCTAAATGTTTGCGTTTACTTCTAAACCAAAGTTTGAAGTATTTCTCTCTAGGATTAGTTGCTTTCTAGGAGTGGTATTGAATAGTGACTCTCTGAAAAATCCAATATTCCCTGAGATCTTGTTTTCGTGACTTTGAATTATCAGTTCTATTCACTTTGAGGGCTTGACCTATTGTGGACATATTACAGCATATAAATTGTTTTAAGCAGTTAGTTTTAATGCCACTGAGAGAGAATCTCGGTTGCTAGTTTATCAAAATATGATTACGAGATTTAAAAGAACTAAATCAACAGTAGGGAATAAACGGTTGAGATTTCTTTTAGAAACTGTCTTTAATCTTGGATGGGATAATTTAAAGTAATCTTGTAGCTTTATTTTCTAGTCGTATTTACTGTCTGGGCAAAATAACTAATCTAGGTCAACATAAAATAAGGTCAAATTTAATTCAAAGCTACATTCTATGTTTACAATTAATATATATATGTTAAAACAATTTTCTGTATGTTTTGCATTTAGGAATATACAGTTTCAACTTCACTGAACCTGGAACCTATTACTATGTGTCATCAAATGAATTTACGATGATGGGAATTATAGAAGTTCGACCATTCGATGATTGTATAACTGAAGTTGTGGTGCAAACACAGTATTCAACAGCCATCCATAAAAACGTTTCAGGTGTGTGTACATTAGTTAATTTGTTACTCTTCTAATAATTTCATCATCACAGTATTATCTAGCGAAGGTGTATTCTTAACATTATTGTTTCCATCAAATGTTCATCACACTGTTATACCTAAATTTAAAAATAGGTTTTTCTGTAGTCAACAGTCTGATGTGTATTGTCTTGGACAATGTTTTGTTTTTGTTTTGTTGAACTAAGACTCTGCATGATAAGAATATCTAATGACTGAAGCCGAACAGAAAGTTAACTAATGTATATGAAATTATTTATGTTGGATGCATGGTGTTTTTTTCTTTGGCATAATAAATTTCATACCAGCAAAAATGACGCAAACGCCTTGTTTTAATTAAAATTTACCAGTAAATTCCCATTATTTCTATAATAATAACTATTTAATTTTTTGCTTTTATTATTTCTACTGACAGTTTCCGCGAACTGGGACTCTGTAGCAGCTTGTGCTGGAGGTTTAAGCTGCAGCAGTTTAACCAAGCCTGCAGCACTCTCTACAAAGCATGGATATGTGTATCGAGGTTGTGCAACTCCGACGGTGTCTTCGTTTAGTCCATTCACCTTACATGCTGAAAGTGAAGTTGAGGTAACTTCAGACATATTATCAAAATGTGCGAATGAAGTGATTATCACGGTTGGCGGAGCGAATTGCATATCACCTTTACGTGACAATAATTCACTGAATTCCATTAAATGCACTTTGCAAGAAGATCAGGTTGTATTGGCTGGTTTGACAACTGGACAGCCATTAAGACCATCTGTTTTCCACAAAGATTTTGGAATGGGACTTCTCACAGTATCCTACAATGAGTTCGAACGGTATGCATTTTTCTTACCCAGGATTAATTGTGTGAAAACAAGGGGAATAGGAAGTACTCAAGGAGGTGGACAGTTTATCATTTATGGTTCTGGATTTGTTTCTAAGAATACTGATTTGAATGTGGTAACACTTCGCTCTAGTCAGAAATGTTTGGTGATTCAAGCTACTTCAGGTTATATTAAGTGTTTGATTCCGGTACCGAGTAATACTTCAGTCACATTGAACGATGTAGGAATCCAAGTGATGGTAAAGCCAAAAGATCAGAATCAGTGGGTGGATGTTGAGCCCAGCAGCCCAGATGGTTGTATATATTCATACTCTTTAGCAGCAACGCCCATAGTAAAAACAATTGAACCGCGAGAAGTGAGTAGTAATGATACTATAAGAATCGGTGGAAGCAATCTTTTGTTCCCTGGAGAAAATGTGTCATCAGTACAAGTATATCTTGATAACGCTCCATGTATAGTTGACCCATTATCAAGCAACGCAAGTCTGTTATTATGTCAAGTAATTGGATCTTTACCAGCCGGAAATGTAAACCTTAGATTATTGCATGAACTACGAGGCAATCCTAAGTATGAGACAAGTTTAACCCTAAGAAGCAAGACTACTGTACTTACAGTGGATCCTAAGGAAGGAAGTTTCGCTGGAGGTACAGTTGTTAAAATAACTGGGAATGGTTTAAATGATCCGACGTTTAAAATTTATTTTGGCTCAGAAACATGTCAGATAATGAGCGGAAACAGATCCGCATCTCAAATTTACTGTGTAACACCCCCACAAATAAGCTTTTCAAATTTGACGAATTATACAGTGGCAGTTAATGTTTCTGGTGGATATTCGCTTTCTGATGGATTCACATACGTAAACTCAAAAACTCCAAGAGTGATCAATGTAACAACTAACTTCACTATGGTTAATGGAACGTCAGTCAGCCAATTAAATGTATACGGAAGTATGTTACAAGGTGACTCCTTGCAAGGCAAACAAACTGAAGTCAAATACAACCAAAGAACATGCGTGATACAAATAATTCGGAATGATTATATCCAGTGTTACATAACTAATTTGCCAAGTGACCAATATCAACTCGCTGTGAATGTACCAGAATATGGTTTTGCAATTTCAAACTTTTCCACAAAAGTTGACTTCTCTGTGAATTCTATAAATCCCGGTACAGGTTAGTCAAAATACCTTATAATGTTTGTTAACGTGTATTATTACTGAGGTCTCCAGTTAATTTTAAAATACAAGAAGAGGATTATTAAGAAAGGCGATATATGTATACTGCATATTGAACCTTCAAAACAAGCGCAGAATTTCAGGAATCAGCAGCAGTATATATATATATGATGAAACATGTGAAATATCATTTGAAACTAGAAAGTTTATCAGATCGGATATAGGGAAAGTCACTAAACAATACCATTTGATATAGGCCATGTTACGTGATGAATTGGAAGAAGCAGAAATTCGTGACTATGTTCCCAGTACATGGTTGGAGAATAAAGCACTCTGTAAAAGATAAAAGTACTAGTCTTGATACTATATACTGTGTTTTAAGAGTTGCAAACCATATCAGATTCGACTGGTCTATAGTAGTACTTTGACCGATGTTATTATGTGGTTATTAGTTCTTCTGAAGTCTTAATTTTTGTTCTTTCGGTTCACATTTCATAACACATATATCACACTTTCTCAATGTCTGCATTCCCTTCTACATTTGGATGACATTTTGAATCTGTCAGTCTGGGTACCATTTTTAGCACACAAGATTAAATTCCCAGTTCATATAGGATACAGAAACTATGAAACTGAATATAACTTCTAAAAATACTTTTTCTGCAAATATTCATCTGGAAAATTAACTGAAAGAATTACTCTTGATATATATATTATAGTAATAAACAAGTAGATACCAGAAAACTAAACCCATAGAATGTTACTTTTGTTCCGAGACGACTAAAGTCTTATTATGTCACGATCTGTACCCTACACCACGTCATTTTCAGCATTGTGACTTCATTTTTCACAATTAAATAATCTTTTTTTAAGTATGTATAGACGACCGAAAGCAGCTTGAAGGGAAACTGTTACTTTATCTGGTCTTTGTTGTGCTAATTCAGAATCAAAATATGTCAGATTTTAGAAAAAAATCTCGTTGTTTGCAAATTACACAGTTCAAAGTTAAAATTCACTCAGTTTCCATTAGAAACCAAAATTATTCAGGTCATATTGTTCTACCAACTCGACGTCATAAATGGAAATCATGAAAGCATAAGAAAGAGCACTATAGTGTACACTTCTGAGTGGCGTTAGTATTTAAAGTCTACCTACGTCAATCAGTGGAGCTTGGTAACCAAATGAAAATGATTTTAACATTGTTTGGCTGTTTTGCACACTACGAGATAGTAAAACGAAATGCACGAAAGGGATATGTTTGTTAGAAAATGAGACATCTCGGGAAACATTATTTTAACGCTTTATATTAACTAAAAAATTAATCAATTTTTGTTAAAATATTTACTTACTTTTCACAATATTTAAAGGTAGTACAAACGGTGGACTTCTGGTCGAAATCCAGGGTGTAGGAATGGATGCAGAGAAAAGTACAGTTACAATATGTGAACAACCATGCACGTTAGCTGGAGGTAGTTCACTCGCATTAAAGTGCATTACCCCTAAAATGCGTAAGTGCATTAAAAAGTTTTAAAGATATGACATATAGTATGATTGCTCTATGAAAAACCTTCCAGTAGTTAACATATTAAGCATCTCACTATATATCTGCTAATCTCCTTAAAAATTGAAACTTGTACTTCTGAAGTGCAATACTGCTTCAATGAATTCTGTCTCAAACATTAACAAGATTTTTAAAGTCTGTTTTTGGTGATTTTCCATCAACAATGAAACATTCTCATCATGTTATTTCCTCTGGAGATTTGAACAGAACTTGTTATGTCTCAAACATTCACAGAAAGCAGTGTCTACTTGTTCAGTTGTAGGTCCTTGTCACTAGGTACCAAAGGACTTATTACTGGAAATTAGAACTTGTTTCAAAATGCTAGTGATAAGTATAAACTCCACAAAGGTGACATTACGTCAACTCGAATAAGTTTATTGATGTATAGGTGTAAGGAAACTCGCCCAGTGTTTCATTTTACCAATGAATTGAATAAAAGGACTTCAATTCTAAGCCATAATCTTCAATTAGTAAACTGTGAATGGAATGTATGGCATTAAAAATGAAAATTCAGCTAGTCGTCTGTTCAGTAGACTATACACAAAGGGACTGTGATTCTGATATAAGTTGTAGCATGATTCAATTATTATAGTTAGCCATTTGACCACTTTCTTTTGGTCTCAAGAAACGGGATGAAGAGTTTGATTTTTTGTAGTCGGTGCGCTTTTATGTCATAAAAACGAAATCAGCTATGCACTGTCTGTGAGTTAAGACACTAGCATTTCAAAAATTTGAATATCGGTGTTTCCAGTCTTGGTGTAAATGCAGTTATTCAACGAAGATTTGGGTGTGAATATCCAAGATACCAATATCTAATTATTTGACTGCTTTAACAGCATGCTTTCCACCATCAAATCAAAAATTTATTCAAACGTTTTGGTAATATCCGACCACCGAAGTCATAAGTTCTTAGCATTAGGTCATATGCTGTGTGGTTTTACTCACTAATTTAGGCTTCTGAACACTAAAAATGATTTTCCGTAGGCATCATTTATGATAGAACCCTGACCGAATCATCCTTGATCCAGCAGATTTTGGACTATAAATAGAATTATTTTTCATGAGACATCACTATTGTTCCTATAGCGTTTGTTTAGTTATCATCCAAAGTCAAACTTACGACAGGTAACCAGTGAATACTGAATCACTGAAGAAAATATCCTGATAGTCATTTTTGTCTCCACGTAACTTTATTACTGAACAATTTTTTTTATTTCAGGGATTCTAGTAACTTTTTGTTTATTTATTAATTTATAAAATTAAGTTTTTTACTTCTCTCATTCCTTCAGCTACACAAACTGCGAAATCATGTGACGTTGTTGTAACAGTTCCTGCCAGTGGAAACGTCTTACAAAAAGCTCTTTCATCAGCTTTCGTCTATGATCCTCAGCTTACACCAAACGTAGTAAGTGTAGACCCCTTAATCGGTGGCACTGGAGGAGGCACAAATCTGACACTTATTGGTAATATGTTTGAGTAAGTAATTCCCTAAAAAATTTTAATACATTTAGTAACTAAATTAAAATTTTACTTGTGAAAAAGAACTTTTTACCTGGTAAACTACCGAAGTTAAGCGTATTTTTGTGGTGAACCGAATAGTAACTGACACGCACAATTGTACTTTATTAACAAATCAATGTACAGTGAGGTACTATTCAAGCATTGATTGTTATTCTGAAAAATGTATGATTGAAGATTTTTCTAATTTTAAATTCGTTTAATCAAGTTTTCACCGGTTAGCATAATCTATGAGACTGCATCAAATAGGAAACAAATCAAACAAATTGTGAAAAGTTAAATCAAGTTATCAATTCGCAGATTATTGCACGATTAAAAATTCACACAGTTCAAAGTTGAGTTTCGATTCTCTGAACTGAGTAAAGCCGCGTACACAACTGATGACCCTGGCCTCAAATGAAAGAAACACTTCTCTTATGTTTGAATCATTTCGATCTGGATAGCAAATATTTCTAGTTTATGTGAGTGTTATCCGACCAGTCATATCAATCACTCAGTACTATATAGCATTATGCATTCATGATGAAAGACGTCAGTTCACAACAAATCACATGTACTGAAATTGAACATTATTTCAACCTAAAGATCCTATTCGATTCTGTCGAGGCTGTCTGAATGCATTGTTTGAAGAATATCACGATATTTTACACTACAGTGCTTACGTATCAGTCTCATACTGGCTTATTACATATATTCACTAATCGAGCAAAGTAATTCAACTGATGAATTTAATTGCTTCAGATGGTGCACTGATTTCGTAATGTTCATCGGTCGCGATTGGTTTACCTGCCACAAATTATATTGAAATGTAAAAAGGAAAATATCTTACTACCACTGTACACTACTAACACTTATTTGTTTTTCTCCGGTAATGTAGTGTAAGCATCTTTCTTAAGTTTAGTAAATTAACATAATAAACTACACTACTCATTTAACGACCACAATCCACTAACTTCTGCTAACCCAGTGTTGAAGCAATATTTTCCAATTAAATAGTTCATTCGGTTATAAGACGAAGATCCCTTGTAATCAGATGTAGTTTGATGATTCCCTTTAATATTACTAAACTGTTTAAATGAATAAGATTGTGAACACGTTAGAATTCGGTCGTACATATTTTAATTGCATAGCTCAGTAACATGTGGGATATTATCAGTCATTGGCGTTGTGCTGGGGGCTGTCTGTACTTAGATTTTATTCAGTTTGTTGATAAACTGTTTGAAGTTATTGTGTTCAAATTCGAGTTTACCTACTAAACTATTTATTCTAATGGCCCATAAAACATGTTTGTGCTGATGTTGTAAGGAGTGTTGCTCAGCCATTCTGAAGTACAGGACTATAAGTGAACAGCATTTCGGATGTATCTAGTTTAATATATTTGAGCAGACTAGCAATGTGTTTTTAGTAGTCAGTTAATCAGGAGTACTGTGGAGTTGTCTCTTATTATCACTGTTGCAACTGCTGAGTACGGACAATTGAAATGAAATCCCATGATTGATCTGATTCCTAAAAAGATGAGTTTTCATAAGTGCGAGTTCTACTTTGAAGTTTCCGTAACGAAAATCACGCACACTAAATGTATTTCTAACGGGATTTCATCATGAGCTGACATCAGTTAGAGAACCACTGGAAGACCTAGGAGTACTGAACGGCTGTTTCGTTCTAGTTTGAAACTCCCGATCACTACGCATCCACTGCCAGGTTTAAAACCCAGGACCTTTCGATTACAAGGCGAGTTCGTAGACCATTACACCACTGGGACTCGATCCAGTATTCATCTGATGTTCACTGCCTACTGGTCGAATTCAGGTAGGTAGTTACCTGGGTTTCAAGTGGGATATTTTGACCAGTGGGGTACAGCAGGTCAATTGTGAGAACAAGTACTCGCTGAGGACATTGGCCAGTGGTGGCGCTATATGGGGAATTCGCAGAAGTTGGGTCGGGTTCCAGTGTCTGAATTGTCTACGAGCTCGTCTTGGAACATGAAGGTCCTGGATTCAATCTCCATGTGGTGGAAGTGTACTGATGAACAGTTCCAAACGGCTGTCCAGTACTGCCAGGTTTCGCAGTGGTTCTCTCAGCGATGTTAACTCATGATGAAACCCTATAACCAATCGAATCCTTACAAACCAACACTTGAAATGCATTTCTGAGAAGCGTTACGCTTTACACATCAGAGTGGAATCTTCCTTGCTCGATATGCATATTACGGTAGTGAAAATCGAACAATCTCTTCAATACTGTTTGATAACCATCTCATATCACACAATAATTTACAAAAAATAAATATGTGACTTTAATTTGTGACAACACGGTGATATACTCCAGGTTTTTGCTTTTTATTTCTGAATTATGAATCATACTATGGCTAGTAAAATGGCGAAAAATGGACTGAAAACACAGCCTAGTTATGCAAAGAAACTATAGGAAATTCAGCCTTAGTTTAAGATACTGAAGCAGAAATACATCATTTCCACTAAATATACACACTGGAATCTTAGGCCACTCTGTATTTTGGTTTTCGTAGTAATTACAGTCATGCATTTTAATCTATTGATATAATGCTGCATTCTGAAGACTAATACACAAAATTTGAAAAACCGTGCTTAAGAGACAATCCTTTTTCTACACTTTATAAACTTTGTTTAGGATGTCTTAACTGTGTGGCGTTTTATTCCGACAACTCTGCAATGGTTTCCAACAAAAAATGCATCATTTAAACTACAGTGTATGACCTTTTGTTCATTAAAAATAAACTTAAAATTAAGTAGTGTCTATAGTAACCAGTGGATACACTCACAAACTTCAACTGTATTTCTATTACTTCTCAGCCTATTGGTGGAGCTGATCACACTGGAGGATTTCAAATACCACTTGAGTTTTTCAGGCTGAATCATGTTAGATGTAGCTAAAAAACTAATTTTCAGACAGTGTATTCAAAATAATGAAATAATCTAGTAGCAAATTTGTTTCCTGAGGTTCGTTTTACCCTTATATATTGATTAATTTTTCATCATCTGTAATCAAACTCACGTCAGATTCCCGTCTTTATGTTTCTCAGTGATAATACAACAGTCAGTGTCGGTGGAAGTCAGTGTCAAATAATATCTATCAACGATACCACAATTACCTGTCAAACCGGTGTATACAATAGAAGTGAGAAAGTACCCGTCGATGTTATAACTGGAAAATATGGAAAAGCCAGTGGAGTAAGTCCATAACTTCATGGGTAATATCTAAGTTAAAAATTGGCCACTGTACTAATGACATGAAATTTGCCTACAAACTGAAAATGTTTTCTATTAGTAGTAGCCTCCTTGTGGGACATTGTCTTTAGCTACTTATTATGTAGACAATAGTTATGAATGTTTAACATGCATAACGAATCCATTTTTGTAAACTGTCTGTTTTCATTTATCTGAATAGGCGAGATATAATAATAATAATGACTTTATTCCAAACAGTACATATGATACCAAGTTTTGATGCGATAAAAGTGGTCATATAACATTTCCTCGTTGTACACCACTTGAAAAATTACCGTTGAAACGTGAAATGTGTACAGGCATTATACGCACAGGATGGTAAATCAGAATTTTCAGCAACTACCAATACTTGTGTTTAATTGTAACAATGTCTAGCAATTGTGCTGTTTATTACAACGACTTGGTTACTAAATAAACTTTTTGAAAAGCAAACTAAAACAAGCACGGGAAGGTGATAGAGACAGCCCTGTTGCATTCATCGTGAAGCGAATAGCGAATTTCAGACACAAAACGGAACCCGTTAGTGCTTTCACGTTTAATTAGTATACACCTGAAAACTAAAATGCTGTTTATCGGCTTGTAAACCGAACCTCTTGTGAATCTGATGGAATGTTTAGTGTACTGTTATTTCACTTTTGATCTTTTTGTCTTTTCTTCTTTTCACTATACTTACGCACTTGAATTTACTTTTATTTGTGAATTGAAGCTAAGTCACGACTGCTTTCACCATTATTATTTTTTAAGTACTGGTTTGTAGAGATTTGATTGCTCACAGGGTTGGTCACGGATAGAGATCAGTTAGAGAATCATCAAAAACCAGGGGTGCCGAACAGTTGCTGTGTCTAACTTTGAGACTCTTCAGGAATACGCATCCATTACCGCGCCGGGTGTCGAGCCTAAGAACCTCAGATTACGAAGCCGTCTCACTGACCATTTAGCCACCGGGATGGAATCCATGGTCTCATCTAGCTGGTATCAATCCGTTATCAAACTTGAAAATTATTATCTATTCATTTAGCACTTATGATCACTTCATTGTTCAGTATTATCAAGCGTGCTTGCTAATCAATGTGCATCGGTGGCACAGTGGTTAGGACTCTCGCCGACCATGCACGTGGTCCGGGGTTCGATCCCCCGCCGACGCACATCTGCTATCTATGGTCGGTCTGCGAAATTTGGGCTACCGATATCACATGCTGAAAATTCCATACCTGTACCAAAAAACACGGTGTGAAATCAAGCTGTAATCAAAAATTAAAAAATAACAAAAATATTCCCTCTCAAACTATCGTATTTCACTCGTTGTTCTCATTGTCACAGATTTTTATTTATTTCTATGTAGTCTATTAAATTCACTAACATTCTGTGCCGCGTCGTGAATCCGTGTATGTATGCATTTTTTCATTGCATAAGAGTATGCGAAGTCGTGTGAAAACTAAGAAACGCCTCTTTGTATACACTTTCTACAATGATAGCAGTTTCTTTATTCAGAAATTATAATATTGGTTATACCATTAACGTTTCCTGTCTTTTAATATTTTTTTCTTACTCCTGAATGTTGTCAAATAAGAATTTCATTTTCTACTATGTGGATCGTTGGTCAAGTCGTTTTACTTGGAATAACGAACCAATACCAAAGGAAAATGACTTTGTGGTTATCAACCAAGGTCAAAATGTCATGTTAGATACAAACACACCAGTTCTCTCAATGCTACTGATCAATGGTGGTACACTGTTCTTTGACCCAACAAAGGATGTTCAACTACATGCAAAATACATACTGATATTAAACAATGGAAAGTTTCTGGTAAGCTAAATTTCAATCTTAGATGAGCTGTATCCTAACAGTTCATTCTGTACGAAATGCAGTGTGATTTAGGAAGAGAAGCAAAAGAAAGGATAATAAATATGTAACTTTTTGTTGTATTATATGCTTTCTAAACCAGTTAGAGTCCTTCTAATGGGTAACATATAGCAAACAGCTTAGAAAACATATTCTAATTTAATTGTGAATTATTTTTTTCAAATTAGGTAAACGGCTTATGGCATGTGATTTCCCCGAGGAAACAATTTTCTAAGAATCTCAGAAAATAACTGTAGAATAAACTAACTAAATAATTTTTCAAGAGTAAACTTGTTCTCTTCTTGAAGATCTATAGTTTCCTGCATTGAAACATAAACATCTAGTGTAAAATTAAGGGTGAATTATTGTACATATAAAGCTATGCAGGTTATTGACTGACAACATATAGAAGCTTCAAAGTATCAGGGGCCAGCCTATATTAGACTGGCCACACCTACTCAACATAAGACGCGTTTATAAATAATTATGAGAAGTTTTACTCAAGCAACTTTGAGTGTCAATAAAAATTTAATGATTTCCAAACAGCTGAACATTAAACTGAAATTATTTAAGTTAATTTGAACTTTTCTGTTGATTGGTTGGACTGAAATGTTCGGCTTGTGTTGACATGTCGGATCCTTGTGTGGATGTCTCGAGAATGTTTGCAGATTTCACCTGAAATGATTTAGTGAGTGGTGCTAGCTGATACTTGTTGCTAGTCATCCATCATCCACTAAATTATTAAACTGAAATGACTAAAAATTCGACACTCACCTGTCACTTAAACATCCACAATTCAGTCAAAACTGTCTACTGAAGCCGGAGGAAAGAGACGATGAAAAATAGACAGTTGGTGGGGATATGAGAATCTGTTTGTGATTCATTTAAGTTAAATTAGCAGTCTTTTCCAAAGGAAAGGTATGTAAACAGAGCTAAACAAATATAGTCTATCTCTCAGACAGTTGGATCTCAATCCAATCAATGGAATGTCAAGTTATCTCCTCAAAATTATTAATTTCTCACCTTATTCTGTAAGGTATACTGTGCAGTTACTGATCACGAATCTGGAAACGAGATGAAGAAATTGTCTTTTATCTCTCAGTCCATACTGTGCCATCTAGCTGCAAAAACTACCTTGAGACTGAACGGAGTTTTCATGAACACCTGAGTGAGCGTCCTGTACAGTAGCTTTTGGTATTTATTATAGAGTTATGAACTTTGATTATGAATAACATAATCAGTGTGACCAGAGTCTTAAACAAGTTATCATTAAATGACACTGTTCAAGAGACATGTGGAAACCATAGAGTTTTGAACAGCTTTTTCGTCTTACTTTGGTACTCTTCAGCAGTACATACTCATGACCCCATCATGAACCGGAAGGTCCTAGGTCCGATACCTATGTAAAAAACCGGTCTACCCATACAAAATGTATTGGTTTACCTACTTCACCAACGTTCATCTTAATCCAAAGAGTGAAGACATTTATTTCATTTCAGGGAACAGTTTTGGTTGAATTTAAAACAACATACAGGATATAATTCAGTATACAATTCGGAAAGTTTCAGCAAATATTAACATTGATTGTTTAATTGAGTTACAAACATTGCTAGCTAGAATGAGTTCGTGTTTTGAAAACCGCCATATGAAGCAAGTACGTAAAAGATAAGACTTTAAAAATTTTCTACTATTTCAGAATAACACCTATTAAAAAAATATGTAATTTTTTAAAATAAATTCAAAATGATTATTGTAATCTAATAAATATGATCTTCTTGAAACCTAACATTGTAATCTTTACCAATGATTAGATTGGATCACCTGAAGAACCGTACACTAAAATGGCCACGATAACACTCCACGGACATGTAAGAGAGAAAGAACTGCCTTTGTATGGTGCTAAAGTTTTGGCTTTACGCAACGGAACGCTCAGCATACATGGTTAGTTTGTTTCTTGTTAACTTGCATTATTTGTTTCCAATCACTTAATCGGTGTCCACAAAGGAGAAGTGTAGTTCAACACAGTAATAAGATGACCATGCCAAGTACAAAAACATCTTAATAGTATTCATATGATGAAATAATTTAAATTATGAGGACACTTGCAAGTAGTACGTACCAGAAAAAGTGTTAAAAAAATACTGTGAAGATTCTCAAGTTTACATTAGCTAAATTTGCTTTTACAGCTGATCGATAAGTAGTGTCATGCCTTAACGTGGTCACGCAATCTCAGTAGACAATATATTGAAAGTTATTTACAAAGTAAAGGGATTTCTCCCAAAGATTGTACTGATCTGCGTTCTTTGAACTGCCAAGTCCCTAGTCATCCACATGTAAACGCCGACTGTACCCATAAAAAGGAAATCGGTTGGTCTATTTTTTCCTATCCTTGCCTTAATTACAGGTTATCCATTTATGTTAAATTGGTATCATTATAATTAGCGTCATTAACTTCTCCCCTATATGGGCTACGCCCTGTTATATTGTCAATTTCTTATGTGAAACGTATTCACCATTGTTTCTACATATCTTATAATTACATTTAATTTTTGAATACTTTATAATTTTACGCAGCCACCAATTCGAACTTGATATTATACATAAGTTTCTTAATACTAATCATTTGTATTGACTGTTGTAAGTGTTATTTTAATCATCCAAATTTTAGACATATATTACCGGCAATTTTTTAAAATTTTGATCATTTTATGATATGAATAATATTTGAATATTTCTGTTCTTGGCATGTATAGTTAATTACTCTTCTTAATCAAAAAGTATACATGCTTCATAGACATTGCAAATAAGTCTTGTTACACAGCTAAGTGAATGAAATCATTGAACATGGTTGTTTTTCTTCAATTCACATCCCTGTCAATACGTTTAGAAAATGATGTTTAATTCCAAGGAAAACAACATTATTCAGGTTGAATTAAATTGAGTCACTAGTGATTACACTGAGCAAATTTATAGGATAAAAAGGGAAAAAATGAAATTTCGCACGGCATTAAAAGTTTGCCTATAATCACATCACACTGGACAATGGTAGAGATGTATCGTGATCTGAATGAAATCGACTAACCCGGGATAAGTATTTATGTCAACACAAACTAAGATATACCAATTCTAAATTCATTCTTATATGATGATTATGATTTTAATTTCAGAGGTTCCACAAGCTAAGCTGTGACAGTTTTGCTGAAACACGCAACTTAACTGATTCCTTTGTTAAAGGATTCTTAAAACTAATAGTCTACTCTTATAAATTGTCACATTAGATAGTTGGAGGCAATCGGCAGGAAGCCTTGGACCTAGGTTTCGTGCTATGTGGCACTCGTCAGCAAGGCGTGATGGCGAGCTACCTATAATGGTGGCCACATTGCAAACCTGACTGATAGAATTCAGTCAAGGCAACAAAGAAAGGACTAGACACGTCAAACTAGTTTCTAGTTTCCAATTAAAGTATGTCAAAAACTTCATGCAATTCTTCCCATTAATAAACTTGAACAAAGCAAGAACAACAATTGTACCAGGATAATATGAGCTCATCTTTTATTATTTTGAGGATTCTTCTCAACTGGTTACAACCTGAACGATAAAAAATATGAATTACATTACATTAAAGATTTGAACATACTTTTCCACGATCACAAGGAGTAATTGGTAGGAAGTAAAAGTAACATTAGTCCGGAATGATTTAACTAATTAAGAGTTACAAACACTGACTATTTATAGAATAATTCAAATGAACTGTGATCAATATTTGACAGTTTATAAATATTTATAAAATAATTGGGCAGTTAGACTTGGAAACAAAAACAGAGTTGCATATATATATGTGTGTGTATAGAAACAAGGTTTAGCTAGACAGAGCATAACAAAAAAAGGTAGATTACGTAACTAAAGAAAATGCTTTATCTAATAGCCAATAGAAAAAAAAGGAAGAGACAAGAACAAGAAAGGGGGAGTCATGTTTAGATGAGAGAGTAGAGTTTTCTAAACAAGAAAAAGGTGACTCATACAAGTTGAATATTTTGTTGTCACCAGGGCAGTGCAAGATTCACCACTGCCTCTTTCTGCGTACATAGATTTGGTTTAAGTCGTCTGATAGCAATTGCTTCAGCAAAGCGTAGGACTTCTAACTAGAAATATTTTAATAACTGGAACAAATGAACCTGTAGGTTGGGTGATATTCAGGTTTCAGTTTCAGCCATAATAATTATTCCTGTACATTTAGAACACTCTATCTATATATGATATTTCACACAGTGTAATTAACAAAAGATTCATCTAATCAGTTGTGAAAAGAAAAGATTACCAACTGAGACGATAAACAGTTAACTAATAAACTTCAAATGTTGACTAATAAAAATTGTCTAATTTTTGGTTGAGTGTGATTTCGTCCTAGTGATTTCCAGTAGACATAATAAATTTACTTTTTACATTGTGGTTGTAAGACATTTTCCTTTTCCACCAACTGCGACCTTATTTAAATAAACGAGTAAACAGATTTGGTCTTTCATTCTTACACAAGTATTGGTATACAGCACTAAGTGATCATATTCTTTTTTAGGTAAACCTAGGATTGTTACTTGGACTAGACTAACAAAAACTGCAGAAGCCGGAACAAAAACATTGGTATTACAACATCCAGTTGACTGGCAGCCTGGAGAACGTATAATCATAACATCCACAGGGGGAAAATCAGCACATAACCAATCAGAGGAACACATAATTGCAGGTAACTTCATGGAACTCGTATTTTTTTCTAGGGGAATGAAATTATATTCAAATACCATTTCATAAACTAAATTTAACGCATGGACCTAAAAAGCTACACTAAATAAGGGGGGGGTCTTGTGGTTTTAATATTGCATATAGCTTTCAGTATCACTGATGAACACTACCTAATATTATAGTACGAGGCCAGGATAATTCCCATGTAAAAATAAAGGGATATTTGAAAGTTTTCAGGAAGAACAATCTGGTTATTCTAAGTGAAGAGATAATCACAGCAAGTGATGACCAACTTGAAAGAGTTGAGAAAATAACAAATGACCAAGAAACGTTTCAACAAAGAGAAGGATTAATTACAGAATCGGTATTCATAAGCAACGCTTAACACACAGAAAATTTAACTCAGCACACCTATCAGCAACCTGAAAAATGGTTCAGGATACAAAAAAATGACTAGACACAAAATAGATATACTCTATGTGTGATTATTGTGTATAAATCTGTGAGTAAAAATAATAACAGCTATTGGTACGACGGCGGTGGCGAATTTCTGTCTAAATATTTCCGAAATCGAAAACAACTTTTATGGAGAATAGGTAATCACTAAAATTTAGTTATAATATATCGACGCAATTCGTTTGTTTCACTATTTTTCGAAGATAAAGCATTCAGGAGCTTTTGAGTGTTAAAGCATATCTTCTCATCTTCCTTAAATGCAAAAATAATAAATCACCTATTTTATTAATAACCTTATCTATTAGATAGCATAATTGAATACATGCACTGTAGTTCATAGTTTAGCACACACGTTATTGACGTCTGAAAGCCAAATTCTCACTAGAAAACTTTCCACCAGCCACACAAAAGCTGCTGAAATGACAGTATAACCGATTTTATTTTTGTATGAGGAATATAGACAGCCTGATGTTCCTGTTATGTCTGCCGCGTATTCAAATATCCAGGCAATGCAGCTTTTGTATCCTTCAATTTCCGAGGTCACCAAAATATTTGGATATACACGGTTAACTAAGATAATAAATCTATAGACTGATTCATAACGTTTTTCTATAGTTGGTTTGTAAGGATTAGTTTTGATTTTACGAGTTGATCACGGATTGATATCAGTTAGAGAACCACTGAAAGCCAGGGAGTACTAGGATGAAACAGCTCTCCAGTACTTCCTGGTTTTTAATGGTTCTCTAAATGATATCACTCCGTGATCAACTTGTAAAAACAAAACTAATCCTTACAAACCAAACTATAGGAAATTAATCTGATGCTCGCTAGTGACTTGCCACAGGATGGAGTTTCCTGGAGTTCTAGTGAGAAGTCGTGACCAGTGAGGCCCACTTAGTGAAGTATGAGAATGGATGTCTCACCGACGACATTGGTTGATAGTCGCGCTAAATCACGAATTGGTCGAAGTTAAGATTCATGGGCCATTGAATCGGGTCCCAGTGGATGAATGATATACGAGCTTGCCTTATAACCGGGAGGTCCCGGGTTTCAACCCCAGTGGGCGAGTACTGCCAATGATTCCCAAACTAGGATGAAACAAATGTCCAGTACTCTCTGATTTTCAATTGTTCTCTAACTGATTCATAACTGTCAGAATAATTTTGTGACCAGTAAAAGTAAATGAATTTCAGCTATAAATAAGCTGAACTATTTCAAGCAACGAAAAATGGATGAGTAAGTATTTTGAATTCATAGAGCATATAAATTCTTCCTTATTGTTTATATTACTAAAAACGCTTGTTAGTTCAAATGAACTTTCTGCAAAATTATTTGATAAAGTACTTTGCATGTGTATGAACCGCTATAACTGATACGGAAAATGTAACAATTATTAACACAAAAATGTGGCCTATGAGAATCAACAAATTTCACCTGTCTACTAAATGTTTCACCTACTAATTCTTGCATACAGGAGGTGAGAGTAAATTAATTGTCTAAAAGCAAATTTCTCCGAAACTGTCATTTTGAAATTTGGTTTTTTTTATCCAAGGTGTTTGCTTTTATCAGTGAAGTTAAATAATTTCGCATCACTTTAGGAGAAACTAATTTTTCTCGCTCTTAATCTGAAGTAGAACACTTAATTTGCTAATTTTTTTTCCAAATCATCTAGATATTTCTTCCGACAATCGTACGATCACATTAACTGCTCCGCTGGCATACAGAAAATTGGCCGTAAAAATAAACTACTCAAATGGTGTTACTGGAAATTTCGCTGCTGAAGTAGGACTTCTAACTAGAAATATTTTAATAACTGGAACAAATGAACCTGTAGTGTCATCAGATGTTCCCAAATGTACCAATGATTTTAGTACAGGTAACCAATTCTACTTAATGTATTTTTTTCATGATGAACATCAATATAAAGTATTTTTTGTTTACCTGCTTTCTGTCTATAATAGCTCCATTGAGATCATTACACTGATAAGCTATTAATAATCATACTTATATGAAAAACGCGTCAAAAGTGTCGAAATAAAAGTCTTACTCGGCTTTTAATACTTTTATTGTTTAGAGACGTAGTAATATAATTTTGAGATTTTAAAACTGATATAAGAACACTTAAAAGTTGGCCGACTGTTGAGACTGTGTTGTACGTGAATGATGAATGTATTTTAGTTACTGTACGTTCGAAAAAAGTGAACTACATTTATTATTAAGAAAATTTGTTCTAAGAAGTAATGCTTACCTATTGTATTAATAGGAATAATAAAGGTAGAAGTGGTGGCAGCAGCAGTTACCATTATCTACTCAGCTGGATAAAGCTATCAGAAAACAAGCTGAACTTTCTTTTTTTTGTTTAGCATAATCACCAAAGTTATGATCGTAGAATCAGATAATTTTTCAGTGATTTGCTATCTCAGAAAAATAAGTGATCTTCAAACCTCTCAAAAGCATTAATTTTTTAACTTTAAGGGACTGAGGATCAATCCTTATACAGTTAATACCTTTCTACATTAAATGGATAACTATCAAACTCGTCATTTGTAAATTGAACAGTTAGAGGTGCGAACTGACTACAGTTCCCTTCGGAGACCAAAAATATTCAACTCACAATATTCCCTCTTTTCGGCAGTCAAGGAAGCAAACAGAGGAACATGATGATTTATACTTCTGACTGATATGTAGTCGGAAGCATTTGACTTCAATTAGTAGTGCTTTCTGTCAGGATTAGGTGTTCTGGACACCAAACTGCCAGTTCACTAGTTATTTTTTTCCTCGGTTCATCAAGATGCACTCCTAATTCAGCCTTAGCTTTTTTATTCGTGATTGCTTCACTTAACCTGTCAAACTTTCAAGTATTTCTTCAGATCCTGACATTCTGAGGTTTTGTGTAGTTCCGCGGGAAATTTTATTTGTTTCTAAGGTACCAGACAGTTTAGTTAACTGGGAAAGGTCTCAGCACATATGATAATGCTATCCACACTTCATTTATTTTGTGTTATTGCTTTCATTTTTCAAATGTGAATCTTGGCAGTAGGTTTTCGAGGTTGATCATTTTTTAATTTCTTTTAACTCATGAATAACTTTTTTCTAAGCCTGAATACGAAAATCCTCTTGTTTATTTTTTAAACCACAAAACAGACAAAACCATAAATCAATACGTCAACTAACAAACTTTTTCACCTGATGTCATGATAGGTCTGTAGGTTGAACATGTGACACTAGCACACACACACATCAAAAAGTGTTTCATTCGTAACCCATGTTACATCATAGATGAGAAAATCAATATATCTTAAATATATTCACGCTGGATATTCGACAAAAATCGAAATTAATTTATCAAAAACTACTTGTTTATTACTTATTGAAATTTTCCTTCATCTGCTAATGCAGCCTCATTCACTCCCCTATAGTTAAAAATCAGAATAAACAATCACAGAGAAAATATACACCTTAGCTTAAAATCTTCTCCATTACTTCAGAGTTAAGATAACTTGCATAGCTTGGATTCATAAATGTGTATTCGTCAAATTTTCTTTTTCTAGGGCAATTTGCAACTCATACCTGCGTGATAGGAGATCCAGGTGAACAGCTGGGTGCTAGTGAATATGGTGGTCATGTGCATATTGGTGGTCCGTATATAAACAGTGGTGCAGTTAAAGCCTATATATCCTATGCTGAATTTTATTTCATGGGTCAAGCCTACCGTTTGGGTCGTTATCCTATACATTTCCATTTGAATGGTTTTATGAATGGGTAAATCAAAGTTACTCTTCATATTTACTTTTCACTAGCAGTCTTTACATAAGTTAAATTTTCAGAATACAAATAAATAATTATAAATACCATAATGACTTTCAGCGTGTACGAATATTCACTTTTGTGTTGCACTTATTAGTGAGTATCTTTCGCTTGATACCATTTTCATCCAATAATGAATACTATTTTCGTAACTCATATTTCGATTTTCTTCTGAGAGTGAATGGACAACAAATGTGTACCAAGATATTTATTGAATTATTACTGGATATATATACTCTGATATTTTGAATATCATTAGGATGCATTTCCCTCAAGACCATTGCACCTTCATTTTTAAATTATTCCGCATTGATACTACTGACAGTTTGAATTAAGAGTTAAACATATTTCAGAAGATACTTAGACTTACAGGATTTCATCATGAGCTGACAACAGTTACAGAGCCATTGGAAAACCTGGGAGTACTAGACAGCTGTTTCGTACTAGTTTGGGACTCTTCATCAGTACGCACCCACCGGGGTTCGAACCCAGGACCTTCCAGTCACAAGGCGAGCTCGTATACCATTAAGCCACTGGGACCCGATCCAATGGCCCATGAATTCTAACTTCTGTCAATTCAAGACATAGCTCAGAAAACACAACTATGCCAAGATCACCCACTTGAACTACAAAGATTCTTTATCATATGTAAATTTAAATTTTCCTGAAATCAAATCCAAATAAAAGGTCTATCGATAAACTTACGGAAGGTTTATTAAGAGAAATTAAAGGTGATAATTGAGGTGATTAAAAATCTCATTTCGATGAGAATAAAACAGATGCTAGAGGGATTATATGTATCTCATCCCATTACTAGTATATCATTTTATATTATTTTAGTTTTAGATTTCGGTTAACTCTTTTGTTGTCTCACTGTCATTTCATCTTGTTTGTGCATCATCTCCGTGAAATCTTAGTAATATTCTTGAAGACCTGACCAGATAAATACTAGTGACTAAGATCAATAGATAGATAGGACTAACCTCATGCAATATTTCACAAACAGACCTTCTAAAACCTGAATAGACTTTTCTCTGGTACAAGATTCAGTTTTTCAGAAATACTTCAGAACCGATTTAGTTCAGAGGGAGTTGCATTGTTCAAATCATCTGATTCAAGACAATTAGTTCTGTGGAGTAGGAGTGCTAAAGTAATTCAACCGTCTGTAGAGAAAATGATCTGATATGGTTCATTTTCTTAGAATCTGAAAGTATTCAAACAAAACTAGTCTATCTGATACTGCAAACGGTTCTAGCATTACTTACCTGCATCAGTGGTTCCAGATTAATGTCTTCTATAGTTTCTAGTAGGTAAAATTTTGATTTTTGTATTGTAGTTTGTGGAAAACACAGTTCACAAGTAATCTAACACTGACTGTCTCAGAAGTGTTACCATTAACACACTTTTCACATTAATAATATTGCAATATAACTTACATCAGCAAAAGACTAATTCTTTTAATGGTATTTTATTCTAGTTCTTATGTACGTGGCTGTTCAGTTCACAAAAGTTTCAATCGTGCAATAAACATTCACAATACGCATGAAGTTCTTGTGGAAAATAACGTGGTTTACGATGTAATGGGTGGTGCATTTTTCTTGGAAGATGGTATTGAATACGGGAACTTGATCCAGTATAACTTGTTGGTCCATGTAAAGCGTACAAGTAGCCTACTGAACGATGATGTAGTACCGGCAGCCTTCTGGATTACACAGCCGAATAATACTGTACAGCATAATGTTGCTGCGAGTGGAACACACTTTGGATTTTGGTAATACTACTCACTTTAATATATAATTATTATTATTAACTTCCTGCTCAATTAATGCCATATTTAAAATATAGAAAAAGAGTCAGCCAATTTAGTTATCATTCATCCATGTCGTTTTCAGACAGAAATCATAATGAAACTGTAATTAATCCTAGTGTTTAAAAAAATCACAAGATTAACAAATTAGGCATTTCTTCTTCTTACATCACAGTGAATTTAATCAATACAAAGAAGCATCACACAGTGCATTCTTCTGTACAAGGAACTTTCCAGTAGTACTCACAAAATGATTAGCACGAGTTTGGACCTAAATCATCTACAACTTCAAAAGCATGAGTGCTACATTCCCTAAAACCACGATGAAAATTAAATAATATTTGTTCTTGTTATCCTTGATCATGCCTCTCATCTTATGCAAAGTTAACTTTTGATCTTGGGTAAGAAGTTTAGTCAAAGAGAGCTGACTTTGATGCTATGACTTCGCCATAACATAGATCTTACACCAGCTGGCTCATTAATTTATGTTACGAATTTTTTATAAATCCTCGTAGCATATTTATGAAATGTTGGCATTACATAGGTTTGCTAAAGCTAAAGACATCATCAGATCATGTCAAGAAACACTATAGAATATTTTAACTAGTTAGTTACTCTTAGTTGAATACTCTAATGTTTCTGCTCTTAGTAAAATTATTTAGTTTTTATCACAGAGTTTAGCTTTTTTATTTAGTGAATTTTTATATCCTTAGGTATCGTATGTTAGAAAATCCATCTGGACCCTCCAGTACTACTACTGTTTGCCCACGTAAAATTCCATTGGGGAAGTTTGAAAATAATACAGTACATAGTCAAGGTTGGTTTGCTCTGTGGATTCATGAAAGCTTCTTCCCAACAACAACTGGTGGGTAAGTGTTCCAAAGGATTTCCAGGTTTCAGAACTGAATAATAATCAATAGCGTTTATATTTATTTAACGAATGCTTTTAGTGAACGAAATATTCCCATATTGAGTCATAAGAAAAAGCCGTAAACTGCGAAAAAAAAATTTCTTTTCGACGATTCATTTTCAAGAGCTGTGCACTCGTAATTATATTAAACAAAGAAATCTTTAGACCAATCAGATCCTAATAACTTTGTGCTCAAAAAACGTATTACATAATGTAAGGTGTAAGAAAGGATGACTAACTGTAAGTTAGAAAAGAGGCAGAAGTTGGCATGACGTAATAAGTGTGAAATGATGACTGACCAATAAGCTCGTGTAGAATGGACAGGAACTAGCGGAAAGGCTGTAAAGTGTGTTTTTTTGTATAAAATCTGTATGAAAAGCAATGTCATTAATAAACAGTAATAGAGTGGTAATAAAATGTGGATGGTGGGAACAATAATGATAATAAAAGTATTAATAAAATAAAATAATAATAGTAATAATAGTGAACTAACATAGTAAAGGAAAGAAGCAAAATTGTGGTGCGAACTTTACTCCGGCCATGGTAAGGCGAGAGAATGTATGTATCGCTTTTGAATGCAGAGGTCTGGTTTCAGATCTCAAATAACTAATGCTTCAGCTATGTACAGATGGCGTATCTGAAGTCCCTTCGTACGATATTGAGGGACTCTGTGTAACACTGTGAAGCATTCATGTGGGGGTGCTCTATGTCCAGAGATGACAAGGTGTTCGAGGATCGAGCTGTTGCTATTCTTCTTTTCTCTCTGGATAACCAAGCTGGGCAGTGTTCCAGAATACGTTTGTGGACTTGACTTTGCGTACGGCCAATATACTTTGCTCCGCACGAGCAAGTAAATTGATAAATACACACTGAAGCGGTATCTTTTCCTTAGCGTTAGACTGGATTCACTGTCTGCAGGAGAACGTGATACGTAGAGGCGCTGCTGGAAACATCTTCTTCAGAATGCTTTTAGCACTAAACAACAAAAGCTCACAACTAATCAACATATTTATTGGCTAGTTAAGTCACATTTTGTAAATGTTTCTACAAAAGGAAAATGTTGAATGTTTGAAATATGTAACGTTATTCAAGTTTTAGTATGTTGTGAATCATACTTTTTAAAGCAGACTACTGCTCATCAAAAAAATATAAACCTGAGAATGAGTGAATTTAGTACTGAATCTTATATGTCATTTGCACATTATACAGTCACAGCTCTATAGAGAAGATGCAGAGAACTGTTGTCATATTTGAAACATTTCTCACTGAAGCATATTATCTTGTTGAAATAGACTTCAGCTCCAGTCGAAGCTCATTCTAAAAGTTGATTCTTAACCAAATTATAAACTCTGCAAGATTAGTGATGACTTACTTAAGGCTTAATTCTTACCTGTCATATAAGCCTTTTTTGAGTTGCTGTCCTACGCAAAGAGAAATATTCTGAATATATGTGTTGATGAGTTATGCGCCTATTTCTCACTCAGTAACTAATGATGTAATTCCAGAGAATATTCAAAAAATACTAATTTTCACCAGATTTTTAGAATCGGTTTGATAAATCCAGATTCAATGGAAGGATAGTGATCAAATAAGAGGACTGAAGCAGATTTATAGTGTAATGCACTTTCTTTTTCTGCGTAAGTGGCACAGCGGTAGAGTGCTCGCTGACCATATGGTCTGCAATTCAGTTCTCACACTCCTTTACCTCATGCGTCGGTGGCAAAGAGGTTAGGACTCTCGCCGACCATGCACATGGTCCGGGGTTCAATCCCCTGCCGATGCACACCCGATATCTATGGTCGGCCTGCAAAATTTGGGCTACCGATATCCATGCTAAAAATTCCATACGTGTACTGAAAATACGGTGTGGCATCAAGCTGTAAATATAAAATAAATAGATAAACCAGTAATAAGACTGGTAAAGAGGGAAGGTTGGGCATGAGGCTAACATTCCCATCCCGTAAAAATAAACACCACTGCTACCGAAACTTCAAACTGGCTCTAGCTTAAAGCCCCATGTTCCTCTGGGAACATAAAGGAATAAAAATACTTTCTTCTTAATATGAAATGAATAGTTTCTATCGCAAATATTTGCTTACTTCGTACTTCCTTTCATATTTTTAACCAGAATATGTGCATATCTTGATTAATATTTATGGTAGAAATATGGATTTACCTTTTTTGTACGGATTTATTATGTAAAACCAAATTATTTCTTTCAGATGTTCATCAACAAAATGGGATAAAGCTGTATTTCGAAAACTTACTGCTTGGAATAATAATAAAGGACCCGAATGTGTTAACTGTGGTGGAGTGCAGTTCGAGGATATGTTACTTGTAAACAATGACGAAGCAGCAATCGAAGGAAAACGTTTAATGTTTGGAAATCTATATGATCAGAACACCGGTCCTTTTTACAAAGTGAGTTAATGTCTAGAAATAATTATTACACTTAAATCCCAGTTGTAGACACAACTGAAAACACTACAGCAAACCAAAGTTCTCATTCACAACCTAGTTAGTGGTCGATTAGCCACTCCTAGTTCCCTTTCGATTAAGTAATAGAGTCTATGCACTCAGTTACTACGTGCCCACACTGATCATGATTTCTCATTAAAAACCAAGAATGTTCACCCCGGTAGTCAGTCACTAACGAGTATTAGATTGGTTTTAAAGTGCTGTTTGATTCAATTCAAATGAAAAGTATTACGAAACCTACAAACCAGCACTTTACTCATCAGAAGTTATTTTGGGGCATGATTTGTCAACAGTAAAATGTGTAGTTGAGATTAAATTTTTACGTATATGTTTATATCTGTAACTAAGCTGGGAAACCTTTTTTGACACTGGTTCTGATACCTTATTGTTATGTGAAAATAAACTGCCAAAGTTTGCTTGATGCAAATTCAACAAACTAGGTGTGTGATCTGTATTTGTCAGTCACTTAGATTAGTGTTAAAAAGGAAAGTAGAGGAATACTGTATGTGTAGACACATATGCATAATTGATTAAAAATGCCCATTAAAATTTTCAAAAGAATAGACACGGAACAAAGAGTACTCTTTTCGATAAATTCATCATCAGGTTCTACAATTATATATACATTATAATGAATGAATGAATTAGTCTTATGAACGACATTAATGTTTAAATAACATCAAATAAATAATATTGATAAATTACAGCTGAACAGCATCAACATAAAATAAACTGAATGTCAGAAGAATTAGGAAAGGTAATAGTACAAATTTATGAGTTTATAGTCTCTACTGAGGGCCAGGGCAGTAGTAGGGGCTGAACTTGTTTCTTTTGGACACAGAGCACTGGCTGTTTGAGGCGAATTGCAATAGTCTCTGCTGTTTGGAGCAAGTGGTGCTTCGACGATTTTGGTAGCTTGTTAGGCACCCGGTATATTATGGAGAAGGATTCGTCTACGCTGGCTTTGTGACCGGTTTGCACCAGATGGTCTAATATCGAGCTGTTAATAGTTTTAACTACACCTTTACTTAGCTATATCGGGATATGTTCTCGAGCACGAAAAATCAAGTTCCTAGAGCAGCGGCCAACATAACTCGCTCCACAAGCGCAGTTGAATTGATAAATACAATTTGAAGTGGCTAGTCTGGGTACTTCATCTTTCAGTCGAGGTAGCACCATCGGTCTTGTAGAGAATAAGATGTGTATTTTGCCAGCATTAAAAGTCCTTTGAACTGATTTTCTTAATTTCTTTGTAATTAACTCACTTGGTTTATCGCCCTTGAATTGTAGTCGTATATAAATGGGCTTCTTGTTTACAGATAGTGGGTCGTCCTTTTCGGTCTTCTTTGTCATATGTTTCTTGACAAATTTGTCAGGATAACCATTTTCGATTAATGTATCATATACCATGCTTAATTCATCCTTAATTACCTCTTCAGAGCATATGGCTCTAACTCTGTGCCTAAGGGTCTTCACCAAATTCCTTTTGTATTTGATAGGAACGAAGCTATGAAAGTGTGTATATTGTCCCGTCCAAGTACTTTTTCTACGTAAATTTCTTTTTATGCTACCGTCTGGTTTTCTCGTAAGTAGGACATCCAGGAAGGCAATTCTGTCTTGGGATTCCTCTTTGCATGTGAATTTCATAGCCGAATGTACTTCATTGAATCCAATTATTGCTGTACTCCTATACGAATGATTATCACAAAGAATGAAGGTGTCATCCATATATCGGCAATAAAATGAGAGCTTACTGATAAGGCTGTTCAGAGGTCCATTTTCTAGCTTACTTAGAAAGAAATCAGCCAGAATTGGACCCAATGGGGAGCCCATTGCCACCCCGTCCACTTGCCTGTAAAGCGTGCCGTCAAATTTGAAGTTTACATTCATGGTACATCTTAATATCAATTCTTTTAAGGTTTCAATATGGATTCCAATTTTTATCGACTGCTTGTCCACTTGTTCACATATATAATTAGCTGTTTCTATTAGAGGTACATTTGTGAATAACGATGTTATGTCCAGAGATATCATGGTTTTGTCCTTGATATTAATATCCTTTATTTTGTCTACGAATTCAAATACATCTTTGACGCTATATTTCACTATCTTCTCATGCAATGGTTTGAGAATATTTACTAACCATCTAGCTAGAGCATGGTAGGGCGAATTTTGCATATCAAGTATTGGTCTTAACGGTACCCCTGGTTTATGCACTTTAGGTAGGTCATACAATCTTGGCATATACGTGCCCGTTGGTCTGATTTCTTCATGTAAACTTTCAGAAATTATCTGCTCCTCCCTTAGTTTCTTCAAACGTCTGGTTAATTCGTTCTCTATTTTGTTATTGAAATCTTTCTTCTCCTCAAGTTTTTGAAACTTCTGTGTGTCCCTCAATATATCCTTCATCTTTTTAATATAGTCATTTCTATCAAGAAGGACTACTCCTGACCCTTTATCCGGCTTTGTGATTATCAGCCTCTCATCATTTATGCATAACTCAGAACTATTTTGTTATGCGCATCTGACTATTCATGCTTATCACAGTGACATTCACTTTCATGAACCACATGACTTTGGTTTTATGACAGGGCTAATTTCTATTGGAAATAATAGGATTTTAACACATTGTAAATATTGAAGTTATGATTTGTCAAAAGCTTGTATTAGGGATTTCTTTTTCTTTTAATTTGGATTGATCAGATTTCTGTTTAGACATATTCCGCTTTGTATGTCGCTCTAATCAGATAATTCACCTTTTTGTAGAACGCTACAATTGTCGCCTTCGAGCCTGAACTTACTGATGGGCTTCCAGATTGTCATACAAGAGCAGTCATATTACCGTGGGCACCTGGTCTAACGGTTGAAAATATGGTGATGCGAAATTTCAATGGTCAAAACTGTACAGCGATTCACGGAACTGTGATTACATGTTTGTGCAATAAACTTTGCGGAGGCTATGAATATCTATTTAGGTAGGTACATTTTTGCTGGACTGGAAGTTTTTGGGTGACTGATAGACAAATAAGACTGTCACTGGTATTATTTTTATAAACAAAGTACGAAATCGTGTTACAATAGTCGATTATTGAGATCACAGGAATAGTTATGTATACGTGCAGGAAGCATTCGCTTTGCTATTTTCATTGCTGTGGCTTACGGATATTTCTTACTACATTATGCTTCATTTACAAGATTATGTATAATTTTTTCTGCCGTCTTATATTTCATTTATCATGAGACTGTCTAATTCAATGAAATTGAGAGTGTGCAAAGGGAAAGCAATCGTATTATCATGTATCAACAGAAGTAAAACCATCCATAAGTTATTTGATTACTGCTGTGATGCTCTGTCAAAAATGCTTTATTCATACTAGATCATGAATACGCCCCCGCATGGTTAGACAGAGGAGAAACAAGCTGCATATAGCCCAAATCCTTCTGTTGTTTTTGAAAGATGGAATGCAAAAACTTTGTTCTAAACATTATAATGATAATAATAAAGCTTTATCTTAGACAATATCTGAACACATAGTACATAAATTCTCAGCATGTCCAGCTCCAAAATATTTCGTCTTCGTACATGATCCACATGTAAAGTTGTAGTCTGAAGTATATAGTGTGACGTAGTGTTGTTGCTTATGAGAGGGCCGATTCAGTATACTTTTTAATTTCCTTCAAGAGTTGCACAGCGTTTTGTTGAAAGCTATTTAAATATCTGAGCGAGTTCATGTAGAGACCTTTTGATATAATTTTTTGATTAAGACTATAGGACATGAATAGGAGTGTAAGCATTTGGACAGATGAAAATTCTTTTAGCCTCGTGATTTAAGCAGGTCACCAGTATGGTATGATGTAAATGTCACTTGGTGTTTGATTCAATGTTGTCCCCAACTGCAAGTTATGCAAACATTAATGTCTAATTTCGACTACTGAATCTGAAGTCACCTAAAGTGGAATCACTGTGAGTCCACATTTATAGATATTTGTCCCCACTCAGTTATATATAGATTTATCTAAACTGTTTTGGAAATCGTGAGCTGAAATGCTTCTATAAAAATCTAATCATAAGTAGAAAATATTGCTCTGCTGATACATGAATAAATATACGAATAATTTCAAAGTATCTTGCAGCGTTTTCATCAGCTCATCATCATTTATAAATAACTTAAAATATTGTCAGAAGACACGGTAAGCTAAGAATCACAATGAGAATAAGTTTGTTTTATCTTTCTGTTTATGAGTGCACCCCGTTATGTTTACATTTTTACATTTTTAATTCTTCAAATGCCTCGTGGACTTAAACTACTACTCAAATAAAATTCTTTCAACTACAGGAATATAAAGTGGGAGAATACAAACAATCGTGCTGAGTTTCGATGGCATGGAGACTTCAGTCTTCGTGATTTAGATGGGTCATTAACAGACGGCCTTCCAGATGTTCCAAAACTTCCTGGGTCTTTAATCATAGGGAAAGCTAATCATCTGCCAGCAGACAAATGTGGTCCCAGTGCTCCAGGAGCTGGAGACCTTGGGACTGCCTTTGGCCAAGGTGCGATACAAGGTGTTCGTTGTCTTCCTGATGTTACAGCTCTAAGGTTTGCTGTTGACCAAGTTATTCCGACAAGAGTGATGGGCAGTAATATGACTGTGACTCTACTCAATGGAGGGACAGAACAAGTACCTTTCAAAACTGAAGCTCTCACAGATAAGCAAGGATGGATGACTACACTCGTAAATAACAGAACGTATATTGTGAATTGGAACGCAGTATCAACATTCAGCAACTTAAGTTATATTGGCTATTTGGAGAATTTCAGGGTAAATCAAATATATCTAATGTTTACATATAATTCACAGTTTTGTGAAGCGTTTTAATAACTTTCAGATAAAACTTAAAATTCAGTCGTTAATAAATTCTAAAAAAATAATTAAGGCGAATATTACTAGAAAACCTCGAGCAGCTAAAGAGTACTAGCAGCGGCGCTTCTTCCTGGTATGAAACTCTTCAGATGCATGCAAAAAATGTTCATTGAAAAGTCGAGTTGATGATACTGATACTGTAAATCAAATAATGCACCAACATGATATAGCTGACATTTTACAACTTACTGCTAACCATTAACAACTAAATAACATGCACACAAAATCAGTAAGTTTTCTAATCGCCTTAGGACTAGATACAAACCATTGCTTGGCGTCGCGCTATATCACGAATTGGTAAAAGTTAGAATTCATGGGTCATTGAATAGGGTCCCAGTGGCTGAATGGCATACCAGCTTGCCTTTCCTGGGTCCGAACCCCAGAGGGTGCATACTGCCGATGATGAAACAGCTGTCCAGTACTCCTAGGCTTTTAATGGTTCTCCAACTGATATCAATCCGTGATCAACTCGTAGAAATAGCTGAAGGTGACAGCCAACTTAAATTTATTAAAATTATTTTCACTTGTGGCTGACTCCTAAAGTAATATTAACCTTTAAGAGATCGAGTTTTAATTTCTTTTAAAGAAATTAACGATTCACTATATTCAGTCACGCGACCGTACTCTTATTCTGACCCTGGATTTTCCAGAAGAAATTTATTCTCATCTAAACGAAGCCAGATGCTCTATTGTTTATTTAAAAGTACATTTTAAAAAATGGCTATAGAAACCATGGTGTTGTCTTTTTAGCTATGCACTCACGTTGGTCATATGATTCACAAAAACAGTTAGTAGTTTGGGTGATTGTGTCCTAATTTTAGTTCACTTCTATTCCCATTTTGTTTGCATATCTTCTCAATATGTCCTATATTTCTGGCTTAAAAACAGTTGTGAACTAAAGCGAGTAATATTCATTAATTTTGAAATGAATTACCATCTTCCCTCAAGTGGTATCCGAAGTCCAATCCTATGTCGTATAGCATAAGACATGTTGCTAGGCTATCTTAATATGAAGACAAGACAAGTAGTTCAGCGAAGAGGCTCTTTTCGGCGAATTCATCTTCTTTAGCTGTAAGATCTCATTTGTTAACAATTTTTTCATTAAAGTGGACAGTAACATAAGTATTGAGTTGTTAATATTAGTCAATGCATAAAAGGAATTAAAAAAATATATTAGAGCTACGTAATATGATGAATAATTTAAAGAAAGAGTTATAATCAGGGTGCACGTAGGAACGAAGGAAAATATTGAATCATATAAAAGTTCCACAGAAATACAAGATTTATAAGGAGTTAGGAAAACAGTAGATGTCAACAATGTTGTTATCATTATAGTAGAAGTGGTTAAATAATTTTCTTTTGTATGCATAGCTCCGGTTTTCCTAATCGAATAGCTATGGCTTCAGTAATGAAAAGAAGATGAAAGCGTATTACCCTGGGCAAGTTGTTCTTCACTTTGTAAATTACTTTCAAGGAGGCGTTTAATTTGCTTGCATGATCGCGTTTAACATCCATCAGTGTATCTGAATAGCTGAAAAACATGTCAAAAAATGTCATGAAGACAATTATTACCAAATATATTAGACATCCATTTGTATTATAACAACTATACTGAAAGATATCCTACCAAAAACTAGATGTAAAACCAAATAAATACTTTTCTTGTTTGTTTTCCAAATACTTTGTTCGAATTTAACTTTTAAAATATTCATTGCATTAGTTGTGTTTTTTCTATAATTCTTTATTAATTTAATTTCCTGAAGCAATGGGATTATGTCATCGTTCGTCACATGGGAATGACTGTTAAACCAGACAGAGTCCAAGTTCTCCTCAATCAGCAAGCGAAGCAACCGTTGGCTGAACCTTTGGATCCATCCAAACATGAAACTGGTGATGTGTTCTATAATGAAACAGGAAACTATATTGAATATATAGGTAACTTGATAAAATTTTTTGAGCATCGCATGTGAAGATTTTTGCATTATACACTTGGTTCATCTGATTAATATGAACGCGTAACGGCACTTAATAACATCTAAACTAGAAGGGCAATTCATAATTCTCAGAGCATTATTGAATCATTTAAAATGAATATGGTATATTTAATATTGATACTATAAAACAATTAGAGTGTATCCGTGCATAATACAATAGTAGCTCTAAGGTTTCAGACAAGATGGAGGGAGTTGAAATGCATGAAGTTTAACTTCAATATTATGATAAGTAATTATATTATGTCAAGTTACTTAATTGGTGTAACAGTCAGCTGCAATTGACAATGACCAAAACTTGTGCATTAGAATCACACAATAAGAGCGTGGATTGTATTATCAGTCTGCGTTAACACGAAATCCAGAATTCAGTCAGAAAGTAACACACGTTTTGAAAATCAGTAGGGGAATGCATTTGTGTTATTTTTCAAGATAATTCAGCCACTCTACCAGTAGAAATGCAGTAAGTCATTATTACACAGATGGGAATCACCTTTGGGATTAGGAATGATATGCACTTGTGTTATGGTGGCCGAAGAAGACATCCACAACAGGTTAATTAGATAGAATTGGTTGTAACTACACTTGCAGTTAAACATCAGGACTTTCTTGTCTCAGGGCTACACAGCGTTCCACAAGAAAGTTTACAGGAACACCGACTGTACCTAGAAGGCACCATGAAGTCTCTTCTAGCTTAAAATAAAGTCACAATGACAGACGATACCAACTTGTTGATACCTACTGGTCCATTTCAGTGAAAAACAAAATTTGTTGCAAGAAGCCTATACAAGAAACCAGTGAACTACAAGAACTGCTGTTCAGTGAGCCTTAGTGACAATGGCACTTCAGTCTTACAGCAGTTGCAGGATATCCTAGCTCATCCGAACTTAGAAGACAGCACACTGATCAACAGCCTGATAACACTTTTAGCAAAGAATTCTGACCAGCCTGCAGAGAAAGTGTCCTTTATTCAGAAGCACACTGTCTCATGGTATGTTGACGGGGATCCATATAACGAGCTTAATGTCCGAAAGAAACTCCAAGAACTCAAGTACAATCGTGAAACCAGCCCAGACAACTTACAGATGTTAATGAGACTAGTCAAGTAACTGACTAGATTTATGGGGTGGCAAGAAAGATTGGAATATCCAGTCAATGTCAAATGTCTGCCTTTAACAAACACCTACGTGATGTGTCAGTCTTTGGGATGAAGGGGTGCTACCAATGGAGTCAAAAGTTCTGGCCATCGATGAGGTCTTAAAACTGCGAAACCGATGTTGAGAGCAAATTCTTGAAAAGTATGTTGGGTTTCGTGTACTCTGTGAATGCAACGATCAAATGTTTACTCTTCGCCTCTTGCTCATTAGAACACCGTCACACATAATTCATGCCATCATTTGTGTTTTTTCATTATTAAGGTTGTTCCTATTTAGCTTTGCAATATTATAATCTACGGAATTAGCTGTCTCTGAAATTTTTATTCCTAAACATTTTAAGTAAGGGCATAAAACCAACCATGTGCCTCCGCTGATTTCAAACAGTAATAGGTCATAATCCTAAATTTCAGCAGCTGAGAGATGCCACTTATACCCTAGTTCGTTTATTTTTACCCGTATTCAGCGTTTATTCAGACGTTTGAAATATAGAGTATCTACTTTTCCTGAATTCTTGTTCATTTATAACCATATCTAATCCGGTAAGCTTACTTTAAACTCGATGCCAGTAGTCGAGAGTCTTTTTTTGATGATAGTGTCTTGGAAATATAGTGTCACTTTTCCTGACATTTTGTGTTCTTGAAGGGTTTTTTGGAGTATTTGAATAATCGAGAATATTTCACCATTATCACCATTACTGTTGTATGTGTAGAATTTCAGAAAATAATTTATTATTCTTTTCACTTGTTTCAGTCAAAGCGCCAGCTAATCCAACATCATTCAATAGTCATCGGCTATGGGTATCATTTTATAAATGCTTTTTCACTGACTGTGTAATTCCCACTACTGCCACACCTACAGTTCAAACATCACGTCCAGCAGATGCTTTATTCTGGTCAAAAAGTAGCACTTGGAACACTGTGCTGGGACCTCAACCAACAAACGGAAGTTCGGTAATATAAATTTATTGGTTTTCCTTTAAGTATTACTTTCTGTCAACTGTATTCTAAAACTGAATAAGTGTAGGGATAGCTTCAACACTTATCAGATAGCCAGTAACTTACGATAGAAATCGTTGAATAAGTCAAAGCTGCTGAGCTGTAAATGCGAAGAACTTTGTCCATATTGCATCCTACTATTTTGAATATTATTATTATAAGATGAATAAGTGCACTTGAGACTCAATGGATAGTTTAAAATTTCGGGCTAACAACTAACTAGAGTTAAATCCGTACACTACTGTGAGAATATTCATGGTGATTAGTTAACTCACCTGGGAAGCTCACAGATTAGATGAAGCAGATCTTCAAGACTTAACAATTTACAGCATATTTTTTCTGTGTAATTAGTGGATCGGATCGGTATACGCCGTGTTTATTCCTTCTGAATCTGATTTGTACATATAGTTATAGATTAGAATTGCTGAGAGGTAGTCAGAACAAGGAAGACTGTTCTTCACAATAATAAATAGCTTATACGTAGACAACCAAAATTATTCAGAAATATAGGTGATCGCACTTTAAACAAGAAATATCCGCAAAAAAATCACCTCTTAATACAACTGAACTCTGTAATAGTTGGTTAAATACAAAGCAGTTATGTAGTTAAAACGAGGTAATAAATATCGAACTTAAAGTTCCAGTTTTTCGCTTGATTCAATTTTAAGGCAGAATTATATGTTACAAAAGGTAAGGTAGCTTAATCATTTTGCAGATGGACGAAGAGATACAGCTAAGTTCTCCACTACTTGTCTTTGTAAAAATATCTCCAGAGATATCTGGTTGATTATACGTAATGAAAAAAGTGAAATAGGTTATTTTATGATAAAGATCTGCAGCTGTCGAACTTTTAAAGGAATTAATATTTCATATTCCATTAAATATGCACTACCTTGATGCAAACTTACTAAATACTTCTTATTGATGATACATTTCGCTTAGAAGTCAGTCTTAACGGACATCAAGATACCTGAATATCACTTAATAATCATATTTTAGCCAAGAAAACCCTTGACGTTCAACACGGAGTGTGTTAAACAGAAATTTTAGTATTAGTCTCATCCCCGTAACTTTGTCAAGGTGGGATATGACAGAAGAAATGCTGTCAATCCAATCTAAAATGAGGGATTAATATTAACTGATTTGTTACGGGTTTCCCTTAACTACTACTTAATTCTTTCATCAGTATTTTTACTTCTTTCGCCCCGATATTCAGAGATTTGTGGGGCTTCTTTCTGATGAAAGCACTTCAGGACGTAGCGGAGTTTTCTTACAATCAGTTAGCTATACAGAAAAAAGAAAATGTGTTAAATATTTAGCCGGACTGTCAAATGTTCTCAGTCTCAAAATTGCAGCATCTTAGGTTTCGCAAATCATCAAGTACACTGGCGTAAAAGGACTATCACTGATTTCCAGGACAATTAAAATTTAGTCTGTCTTAATATATAGAAAATAAGAATGACATAAAGATAAGTCATAAGCGTTGTCGACATTTCAGAGATATCTAAAAGGAATCGTAACACTGAAGTCATTGATACATACAGTACTTCAATCCAGTTAATATAATCAAATGAAAAGAGCCAAATAAAGTCAAAGTATTCTCAATATTATTTTCTAGTTTACCTTGAAAGAAACATCTAATATATCCGCCTAATCCCAAACTTTCTATATCTTGGATTATTTCATGATTAGATTATATCCTGGGGGGAAATTTCCTTTTGCTGTTTAAAGCGTAATTTCAATATGCTTCATGTCACTTAACTTATTTCATGAAAACCTCTTACTATATTGATGTAAATTTCTATTTGATGCACAGCTCATTTCAGCTACGCTTAAAACATTTCATTCTCTTTTACTCTGTCCAAAATAAAAGCTTACCATCCCGAAAGGAACATGGTTAGTCCTTGATACTTCAATTTATATTAAAATGGAAAAGCTTTTAATATATGGTACACTTGAAGTGGATTCAGGGACGAGTCAAGACCAACGAGTTTACAAATTAGCATTTAAACAGATGTTGATCATTGGGGGTCAATTCTTAGCTGGACCCACTCCTGAAATGCCATTAACAAATGCAACACTTGAATTAACCTTGCTTGGCTCTGTTTCCGATGAATCTGTCAGTGTGGATGGGCCAGTGATTGGACCAAAGTCAATAGGTTAGTTAATAGTTTCATCTTTAATTACGTTTACAGTTTTGTTGATGTTGGTAAAAATTCTACTCGGACTCCTTCTGTTTTTTTTATTCGTCAGCCAGTTTCAGATTTATGCGAAATTCATGAATAACCTATTACGGACGAATAAAATTCGCAAAATCGAAAGCATTCTTTTCCAAAAACGAATTAAAGACACGGAATAGAATTTTGTCAAGCCAAAATTTAAAAATTTCGGAATTTACTTCACCTAACTCCTAGGTCAACTTTCAATAACTATTCGATCAGTTTTAACTTGAGTATGAACTATTCCTATGTTCATTTGTCTTGCTGAAGCTGTCTACTCTCTGCATGAACTCTTCATTCATTGTTATACTGTGTGCATATCGACACATTCTATGATGAGATTTGAATTCATATTTGAAAGTTGCTTGTATAGACAGTGGCACCACAGTTTATGTATTTATTAAACCTTGCTTCCTTAACTTTTTCTGCTTGTTTTAATACATCAAAAGGTCAGCGTATCATACTTACATAATAGTTTACAATAAAGCTTGATAAGGTGCTAACTTTCCATATAATAAAAATCTAAAATGCTTATTCATTGTTAAAAGGTACAGTCCTTTCAGTGAGTGATGCATAAGTGAAGGTGCATGCTGGCTGGCTGGATTCAACATAGAACTTGGCACCGAAGTGCAGCAGTTCGAGTTGCCACTTTCCAAAGAGCACACAAAGGTAGAAAAGAAAATGAGTGAAGAGAATCAATAGAGTTTTGACAAGTATAAGAGTGAAACAGAATGAGTAATGGTAGAGAGGAATATGAAAGATTACAGAGACTGAATACATCTGCGCCACTGACAACGATTTTGAGCCATGTCACCTATTGTCTGTCTCCAGCCATTGATTCTTAGAGTCCCGAGGGCCCCAACCCGGAAGTCTGCATCTCCCTACCTGACTCAGTTTAACTGTCAGGGATCTCATGGATTGATGAGGCCATGTTTTTGTTTGACCACCACTTACTCTTTTCCAACCTGCACCTATATCATCTAGTAATGCCCGTCGGGGGAGGCGATGGTTAGGCATGCGCAGCACGTGACCTAGCCATCTCAATCTATGTAACTTAATAGCCTCTTCGATTGATTTTCCCTCTTTGCCCAACACTCTACGCCTAACGCCAACATTACTTACTTCATTCTACCACCTAACGTGAGAAAGAGATCGTAAACATCTGTGGTCAAAAACACTCAACCTTTTCATGTCTTCCGCTCTCAGTGGCCACGTCTCACCACCATAGAGAAGGACGGAGCGAACTACTGAGCAGTACACACGTCCCTTGGCTGACAACCGGATGTCACGCCTACGCCAGAGACGGTGTAAGTTAGCGAAAGCAGCTCGAGCTTTTTGGATCCGTGCTGAGATTTCGTCACCAATCAATCCGTTGGTGCTGATACAACTTCCCAAATAGGGAAGTTGGTGAAGGTGCATAACACACTCAAAACGTTTAAAAAGAGGTTTGAGAAGTCTTACTTGAAATAATTCAGTGTAAATGAGATATGAAAAAAGATTTATAATAAAAGAAAACAAATTCAGCGAAGTAAAAATGAATTTTATGAACTTTTCATAATAGTCTTTGAATAATATTCAAATTCAATAGAAACACAATTTTTATATTTATACACATGTCACTACTTTATAAAATGAAAAGTAGTACATTAATAAAGTTGTAGAAGATTAGGAGTGAAGAAATATATCTTGCTTAGTTCATTTCTTGAACCTTACAGAAATGACTGAAAGTTACCATGCATTAACATTTTACATGGAAAACTTTATGCACAGATATCAAGTGAGTTCTTTTATTGTGCGCAAGTGTGAAAGCATTTTCCAGTTCAGTGCTATTTGTCAACTTGAAGTAAAATTGCCGGCAAATAATTTAAACCGCGCGTCGGTAGTTCACTGGTAGAATGTTCGTCAACCACGCACTTGGCCCGCAGTTCTATCCCCAGTCGACGAAGTCCTAAAGCCTCACTAAGGTGGTAGTAAGACAGACGGACGGGGATGATTGGCGTGAGATTAACAACCCCACATCGTAAAAATAAAAGCACTGCTACCGAAAATTTACGGATCTAGCTTGAAACCCTACGTCCCAAGTAAAGGAATAAAATAGGTGAAAACCTCCAGATTGCAGCGAGTTCGCTGAAGTCAAATGTTTTGTTTTTATAACTTGCGTAAATTAATCACTTCTAGCTAATATACAGCAGCTAAACATTATATTATCTAGCTGAAGCATGAATTTTATGTATCCGAAAAAGTGTCTTCAGGTCATCATAAGTCTACTTTTTAATAGTATTGCTTTAGTATACATGTTTATCAGGTAAATAATAGTTGTTCTCTATAGTGACTTACCGTTCGACATTTTTGGTCAGACAGATTCATCAGCACTCTTCATTTAGTCTCGACATAGTAACTGGTCCAGTTGTCGTGGCTTAGTTTTGTGCTGGCCGAAATCTTACGGTGAAGCATGTAATGTGCTAAAGAACTTTTGTTTGCCCAGTGATAAAGGCAGTGCATTGTACAATTGAATAGCCCACTGATATTTCATCTATCCAACAAAAAAGAAACCTTTTATTTGGTTTATAACTGTCCTGCTGGCCAGTTATTTTTATTATATTTTCTAAGAATCACTTTATTCACTTCAATTTAATATTTTGGTCATATTGGTTGTTACGGTTAACTTACACTGACGTGCCACGATGATGGAAATGTTTGCCTCTTAGAAAAATGTATTAAAAGAAATGTAATATTTATAGTGCTTAGTAGCAAAATGATAGATCCGTAATTCTAGTAATGCGTTGTATACACTGTCATAATTTCATTAAGAATCATACCCTCACTTTTTTGTACTTTCCTCATTAAGGTGTATATGGTGTTATGAATATGCATGCCTTGCCCAAGAAAATAATGTGGACTAATCTTCGAAATACGGCCACGGCTGGAGAAAATCAAATTCGTCTTAATGAACCAGTAACGGACTGGTCACCTGGCAATCGAATTGTTATCGCCACAACTAGTATGGATTTTAAACAGTCAGAATTACATGAAATCGCCTCCATTTCTTCAGATCTAATGACGATCACCCTCGTGAATAAGCTGGCATTTACTCATGTTGGTATGTTTCTTTGATATTCTTCAACGATAATGATATTAAATATGCGTGTAACATAACTATGCGATATTGAAATATTAACTGAGGTTTTCACACACTATTTGGCATAACAGAGTCAAGAATCGTTAACTAGGGATCATGCATTATCTTTATTAGATGAGCAACAAAATCAGACTATTGTAATTTTTCGGGAAGTGAAAAAATTGCGTATACTTTTTGACGTACTAGAATTTGAAAATTCCCATTTACACATTTAAAACTTTATTATTTAGAATTAGTCAGTAAGAAACTGATGTTACCTTGAAATTCATATTACTGAATTCGAACTTAACACGGAGTGGAAAAGCATTAGGACATGACAGTTCCTAACGTTCAGTGATGTAAGTGTCAGATATAAATCAACTAGTGTGAGACCATGTTTCTCCCAACCAACTTCTAACATGTAGTACGGAATAAGCTACATGGGTTTTGTAAACACGTGATCAAATACACGTTATCATCACTTCAAACTTGAAAGGTATATATTTATAGGAGAAAGCAGTAGCCAGGTAAAAGTAAGAATGAATGAAAATGAACTGTGTGCAAAATGTACCCCTAGAAATGAAGTAGAAATAAAACGTCTGTCAAAAATATCGGCTATAGCAATGAGTAAAATAGAAAGTGAACAGCTGATTGATTTTGACGATGGAAAAATATCACAAAGAAGTTTGAAATCCCAAGCCTTGTATACTCTAACCACAATAAATAGAAGGGAAAAATTGATTTACCGCCCATCAGTGGATTACGGCATCCGAATAACGATCATCATCATTCATAAATTAAACTACTTGAATAAAGCGAGAACTACAATAATACCAGGATAATCTGAGCTCTTTTTTATATTTCTTGGATTCTTATCAACTGGTTACAACCTGAACAATACCAAAATTATAAATTAAATTAAACATCTGAACATACTTTCGACAATGACAATGGGAAGTCATGACCAGAAGGGTACAGCAGGTTGAGCGTGAGAACAAATACCCACCGAACACATTGGCTAGTGGTCGCGTCATTGGCCATTGGATCGAGTCCCAGTAGATTAATGATCGACAAGCTCACCTTGTAATCAGAAGGTCCTATGTTTGAACCCCCTGGGATAAATGCCTACTGATGAAGAGTCCCAAACTAGGACGAAACAATTCTTTAGTACTGCCAGGTTTTCGAGTGGTTCTCTAACCGATAGCAGCTCATGATGAAATCCTGAAAAACCGATCGATCAAATCCCTACAAATAAATACCTGATGATGAGTGGTTGATTGGAACTGAGAGAAACATTGGTCAAGAATAATGTAAGTTGTTGAATAATTAAGAATGAAAAGGATCGACTGTTTATTGAAGAATTGCATGACTAAGTTTAGAAACAAAAGGACAGAATTCAGCAGGTGTTTTGTGGGTAGACATCTCTATGGACAACTTGGAACAAATAAAATAAAGGCAGCAATCGATCAGATAGACTTCTATAAGTTCGCCATTTGTGATTGTTTCAGTGGCGCATCTCAAATATTAAACGTCCTGTATAGTCCCCATACTAATATAAAGTTTACAATGAAGTGTGAAGAGGAGGACAAGTTTCACTCCTGAACCTTGGCATCGAAAGTGATTAAGACAGTAAAACCATGAGGTAAATCTATAGAAAGGAGACCTGAAGAGCTATTTACCTGAACTTCAAAAGCTTCTGCCCTATAAATTACAAAAAGGGATTGGTGGTAACACTTTGTGATCGTGTAAGGGAGCTTTGTTCAGAATAAAAATTTGAGGAAGAACTAGTCACTTTTGAAAAACCCGGCATTATAATGGTTACCCACAGAAGTTCATCGACAAACACGTAAAACGTAGTCTTGACAAGGTGAAGTACAACACAGCAGAGAAAAAACCCATCTTTCTACAGCTTGCCTTCAAAGGTGACGATACTGCAAGTAAAATAAGACGCAAACTGAACACTGCCCTGAAGAAAACATATCTAGCTACCAAGCTTGTACGTGTTTATCAAACAACCTGTTTTTTGGGACAGTCAAAAATGGACAAGCTCCCACCGCATGTTACCTCCAAGTGCGTCAACAAATTTACATGTATGTGCCAAAGCGCATTCATTGGAAGGACAGAGAGAAGAGTTATTGTTCGCATCGCTGAATATATACCAAAGAACCTGAGATTAAAGCACTAAACAGTGCGATTGCACGCCACCCACTAGACATTGTTCATGTTGTGGACAACCTGAAGGCGTTCAAAATAATTGGCAAACAAAAGAAACCTAACCTAATTCAGTTTGCTGAGGCAATCGTCATCAAACGGCTAAAACTAAATCTATATACGCAGAAAGAGACAGGGGTGCTGAATCTTTCACTGTCTTAGTGATAACAAAGTGCACAAATTTCACTACATCATCTTCTATCCTGTTTAGAAAACATGAATTTTTTGAGTAAACATGGCTCAACCTACCCCCCTATTTTGTTTATTTTGCAAAAACGTGTTTTTCTGTGGTTACGTAACCCATTGCTTTTTATACTGTTTCTAGATATACTTTATTTCTACCCACAAAACACCTGTTGAACTCTGTCCTTTTGTTTCTAAGCTTAGTCATGCAATTCTTCAATAAACAGTCGATCCTTTTCACTCTTAATTATTCAACAACTTTCCACTTCTTCTTTCATTTGGCATGGATAACCGCATTCTTATAAGGCCATTTTCATTAAACTTGCTGACTATCTGACAATTTCTATCCTAGTTGTTTCAGTATTTGATTGTTCTGATATGATTCGATTCCTGTTTGAGGTTAACCAATGGTCTCATTCATATGGTCTCAAAATGAACGCCTCTAAATGTCAAGTGTTAACAAGACTTGCGTGAGCTGATTCAGTTCCATGATTCTTGGAATACTGATGGCACTCTGGTACGAAATATTACCTGCTCGGTATCAGTTTCTCCTCAAATCTTTGTTGGGCATCTCACATCTTGTTGATTTCTAAGACAATCTTCAGCTTAACTTACTGCAAAAGGACACTGAAACTTTCTGACATCACTAATCCTCTTCTATACCAATTTCATGTATTTTCTCCATTGTTTTTTATTGTTCCCTTTATTCTACTCTGGACTTCTCAAAAAGGACACTCTTATATTAACTTGGACTTTGAAGGCTGCAAGCACGATTAGTGGTGTGTCCATGACGCAACTAACTGACATTGTTGTTGATAGACATTTAAATTCTTGCAAGCAACTGGCTAAAGTCACCTTGTCCGGTACTGAACATACCTTTTATTTGTAGCTTTCTTCTTGTATATCTTCAGGTAAAACCAGCATAAATTCCGTAAGAACTTATGCTCATATGGCGAAATAAAAATTCAACCATATCATATTTAGGACGGGTGTTCTGTGAAGAGATAAATGTCATAAAAGAACTTATAAACTTAATTTACAATACGTAAATAACCAGCACCATTATTACATATATTCTTCTTCTAGTAAATTTCAGTTTTTGACGTCTTATTATTTTTGTTATTTTATGTACTTATTTATTTGTAAAAGGAGATATACTGTTGAGGCGTGTACTGCACTGAAAATTCCAGCCTGTATGAAAACCTATTGCTTGGAATAAAGTAATTATTAGTAGAAAAGTTTCATTTCGATGTCCTAAACATGCAGGGATTACTTTAAATAATTTTACAATGTTACATTCATTGTAATCTGGATATCTATTCACCTAAGTCTAAATATAATTACGACTTCCCAGGACAATTTTCGAAATTTCGATTGGCGTCAGAAGTCAGCCAATAAAACAGCGTTCTACAAGTTTGATTTTTTCTACCTTTTTCCAATATATTTTAGCGTATAACCAGACTTACGGTAATCACATATTCACAACTGGTGCTGAGGTTGGCCTTCTTACTTCGAACATTATTGTTCAAGGCGATAATCAAAGTGCAGTTAATAAGTTTGGAGGAAGGATTCTGGCATCACAAACCCTGTCTGCAGATGGTGTTTCATTTGGACAAATTAAACTATCAGGTATGCTTGGAAAATAAGACCTTGATAATAGAAATAATTTGAATTAGCCAGCTGGACGTTTTTTCTCCCGTTATCGCATTTTATCACAAAGCAGAATAGTTCTGGTGTCACTTCTGAAATACTCTGTCTTGGATATCTCTCCATTCCCTGCGATTTGGGAGGAGGGGTGAGGTTGCTAGTCTTATTCTCAAACTTTCCTCTTTTCTGGATTTACTACAGCCTAGCAGAGGTTCTGAAGTGTACCAGCCAGACATAAAACCCTAATCTCCTACGTGGCTGACGAACATTCTACCACTGGACAGCCGACTAGCTAAAAAAAGATATTTCAGATCAGGTGTTAAGTATTAACTAAGGTGAGGAAAACAGTAAGCATACCGAGACAAGTCATGTTTGAAACCATTAACGCATTTCTGGGAGTAGATTGAAGTAGAGCAGGTGCATTCAAGTCTTTCAAATTGTAAAAATACAGTTAAAAAATAAACAGCCAAGAAATATATTCCTGTTCAACTGGTTCCTCATCAACAATTCTGTACTAATATTTAGTTTTTTCATTAAAGTTATAGCAGCTGTGCGGAGAGATCAGTCATTAGGAATTATCAGTTTTGAGATATAGGAGGGGTGAAAATATTTGTGAATAACAGGATTAATTAATTTGTAGGGTTTATTTGTAAAATAAGGATAAGTAAGAGGAATAGATAAGTGGATTACGTAAGAATACCAAGATGGAAAGAAGTGAATTAGCTGGAATAGTAATCACAGTAGATTAACAATGTTAAATAATAGTTACAAGGATAGAGGAAAATCATTTGTAGGACTCCATACATATTATTTGAACTACTACAACAAAGAAAGATGTATGAATTTCTTTTGAACACAAAGATTTGGCTTGCTCAGAAGAATTCTGATTGCCTCTGCACTCGTACAGAGTAAGAAAGTCTGAGTCGGATACGATAAGTAACTTTAAGCGGTATATTAGTATCGATAGATTTTCCTGTGTTGACGAGATGAGATAGTATTCAGCCACTTAGCGCTTTATTCTGTAGTTTGCCTAATCGATAGGGATGACTTTCTGAAATATTGCTAAATATCCACGTTACTCTTCGCCTTTACATTTTTTCGAACGTTATTTTACTACTACCTATATAGCTTCTTATTTTATGAATTATATTTTCTTTTATAACTTCAATGTTATGCGTAAAATATGAAGACTTCAACGGATGTTCAGATTTTCTGGTTTTCATGACGCATACAGCAACTTGTGACATTTTAGCTTGGCGTAAATACTTAGTATGGTCGTATATTTCTATGATTTTCTAGGTGTACATTTTTATCGTATGGGTCAAAAGGAATTCAGTACGCCAACAGATGCTCGTTTTCCGGTCTCTTTCATCAGTGCTGGCGATATGAAAAATATTTCATACATAAAGTCGTGTATTTTTGAAGAGTCTTTGTCTTCAGCAGTTGGAGCGTTTGGAACTTCTGGACTACTATTAGAAAATAATATCTTTTATAAAACTCGAGGCAGCGGTAAGTGAAGTACCTATGTATTCCCTGTGTTTTTGATTTTAAAAAGACGGTTGCAGCGAGGAAAATTTTCTTTTCGACGAAGTTATCAACTAGGTTGTATATTCGTGTATTTATATTAAATGTGTGAGAAAGTTCCAGAATGATCTCCCGTCAAATTGATAAAATTAGTAAGTGTAATAAACAGAAGACAGATAGTGCCACTATTCTAGAAATATTTCAGGTCAGAGGCCAAATTAAAAATTACAATGTGTAATAATCAGGAAGATCAGGTAGAAAAGACAAAATAGGATTATAATTACTGGGAGACTCGTCAGTTTGTATAATTACGGGTTAAGGACGTAGTATTAGTAAAATGGGTAGGAGGTTCGGACATATAGAAATAAAAGTAACCAAATTTAATAATGCAGGTAGGGATTTAAAAAGTAAATATAACAAAGAAACGGGAAGATTGGACAAAACAAGTAACAGGATAGTTAATACTGATGGCCACGGTAGGGACAACGGTTGGACTTATTTCTTTTGGACACATAGAATAGACTTGAGCTTTTGTATCGCCAATGCCTCAGCTATTCCTAGATGTCTTGATTTCATTCCGCTTAGTAGGTTGGAGCGGATATTGTATATGGCTTCGAAGTATTTTTCAAGTGGAGCTGGATGTCCAGAATTCACCAGATGTTCTTTTATCGGATTGTATACCCTTTGTGTTCTCCCTTCACTAACCATGCTGGATAGTGTTCCCGCCAGCGTTTTGCAAGTGGACGCATGGTGCTGCCAATGTACTCGGCTCCATGAGAGCAAGTGAACTTTTATATACATGTTGTAGTGGCCCAATGCGACAGCTTGTTTTGCACATGCTGGCTGAGCAGTTTCTTGCAGGAGAATGTTATTCGTAGGCTAGCGGTGACTTCGAAAGCCGTCTGCGGAGAATTTCTGCTTCGGTATCACTTTTAAATTTTAAGTTCAACATCAGCATCGTTTTGGGGGCGACTTGGACCTTTTCGGGTGTTTTCTTTGGTTTTAAATCGTTGTGTACGAATCTGGGTGGGAATCCATTTTCTATCAATGTCTCTCGGAGACTTTGCAATTCTTCGTCGTTTGACTCCTCAGGACAAATCTTCCGGATCCTCGAGGAAAGGGAGTATATTAGGTTTCTCTTTGAAAGTTGATAAACTATCTGTTCCATGTGAGTTTTTGAGGATGGATCTTTTCAACAATTTACTATCATTCCTTCGTAGTTGAACGCTGAGGAAATAAAATACTGCGTTAGATTCAACTTCCAGAGTGAAGTCGATGTTTGAGTGGGCGTTATTGAAGATTCGAAGTAGTTTTGCTAGATCACAATTCCCATCATTAATGATGAAAGTATCATCGATGTATCTCTTGTAGAGATGGAAGTCATCGATATTTGATGATAAGAAGTTCTTTTCTAGGCTAGCCGTAAAGCAGTTGGCCAGGAGGGGTCCTAGAGGAGAATCCACTTCTACTCCATCTACTTGCCTATACGTTTCATTGTTGAAACTAAAATAGACGTTGAAGGTGTATCGCAGTAACAGTTCTGGTAATGGATCGGTACACCGACATCGATGCTATTGGATTGAATGTAGTCGCAAAGGAAACATACGGTTTCTGTCAATGGGACGTTGGTGAAGAGAGAGACAATATCCAAGGAGACCATATTTTGTCTGCCATGTTGACATTTTTAGCTGAATCAACAAAGTCGAATGTGTCATGAAGGTTGTGTCTTGACAGCTTTCCTTTCACCGGCCTGAGAATCTCCACCAGTCATTTTTCGATTGAGTGATGTAGGTAAACTATAATATTTAGTATTGGGTGGAGTGGGACGTCTTTTTTGTGTACTTTAGGTAAGCCGTACAGGCGCAGCGTTGGAGAACCAGATGGACCCAGTTGTTCGTATGATTTTGAACTGATAATGGATTCGCCTTTCATTTTTTTGAATATCTATGTTAGCTGGAGCTCCGTTTTTTCAGTGGGATATTTCTGTGGAGACTGTTTTTGAAACTTTTATCGTCAGATGGTATCACCGAGAGTTCGCTTAGATAGTCTTATTTTGTTCATCAAGACGATCCCGAAACCTTTATTTGACCGTGTCATGATCAAGTTTTCATTATCCTTCACTTCTTTTAGCTGCTTTCGATGTTATTTGGATAGTACGTTACGAAAGCTGGGTTTTTTGTTGATTAGTCGAGACAGCAGTTTAAAACGGTTGATTTGTAAAGGTCTGCATTGTCATATTAGGCTGGGATCAGATCTTTCGTCTGGTTGGTTAAATTCTCGAATAGGACTTTCGTGTTCATTTCATTCACTTTTGACGTTTGACGTTTTGATTTTATAAAGCATCGGTCTGAAGAATATTCAAGCTTACTATTACGTGCACCGAAGGTCAGTTTTTGGTCATAAGGTATGCTAAGATTCATAGAGTTTGGTGACAACATTTGTGCTGATGAAGCGTTAAATAGCTTTTATCCCAGTCTATGAAAAAAGTTATTTGTAGATGACATCAGTGATAAAAAAGTAAAGCGATTTTCGAAGAACACACCAAATATATGGAAAGAAATCTATTAAAGACTGATTTTAAAATGATTTTGCTTGAAACGCTAGTATGGTATCATGATAACAATTATAGCGGAAATGAGGAGGAAGTGCTACTAATAATAATGAGTAGTGATAATGAGATTGTAACCACAGTACTTCACTGCAGTGATTACACAATATTACTTCAACAATGAGCCCTGAATTCCATTAGTTCACTTGTGCGTGTACTTTATGGTTTTCTATATAGGAAGTAGGAAATCACACAACAACCTGTTCACTATCTCGCGGTTTTCTATGCCTTGCTGTCTAATTTTATTACATGATTGAGCAAGACTTTCGAAAAAAATGTTGCTTTATGTAATGATTTCCCGCAGAATCCTGAAATATATATAGCAGGATGAGACTAAGTAGTTTTCTTTGTCGCAGATAATTATTGCATTTATTTACCAAAACCTTTTAACATAATTCAGAGTAAATGATTGATTCCCACTGAATTTTCATGCATTCAACATATTGTTTTTTAGCTATCTGGGTGAAAGACAAAGGTCACAAAATAATACACAATTTACTGATTGAATCTTTATGGTCAGGAGAAACGGACCCTAATAACCAAAATCTCGACATTTTGTTTGAAGCTGCACTAGACATAAAAGAAGCCAGCGACCTAACATTACAAGGAAATGCAATAGCAGGAGCTGAACGTGTTTGCGTATACACTCAGGGATATTCTTGTGATTCAGGCAATAATTCTATGTGGTAAGTATATATATATATATATATTTATATAAGTTTTACAACTATATTTTTGTGTTCAAATGTTTCATAAAAATATGTCTACTTTGTATCTTAGGAAGAAGAACACTGTACATTCTTGTCTGATTGGATTTATGCAGCTGAAAACTCAATATAGCTGCTCAGTGATTTCCGATTCCCAGATATACTCAGTTAGTCAGTTCTCAATGTTTTGGAGGACGGATTCGTCTATTCAAGCCAAGCGTATACATTTAGTCGATAATGCTGGAGGTATGTTCTATTCTTAGTAAAACATAACCATATGTTAGTTGGGTACCCACCAAGGTATACTGTTAGTATCTGAAAATGTGTCATCAGGGTTATTTTTGCTCTGACAACATAATTTTAAATAAAGCGACTTATATTACTTTAAGTCTTTAAAATTATTTTTGCTAGAGATTCATATGTCGTCTCTTTTTATGATTTCAGAATAAAATAGTCACGGGAACGTAAATGCTGCCCAATTTCAAACACTTCTAAGAGTGTGTGTAGAGTACAGAGAAGTATCTGAACTAACTGATTATTTCGTACATTGTCAGTCATGATAATGTCAAGCGTTTAAGCTCATTTCTTGTCACTGAACTGATATTTTACATTACCACTGTTTTAAACGAAGGAAAAAAAATTCTTAGCATCAATAAGAACTTCAGCGCTTAACCTCACCTCTGTTGGAAGCGTAACAGGAAGAGTGATGCAATTCTTGTAATTAGTGGGATTTCTAAGTTCGAAATAAGTATTAGATGTATAATTTATAAGAAGAATTCTGTGTATATATATATATATATATATATATATATATTAAGTAAGATTCCGATAATAAATCTCTTGTTTCTGTCGGTATTTTCTCATCAAAAGGTATGTATCCATTTATTGGTGAACCAAGTGGACGAACTCATAAGATTAGCTCCAAGGAATTTAGATTTGATAATTCCTTACTAGTTGGTCGCAGTGGGATTCAGTCGTGTAGCGATAAGCCTAATGACATGGCTATTCAGCTAGCATCAAAACTGAAAGGACCGACTTCACCTGAAGGTGGCTACTTGGGTATGACAAGTCCCCAGTTTATGAGCTCAATTGGTATGCCTGAGGAAGGTAAATTAACAAGCTGGAGTGGGGACTTTTCAAATGGTGGAGCTGCTTTCATAACCAGTAAGTTCCTTTTTTCAGTCACAAGAATAACTGAAAATGCGTTAAACAATCAGATTAAATATTCTTACTACCGAGCATTTTGATAACACATTGGTGTGGGACTTCAGCCCACAAAATGAAGTTTGGACACTAAACTGATTACCATCTAGCCACAGAAGCCAAAGTATTTTCACTCTTTAGGTGAAAGATGCCAGGCTGGCAACCTTCATTCATAAGTTCTAACATTATCGAAATACACTGTAGCATTATTTTAAAATTAAGTTGGGCATCCGTTATTCGTATGTGTATTGACTTCTTGGTTTTTTGAGTAGGAATATTAATTTCATCCTCTATAGAAAGTGTTCAAAGTTGTAAAAATGATCTTTTGAATGTGATGCTAAATGAGACTTGAATACTTGCTAAGAAAAAAATTCGAAGCACATTTATTTTGACTGTCAGTATGAAGCCTATTGACTATCTTAGTCTGGTTTGCAAAACAGAAAATTTTGACTCCTTAAGGTCAGTCTGCTCAGAATCATTTTATAATAATGTTAACAACAGCACGTGGTACTGGAGGCCAAAAATTAGAAACACAAACAAGTGGAAATTTTTTTAGAAAAAATGTCTGCAGCCTGTTCCTTTGCAAGTCATGTACAATGTCATTATTATGGAATTTATGTGTTTTTCTGTACATGTTACCAATAAAAGTACCGAAAATGTCAGTGTCGTTCTAAATGCAGATCATTTGTTTCCCGTTATTTAATCATTCCTGTGTATGTGAATGTGAACATAATTCTCAAATAGACTGTGAAATGGTGGTGAATGCAGTACATCCTTCCGATACTAATTTGTAAAACCACATAACTGGGAGACATAGTTATGATTATGCAGAGAACTTTCTCTCTCGCCCAATTTATACTTATGAATGACTATTATATGGCCAATTCAATGGAATAACAGATAAAATACGGTAGTGGTTTTTTCTCCATTGCACCATTGAGTATGAACTGCTATGAAGTTTAGGTTTAAAACGTGTCATGTTTTAGAACGACGTAGTTGTTTGACCTTCTTTGTTTACAAAACAGAAACCGATATCCATGGTCTTATAGCTTTTATCATTTAGGTTAATCATTAACTTTGCTTGCTTAGTGAAAGACACCCTGAAATATAGATACTGAAATCTGTGAGGTTCATGAAAATGTACTATTTAGCATATCATTATAAGTGGACTTTTCTTTGCTTTCCAGATGTAACCATAGCGAATTATGGTGCTGTATGTAGTGGAAAACGAGATTACGTATGGCGGACAGATATGAATAATGAAGATGGAATATTTCCAACATATTTTGTTGGTACGAATGCGATATCTGTGGACTCTAGTAGCATTACTTATTACGACAGACCAAAAGTCGGGTAAGTTGAGGGGTTTTCTTCATCTTGCATTTTGAATTTCAGTCAGGAATACTGGTACAAAACTATAGTTTGTTCCATCTGAATATAAATTTTACTAAAATTCTCCAGGTGAATATCAGGCATGTCTTAGTTTTATTTATTATTTTATTCTTTTATGTTCCAAGTGGAGCATAGGGCTTCAGGCTAAGGCTTAGAAGTTTCAGTAGCGCTGGTTTTATTTTTACTGGGTGGGATTGCTAGTCTCACTCCAAAGCATGCGTCTGTGACTGCCTTGTTACCGACTTAGTGAGGTATAGGAGTGAGTTGACCGGGGACTGAATCCCAGACCATGGGCGTGGTTGGCGAGCATTCTACCACTGTACCACTGACGCACAGGCATGTCTTTGTAGTGGCAACTACGGTTTACAAGTAAACCATCTATTAACGCGTAATAAGTAAGTCTTGGCAAACTGATTTCAGACCTTTACTGACTCCAGTTTTACACAAGCTTTTGTTCGTACTCAGTGTATCCATTCATCAATATTTAACTTAACAGCCGTAACTATGGCTATCATCCTCTTAATTTGAAAAACTAAGTTGCCTTGTTCATTTACTTAACATGACTACATAATTGCTTCATTTGAATACCTAGACTGAATTGGATTGTACAAGTAATGAAAATATTCAACCTTATCATGCATCTCTTCTATATTCCCTTTCATTTTTAACTCAGAAATGTGCGTTTTGACAAATGTAATGATATGGAATGTGATGGCCTTAAAAAGATTCTTGTGATTGACAAAGACGGTGGATTGTTTGGTCAGCCTACTGTTATAGTACCACAATCAGAATGGCAGTATAATTTGGATTCAAGTTATGGTGTTAGTGATAAACGTATACCAAAAAGAATGTTAATGAAAGCCGATGGGACATCCATTGATCCTGCAACAGAATGGCCAAACAAAGGTGAATTACCAAATTCATTTTTAGAAAACTTGCGGATTTTTAGTTGTTTGAATAAATTGAATGCCTAAAACGTCTGTCACTGTTGCTGTTAACACAGTATAGTGATTTTTATTCCCCCAGTGCAAACAAACTTTGTCCGGCATTAATATTAAGTGAATCCCTAAATAAAGCGTCATTACTGGGAATTTAGGACTCATGCTGGTTGAAATTCGTCAAGAAGGTGTGCTAACCATCTTCAGAAAGTTCACATTACTCCAGTATTGTGATCCCACTTCACTATACTAATTAACTTATGTGTAATCCTACTGAAAAAATGCTGTCTTTTACCTGGATTTCAGACCTTGCCAAGACACATCAGGCTGCTAGACTGGAAAACGTATGTCACAATTTCTCCAGATGTATACATATCTGATATCTATATATCTTATTTATACATATCTGAGATGTAACTTTAGAGCTAAAATATAGACAAGTAATTTGAAGCACTTTGTTGGGTCTTTGAGATGCAGCATGCATTCGTGTTCCTTAACTTGTACTGATGTGTGAATGTTGTAGATGAAAAGCCTGAATAAGACGTACTGAAACTGAATATTCATTTTAAATGCTACTGAAAACAGCACAAACAGACTAGAATTTAAGCATTGGTTCTCATATAACGAAAACAAATACAGATTCGAACATTTTCGAGGTTATAAAGGAGTTATGGAACTGTTTTTGTGATTTCTAAGTCTCTATTTCTGTAACGGTTGGGGTACTGGTCAGGCTGTAGGTGGCCCGAGAACAAATAACATCTATCCAGGTTTGTAGAGCTAAAGTTTGAATACACTTAGCTCTCATAAATTCAGTGCAGATATTCTACTTTGTTCTATTTTCATAGACCAAGATGTAAAATCTAAGTGAGAAGGTATAAACTTATTACTGCTTTCCTTGCATATTGTCAGGTATTATTCGTGACAGCTCATGCGTTTACATGGCTACAATGCAAGCATACAAGTGTAGTAGGTCATTGGATCACAGAATTTTATTAATTGAGTCTATGGATCCAGACGCTCTTGAGCGCAGACTTTCACCGATTGCATTTGCAACACAGGGATTATCCGTGAGTCATTGATCAATTTTTTTTTGTTTCATTTTTAGTAATCTCATCCACTACAGACCAGTGTTGACTTTTTGCTTTCCTGTAATCGGCTTAAAAAACATGGTTTGCCGATTTTTTTAAAAATAGTTTAGTGAAGAAAACACTCTTTCACACCATAAGGGATTTAAATGAACTAAACATTAAAAAATGTAAAACGGATAGAATTCAGTTAAATAACTTTTTTTAAAGTTCGTAAAGTTACAAGAACGCAGAAACACTACTCCATAAGATAGCTTATCTGTATAATGCCTCATAAATCACCTTAATTGCCTTAAATATTTATTTAATTGGATTATCACAGAAACATTCTCAACTATACACACTGGATGATGACCGAGAATCCATCTTGTTTTACCGTCTTATTTACAAAACTGAACTTACAAATAGCGGAATTTTGTTTTTTCGCTAAATACTTCAAGTGAATGTGCTTGTATTCGCCCTTCCGACAGTGACCAAAGAATACACTGATTACCCGCTTCTCTTTGACGGTTATAAATTAAAGCTCTACTACTATTGGGATATAATGGGTCTTTAAACATATATCTGCAAATCTGGTCTTTCTTTCTCTATCGAAACATATATCTGTTCACCAATTTATTTATCGATAAACTGTGTTCCTTTTGTCTTACCTGTTTGAAATAGTTACATCACCGCATATTGTACCGCAATAGCTTAATGAAGGAAAAACTATGGTAAATTAACATCCTGCTTTCCCTGTACTTTATATTCCCAGTGTTACTTCTAAAAACAGCGTTTTCACCCTTCAACAACAGCAACTTATTAAACAAGCTAGCGTAAGTATGGCTGTTATCTTGGTGCAGGAGAGCTCTGTTCCAAACAACTGAGTACAAACTAACAAGTTTTCGTGGTTATTCAAACGTCCCCCAATACATGAGTGATAACTCCGAAAGCATTTTATATTCCTGAAATGTTTGTGTCAATCATTGGAAAGATTTGAAACTTGGTTTTCGTTGGTAATTTCATTTATATCAATTTCACTTTCAAAATGATACTGTGGTTTCTTTTCTTTTACTCAGAGTTCTTTTGGATCAGTTTTCAGTAGTATTTTAGTTCTTCTGTCTTACTTATTGTTGATTTCTTCTCCATAATTTGGTGTGAAATGCACTAACTTGTATTGGTAGCTCAAGTCTCGAGCCACTGGTAGTTGTATTGGCAGTGATATTCCTTTTATTTCGTTAGTTCAGCTCTTACTATCATTAGTGTATTTTCTTAGAAACCTTATCTACACAACCTTCAGCAGCCGTATCTTTCTAGATAATGCTTTTAATTTACAGCAGTTCATGAAGTTAGGAAGTGTGAATGCTGATAATATGATTATCAAATGATTTTTATTCCATATAGACTAAGAGAATAAAACCTCTAAATTAATTTGTACTAGCTCTAATGATTGGTTTAATTTTGTCTTGTTAAATTAGCCTAACTACATTGATCTGATAAATGGTCCAAGTGATCATGGAGCGTGTTCAAGTTATGCCTGTTTGAAAAGGATGAGTACATTTATGGCAGTCGTTGCACGTCAAAAGAATTTTGTAATGTATATGACAAGTACCATGCCCCAGGAATTACGTTTACGAATTCCACAAGCGGAACCAGATTATGCTGTTAGGATTGGAATTGATTACTTCACTGCAGGAAGACTTGATGTCTACGTGAATGGACAATACGTGAAGGCCAAAAATGCAGTAAACAATAGTTTGGTATGTGTAACTATAGATGCATAGATAATCTTGGTTTAAATTTAAAGAATAGAGACGGATTACTTTTTATTATCAACTGTAACAGTATAGAATACTTATTTATGATAGGTCTTTTAGTCTATCTTCTCTAATGTCATACAGAACAGCACTTATAGATGAAATTTCAAGATAGACTTTGTAACGCTAAATAACTCAAACTGGTTGACTGCAATATATTTAGTACATGATATTCTCATTTATTCTGTTCATTGATGAACAATATACTCCGCATAAAAATAAGGTTCGCAGAATATCACTCATACAGGTTTTATATATGCCTTTCACTCATTATTTATTTACTGTTTGTGAATTTGACCTGTAAATTTATGAATACATGCACTAAGATACTAAATATTGGTTGAAAACTGAGCGATTACCTCGACGAGATATAGATTAGAGTTTAATGAAAATAAGTTTCCTGAATCTACTTCAAAATTATTCATATTTGATTCCTTCAGTCCGACAGAGAACATAGGGACACTCTGTGATAAATGAAGCTGCACTCATTCTTACAAACCATTCGTGATAATAACCAAAGTCACTATCATTGTAAGTAGAAGAGAACACTGGTTATTTTTTGAACCTTTATACCCTGTAATTACGACTAATCTTATAAGGAAGATAATTAAAGTGAACACATTAAAAGGGAAACCTTAATTGGTTTTAGATTTCTGAGAACGAAGAGAGAAATTTAAAAAAAAAAATTGATCTCAGCCACAGGTTTTTCCAATAGGAAATTATTCAAATGTTGAGACTATACTGTACCTATATCTTTCTCAAATCATACATTATGATCATTTATTTTTAGGGTCAGTCTGTATTACAAGCACCCAAAACACCGGAAGAATTTATGCCAAATGTAATGACAGACTCAGCTGGTACTAATTACTATGATGATTCAACGCAAATTTTGTATGTGATTCTAAAAGGTGAATCGATTATCACCATTAAACTGTCACAGTTAGTGAAAGTGTCATTCGGTTTGCCTGCAATGACTATTGACCAGTTTTTTGGATCAGAAGTTGTTTCAAATTTGGCCAAATTTTTAGGAGTAAGTATCAGTTTTTCTATCACAGTTTTACAAATTGATGATAAGTAAGTCTAGAATAATAATAATAATGCATTACTTTGGTTTTCTAGTCTAGATATGAAGGTTCATCTCGAATTGAATATGAGAAGTTATCGAATATAATATTTTAACATATATAAAGAAGGTATTATGGTTCAAATGAAACCGTTAAAAGTTTTTGGAAGCTTAAAATCTCGATCAAAATTATTAAAACATGTGGATAACTTCACTTAGAGTACAAATATAACACTCCAGCTTTGGTCAATTGTTGATTTGTTAACAAAGTGTGAAAATAAAAATAGTTTCACAGAAACGTTAGAAAAGTAATCACAAAACACTTATGTGAGAAGGGAGTACACAACCTGATTAGTTATCCTGGATTCAGAAGTTTTGTTTTCTCAATTGTACGAGTCCACTCACATTTATGTTAAATACATTGTGTTGATAAGATTTGAAGTCATTTCACTCTGATGGCCATTTATTAACTAGCAATATGCAATTCATGTTGTTTTCTATCAAATTCATCTAGCCTATAGACTACTACCTCTTATATGCAATACACAAAAATAGATTACTGTTTACTGTCGTATTTTCTGTATGAATTGTTATCATTGTTAAAGTTCATGTAATTGTGTCGTTTGTGTAATTGTGTGTAATCCTGCAAAGCTGTTACATGACATCAGATATATTAGACATGAATAACTAGATGGCTGAAACGCCACCAAGACACGAGATTTTCTCTTTTGTTATGAAATTAACATGCTTTTCATAACGCTCATCGATTGAGGTTCATTTGACAACGACGCCAGCAGTTAAAGAAGATTTACTGTCTAGTCCAAAGTACATGAAAACTGGCGGATCGTGTTTTAACTGTACATCCACACCACTTAATACAATGTAGTGGTTGTCATTAATACTTCACTTATATTCAAATAATTGGTTGGGAAAAAATTATTCATTTATTTTATTTACTGATTTCTGATATATGTTGCTTTTAGAAAGGAAGCATAACTTAATTTTAGTCATTCAGGTAAAGTGAGAATATGTTTCATAATCTTTTATAGGTTATCTCATTTATGTAGATGACTTAGTTTATACTGTTTAATCAGAAATTAAACTGTAACAGACTTATGACATTAATCTGATCTCTAACCAGTATTATAACATTTCTTTTGCCTCCGTAGATACCTGCAGAAAATATACGTATAGTCAAGGTGGTTTCTGAGTCTGCTACTAATTCAGCAAGTCGTCAACGTCGAGCTGTCCCTGGTGTTTTTGTTGAATTAGAGATCTCGTCACCACCAAGTCAAAATTTATCCCAGTCTGCAACACCAAATGTTACATCGTCTGGAATAACACCCATGGAGAAAATATCAGCAAATGTCGTTTCAGCTGTACAAACAGGATTATTGGAAAAAAGTAATATAAAGTGTTAAATTCATACAGGCTTATGTTAGCTAATTATTTGTGTCTGAAATTCTAGTTGATATTCAGAGTAAAATGCAGACCATTTATTTCACAACCTGTTGTCTAATCTATACAAATCCACCTAGAGAAAGATGATGATAAGTAGTGAAATAAAATGATAATATGTGGTTATTCATTTATTCAAAAGAACTATTGTTATATTGGTATTATTTGTTGCTAGCATTTCAGTTGGTAGATAGAGCTTCAGCAGCATGTTCCATTTGTACTGTGCCCTCCACTATCACTTTTGCCCCACTCCACGACTACCCATAAGCTTTCATCTTCTATCAACATGATCTCCTGCAAATCACCTTCGGATGCCCAACTCGTTGCATTTTATGCGATTTTTACCCAAGAACCTGACGCATGATATCAGTCAACGGTCTCTTCAGTGTGTATCCCATGTGTCTTCCTTCTCTCCCGCATATTTGCTGCCTGGTTCGCTGCCCGCAAAAGTTCCTTGCTGCTTATCTATTCCAGCCGGCCTTCTGACTTAGAGCATTGAGTTTAGACAGCTGTTTGCGACAGTTTTCTGGAGGACCTGCTAAAGATTATTTTGGTGACTTGCAATAGGTCTCTGGACCATAGAGAAGCACTGACCTGATATTAGCTTTGAAAATTAATATCTCGTTCATTGTACTTCCCTTAGATTTCGCCCACTGGTGCTTGTTGTGGTTGTTGGTCGAATATCTTCATCATATCTGCCATCCTTTTATGTCCACAGGAAATTCTGTCTTATTTTCTTCCTTTGCAAACTTAGTGGATTTAGCTTGTATATCTTTAAGTTTGTGAGGCATGAGACGTAAATCATTTGCGAAAGCAGATCTTCTAGAGTCTGATTTTGGTACAGCCTATGCCGGCTTCCTCAATCCCCACGAACTGCTGCATGATCCAGTCTACTACTTTGGTGAGACTGAAACCAAAGTATAGAAATCAAAGTAGAATAAAAGCACTCGACACCGAAATGAGACATGTTAAAAATTGCTAACCTACTCAGCATTATAGTGGACTTAGACTGATTTAATTAACTAAATATTTGCTACTGATATTAACCTTTTCTACACTCTTTCTATCTCTGTTTACCTCTCTGAGAAGATAAATGTGTTTGTGAATGGGGCTGTTTAATGACTCATATGGTTTTTCTGGTTGCTCCACTGTACCGTTTTCCCAAGGGACCTTAGTGTATTCAACCGCTTCTTCCTTTTTACCTTTTTTGCATTTTGAGTAGAGCTTTGCGCTTCAAGAATTTGGAGTCTCGGATAGCGTTGGTATTGTTTTACAGGGTATGATTGCTAACTTCCCGCCCAACCTTTTCTTTCTCCAGGCTCGTGGCTAGTAAACTTGGTTGGGTTCAGGAATGCAACAGGAATCGAACTCGGACTGGTGGGCATTGATCAGTGTACCACTGACGCTGCAGTTAAAATAGGTCGGATGACATTTAAAATGATTTCATTGCGGGCTTTGTCTAGTTAGTCTGATGTTTGAATTATAATAATATAATTCGAGTAATCGTATTCACAACACTGATATTCGGTATCTATCGAGCTAAACAGATAAGCCAAAGCAGTGAGACGTCATCTAAACATTATCTACGAACATTTATATCTAGGGGACAACACAGACCAGTCACAAGTTCATCTTTTGATCACATTGTTCTTTTTGATTGTATTCTGTGTAGTGAAAATCTTGAGATTCATGTACGGAAATGCTTTGTTTATTTAGTCCATTTTACAGTCATAACATGGAAAATACGAAATATTTTACTTTTTGCGAAGTAACCTTGTTTGCAATTTTTTCACTGTTTTACTGCTTCTGTATTTTCAAAAATTAAAATGAGAGTCTTAATCGCATTCTCTGGTGACTAATATTCCTGCTTTCAAGAGTTTACTTTTAATTATTCATTTATACATGTTATTTATCACTTAATGTATGCATTTCGTCGGTGGTATAGTGGTTAGGACTCTCGCCGACCATGCACATGGTCCGGGGTTCGATCCCCTGCCGACGCACACACGATATCTATGGTCGGCCTGTAAAATTTGGGCTACCGATATCCATGCTGAAAATTCCATACTTGTACTGAAAATACGGTGTGACATCAAGCTGTAATCAAAAATTAAAAATTTTAAAAATTAAATTAAAATTAGATTATCGAAACAAAGTTAACAGTTTCATATGAAATATGATCAAGATTTGACCGAATAGTTCCAAAATAATTGGGCGCCGAGTGAAAAGTGGACATTTGTAAAAATTATATTTTTTACGAGTTGATCAAATTATATTTGTAAAAACTCAGCGAAATTGAAATGACTAATCCCAAGGTTTCGTTCGGCAAACTGGTCCGAACTTCTTCAGGGGAATTAATCGAAATTAACATAACAGAGGTTTATATATAAAAAGGATACTTCTTGTTTCTAAAACCTTTGTCCAATCATTATGAGTCATGAAACAGTCATTAAAATATAATAAACAAACAAAATTGTTTGAGCTGTGATCAAAATTTGACCTCAGATTTACAAATATTAGTCTACTTTTGTTAAACACTGTCTACTTTTTCACTCAGAATTCTAGTGATTACGTCCGACCAAAGTTCATATTCGTAGGTAACGGAATACGAAAAATGTAGATATGTATATGCGGTATACAATGGTGTGTGTGCATGTGCGTATACGGCAACAATTGTAAAAGATTTGTTATACTCTCCATAAGAAGATATAAACAACCGGGTATTTAGATGAAGTATGATTGATTAGTGATACATATCCATTTTTATTTATTAATCAGGACTTGCTGTGCATCAGCTAACACAACACCTTCACGTCTTTTTAAACTTTTGAGATTAACCCATAATTGTAGGGTTTCTGCAGTCGGTCTTTTGTTATACGAAACAAAAGTTAGCAGTTTACCCTTTTCCCATTCTGAATTGCAGAACAACATATTTTACTACTGACTAAAATTGATATGGCGTTTTCCACAACTTTTTAAAGTATCACTTAACCAAAACAGTGTTGATGAAAATTTATCCTGAACTTTGTCTTATTAAGTTATAGACAAGAGTTTAATCGTCTTATGTTATGTAGCATGTAAAAGACCATAAAGCGCTGGACATTTGTTTTCATTTAGACTTAGCACACCCACAAGCCCTCTAGTGATGAAACAAAACATTGTCATTTTTCAAGGTGAGCACACCACCATTCAATCCTTGCGTTGGAATCAGGTTTACAATAATTCTGTAAGTGAAATACATTCGTGATGAAATCCACTTCAGTTTAAATCCTCACAAATTAAATAACTACAGATTTAATTGCGTCTGATGCCTGCCTGATATTATTTATTCATTTATCATTTATTCATTTGCCTACTACATATGGTTTCAAGTATTTCAGAATTCGACCAAATGTACTTTAAACAAGCTTATTACTTTGTAGTGGATATCATCCAATGGGACAACGATCAGTTTACTTCAATAAACAGAGTTCTATCCAATAGAACATTTGCCTTATTTCTCAGTTAAACTTCATAAATTTACTGTTTCTTTCTATTTTTAGTTATTAATGCTACGGTAGTTAGTGTATCAGTTCAACAGCCTACACCGTTACCAGGTAGTCCACTATGGTCTGCTCTAGTTTCAAATTCAACAAGTGTCTCACCATCCCCTACAGTTATTCAAATCCCAGCAAGTGTGAAAACGAAACTTTTCGTGCCAGCAGGCTATGATTCAGTTACAGAAGGCATTCCATTCAGTTTAGAAATCAGCACCGTGGACTCCTCGGTAAGCTTTTATTAAATAATGCTCATACATTTTTAGCTGAAGGCTCTTTAGAAATTTAGCATTATTTTGAAATTATTAAGTAAACTTGAAATCTTGAAAAGTTGGGAATAAAATTAACAGATTATAGTACTATTTACACAGTTCAGTGAATTTAATAACTTACAATTACTGACTATATAACAGTCAGTTAGAAGAACAGTTTTTACCCGTCAAAGTCATTGTAATATTACAGCTTAAAAGGCATATTGCTTATCGTTGGAGCGTAACTTTTCATCATGTTATTTATTCTGGATAAAAATCTTGTTAGTCATTGTTTTCAACGTAGGAAGGCAACCCAATGAGTATCGTGCAAAGCGAAAAATCAGTTCCAATCTTTCCAATGTAGAATGCAAAAGTTCTAATGAATTAAAATATTAGTCACTATTAACAGATGAAGTTTCGAAGCCTTGAGTAGGCCGATGTCTCCTTAATAGACAAATCTAGACAGAAGAGCTAAATCACGATAAGTGGCTCTTTCTCGTACTCTTGAGTACTAATTTTATAGTTGATGATGGGTTGTGTGAATGCGTGTTACCAAACAAGAATTTATAATCTGTGTATTCTGCAATCATCTTGAGTAGTGGAGAGAAATGAAGATAATCGTGAAGCACTAGAGAAAGCTTGAAATGAAAGTGAAAGAAGCAGAATACAAACACGTCTTGCAAGCCGAAGTTTTAGTGTAATTTATATATTCGTTATCACTGTATGTCCTTTTGCTAAACAAACAGTTTTGCTAGCGAATACCACTGTGTTCTGTCGTCACACTACCACATATTCTTTCGTTATTTCATAACTATAATGCATATGCGAATATTAGAGACATTTCATGTGTTCTGTGTGTCACCTACGTTTCAAAATTTTATCTGCTTTTATCATGAAAGGAAGGACCCTGAGCTTTTATGAAAATGTCAGGGTATGCAAAACTCTTTTCATTTTCATTCAATCTGTCTGAAAATGATTTATACGTAATATTGTATTTAATGAATACTTAGCTGGTAGTAGAAATAACATTTATGTATTCCAGATGTAGTTAGATCTTCTTGGGGTTATTTAACTTTCCTCCTCCTTGCTGATTACCACTACTGTATGAAAAACTGAAAATTTGTTGCCTCTGAATTATGTGAGTTAGGAAAACTCATTGAACATTGGATAGATTAAGTTATATTTTCATCTGCATATAAATTCATTGAGACAGAAGCTTCTGTTGTCCAAACTCTATTTGTACTACTCACATGTTCAAAACCACGTGGTCTTTACTTTTATTTAATGTCATCTTTAACTCAGGCATTTACCAGAGGACATGATAATTATTTTATTGATTATTGTAGGAACCAAATAATGATGCATAATAATCTTGTTCAAAACATTTCTTTTTAGGGAAACATTGTTCGACCACTGGGCACAAACACAAGTCGTTGGGCATATGAATTATTTCAACCGGAATCAGTTTCACCTATTAAAGTATCAAAAACAAACTTCGACAGTCCAGAATCAGGAACAGCTCTGGTTTCAAATCTTATATTTTCAAGGGATGGTTTGGCTAACCTGTTTGTTTCGGTAAGGAGAACGAACCATCTGTTTAGAGCTAGTGATATATATATATATATATATATATATATGATATCTGGTTATTCTTGCATTAATGTCTAAGCTTCAAAACAGTTGTATTTTCATCAGAACATTGTGATCTAGAAATCACCCTAATAGATAATTATTTCACTTTTATGAGTCAATGTAAAATTGAACAAAACATATTTTTGAGTCCTCGTGATTTGTTGACGTTCCACAGTGATTTTACTCTGAGTCGAAAACTAGAGTTAAATTCATATCTGTTTGGTCTTTTATGATTGTCAGCTCTAAAGAAAAATGTAGTGCAAATGTAGTGCAAATTATCGAACGCCACAAAGAAGTTGACATAGACACTACTTTTACATTCATTAATTCAGGGTGTAAACTGATTTTGGCCCTTGTCTTCATTATATGTGCAACTGCGCATAACGACACATCTAGCCTGGAGAAACAACCGTGATGAGTTTTGTCTTCAAGTGTACCAAAAACTGTCATTTCCTCAAGCATAACGTTGTTATTTTTGTTAGTCAACTTTCCTTGAAATAATTCATGATATATACTGCTTAATTAGTCGAATGGTTGATACACAACATACTTTACTATAGTTTAAGCAATTGAACTTTTAGACATTACAAAGAAATTTATTGTTTCACTCGGAAGGTATCAGTAAAAAGTGGTATAAAATGTTGATCTGAGAAAAACAAAACATGGTGTTTTTTGGCTCTTCCAACAACTGACTTCATGAAATGGCAGTAAACGGACTTGTCGGCACTACATGTTGAATGCTAGATGAAGCTAAAAGCATAGCGATAGGATTAGAACGGTGGTCTTAACACGTTTAACAACTGCAATAACTTGATCGACCAATGACTACCGTAGATGACTTTGACTCTCCCTAATCTCCACATGGTCCTATCTCTTTGAAATTCCTCTATGGGACTTTGTACGGAGGTGATAACTAACAGCTGCTGGACGGAAAGATTATGTCAAATTCTAACAAACTGTTAAACTCTTCATCAGCTATTCGCGACCAGGCCTGTGTAGTTTAGCGTCAAATCGTAATGGGCAGCATCATTTTTAAATTTGGTTTCTGAATATGTTGGTTGTGTTTACTCAGAGAAGGACTTTAACAACTCAGATATAAGTATAAAACTTGGGCACTGTGGTAGAGTATAACTCCATTATGGATAAAATTTTATTTTGATAAATCACACAGTGTTATACAGTAATATTAACTGATGACGTTTCGAGCACAAATTATTGCTCATAATCATATCAAGTTACTCACACGACTTTTTTGCTTCATTTATATGCATGAGTATATAGATGTTGATAGAATTACGTCCATCTCTAAATCCGTATCATTTAAGTACTGAGGTATAAAAATGCAGCATAAACGACTGCAGGAATCGTTTTGTCGGTGACGGCAGTCGCTACCGACCATCAACCTTTTCGTTTGCTGACACTGTGAGTCGTTAGAAATCACATTACTGTGCACATCGTCACACCTGATTGTATGGTATTAGCACTTATTACTTTTTTGACTTAAACGTATGTTTTGATTGTGTCAAATGACCGTCTGACCTTAGTATCATTAACTATCCTGTCAGCGTGTTTGTTCTGCGCTCAAGAGCTGCAATGCGTTCCTCTGGAGGTTGAGATATATATATGTTTGCCGTGGAGACATTCTTTCACACATTTAGTCAGCAATTTAATCTAACTTATCTATGTTTTTCTCGTCTCCTGTGTATGCCCTGCAGTAACCGTTGAAGCTAGGGGTGGTAGAAAAGTCTTCTGTACATCTTTTTGTCGTCTAACAGTTTTGCGACGTCTTTTGTGCTGCAAAAACGCTACTAGGTGATGGTCGAAGTCGATTTTTAGAAGCTTTTGCTCTAGGACATCATATGGGATCAATGAGTCATGATATAGTAAGGTTTACCGTACTTCTTGACAAAATTACTTGGTAAGATGTAGATCGCGCCTTTAGATCTCGTATTTTATGACGTGATGTGGTTAGAAAAAAAAGTAGTTTTCCAGACGAACAGACCATAATGATAGGTTGTTGGATTTTAAAAGGGGTACAGGAAGTCACTTTCACTGTGTATCCAAATGCCCCAGAAAATGCAGTTTGTAGTCGGACTCACCATTTGAATTATATCCTATCCGACTCCAGTGACATACATGTACATCCAATTCTTTCTTCATGCTTCTTACTATTTCAAACGCCGGGATTTATCAGTACACACAACATAAAACCCAAAGGCGTACTTGCTGTTTTAGTGAAGTATATTAGTACAGTTAAATTCAGAAAGGAACAACCACGAAAGGCTGCGTGTAATCATCCAGTCCATAGTAAGACAAACGAAACAAACATTTAATTACATTTTGAAACTTATTTACAATAATGAATAATGAATCGAATCATTACAACTATATTTTCTGATTTATTCAGCGTGACATTTTATGGAAGGTGAAAGAGCGACTAATATGAATTCAAATTAACGCTCACTATTTGATTCTTGAAAATCATCTATATCCAACTTTTTGATTAGTTATTCAGTGGCTTTAATTACATTGTACCTTAAAAAAGTTATATAATGCAGTACATTTTAGCTTTGTCGCATTTGATTCCTGATATTATGTCTGTTACACATATTTCCCCATTTATGCCTTGATTTTGATTCCTTACGTAGTTTTCTCCGAGATATTTTACTAGTCGCCTTTAATTTTCATTATAACTTACCACTTAATAATGACAACAAAAATAAGTTTCTTCACATCTTCTTAAGATAACCCATCATTATTATTTGTTGTTGAGTATCTGACACCCCATAGGTTCATTCATTGACTCAAGTTATTCTCTCATTTAACTTCGGTAACTTTTTAATGTATACTGAATGAAATTAATTCAAAGCCGTGTTCTCTTTAATTTATACAGGTGATCTCTCCTAATGATTCGTCTAGATTAAATTCGTCTATAAATTTCCTTGTGAAGAAGAGAAAATTTGGTTTGCTTATTAGTCCTGTTGAATCTAATGCCAGTGACTCAACCATCAAATCAACAGTTAATAAAAACATCCCTGTTCAAGTAAAACTTCTGGACAACCAAACAGGCGCTGTGGCGACTAATGTAAACTGGAGAGTAAGTTATTTAGTGATTAATTCAATGAATCAAAGTCATATTGGGTCTAATTAACTTTATTTGAATCTTAAATTATTTTTTTAAACTGTCAGTCGGCTGTAAAGTAATATAAAATGATTTATACTTTCGAATAGTCTTCAGTGGGAGTTTCTGAAAATAAAGGTCAAATAAATTGCTTCGTTACTGGCGTGATGTTAAAAACATTATAAGGTTAACAAAATACCAAGAAATTTAGAAGTAATTTTCACGTTTGAAGATAATTAAACTGTCGCTAAAAATTAAAATTCTTTTAATTTTTTCTAGTCTCTTAGGTGGAATTTCACTGGTGATGTTTGTCCAAACAGTAGGAAACCGACAAATGCGATAACAAATTCAGCTTCATCATACTTCTATGATCCAACTAACTCAAATGGAAGCTTCAACTGGGCTATTGGTGGATTCCAGTCACCTTGGATATATGTATATTGCATTAGTGCTACTGCTTATCTCAACGATAGTACGACAAGACAGCCAGATTATGATATTGGTCTGACTAAATTCAAGATTCATATTCGTCCACAGAACTACACTGAACCACCTAGAAATGTTGCCAAACCATTCTCATTTAAGTTTGCTGGTAGTTACTCAACTATGCTGCAACATATTGATGAGTTTACAGCTGCTGTACAGTCTGAGCTGTTCACTCGCTACCCCAATGTATTATTTGAAAATATGACATTTAGTGAAGGTAAGAAAGTGATTATAAATTTCACTGGTGTTCATAAAAGTATTTTAAAAGATGTCCAGTCCTCAATGTCGTTATGAAAACAAAAAATATTCATCTTCATTAATAATTTATTTTATTCCAGAAGATGTATGAAAAAAAGTTGAAAAGTTACTAGGCCTTAAAAGTAGTTTTCAATAGAAAATAGTATCTTCCATTGTGATTTCTCTGTTTCAAACATGTAATGAGTAGACACACTACATGAATTTTTATTACAACAGACAGGAGCTTTTTTCACTGAGAAGCAATTTAATGCAGAAGTAGTAGGAATTAAACAAACTTTTGCTTGTCAATTGTCGAAACTAACCACTTTTGCTCACTCTTTATGAGAAGTGGATTTGCTCTAATAGCACCTAAAATTTGTGCACTCAAGTGTTTCTTGGTCAAGGAGTTTTCAATCTTCCTGAGTATCATGCATTACTATTTCTTTGAGAAGTTAGACTTTTATTTATAATGATGAAGATTTAATTAGTTAAGGGAGTTATCCAGTAAGTTAGTTCTCGCTATTACTGTTCATTTGAACTGGCAAGATTTTTACGGCAGGAAGATGCAACAGAGTGGATCTCTTGACTACCCATTCGACATATTTCCAGGCTATGAAAAGAAAATAGGTCATAGTGATAAGTAAGTTTGTTTTACGCTGCTCTTTAAACCAAACGTTACGTCCAACTTTTCAAAACTGGTAATTAATATTTGGATGTACCGTTATGATCAAGGATTTATCATTCTTAATAAATTGCTATCTACTGTAGTATGTAATGAAAAAAATAAACATAACTATGCAAATACGAGTATTACACTCTCATCAAAGTGAATCGATTCCACAACTGGGAAATTTATGTTTCAGAATATGCCTCTACTCCTTATGTACAGTGAGTGAATTTATACACACATAAGTAACTTCCAGAACAGCTGACAAGAAAATTTCTGGCACATTCTTATCTGAAACATTGCATGTTTATAAATTGTGTGCTTCTAGATCGAGCTACTGGGCAGGGAAAAATATTAGGCGAGACATAAACAAAGTGTTACTGACTTAATATCAGTAAAAAGTTTGAGCATTGTGGATTAGATCAAATAAAGTATACTTACATTTCAATAGTTTACACACAATGATGTTTTGTTATTGGTAATATTTCAAGCAAAATTACTGCCCGTGTTCACACCACTGTTGGAATTGTTTGATTCACACATTTATGATTTGTACTCATATATATAGTTCATTATTAAGAACACAATATTCAGCGAAGAGACTCTTTTCAACGAATTTATTATCAAGCTGTACAATCGTATATATATGGTTTTTTTTATAAAAATTATATCCGGTGAGGGAATTAGGTCAAAGGTGTGAATACATGAAATAATAATAGTATGAAATGCAATTAAAATATTTGTGATTATAATCATAGTTTAAGGTCAAGTGGCACAATAATTAATGTCGTATATAGAATAATACATAAGGTGTATCGATTTTGGAAAAGGGTACATAATTATAAGATTAGTAGACGAATATAAAATGTTACATAACATGGTATGAAATTTGATAAGACAGAATTCAATATTGTAAAAAATATAAAAATATGAAAATTAATAATTTTAGGTTTAAAATGTCAAGTAGGTCAAGTGAACAAGATTCAGAGTGAGAATAGTAATCATAATAATGATAATAATATTAATAATAATAATAATAGTAATAAGGGAAGAGTACATAGAATAACTAAATAAACAAAATAAATAAATGTCTATCCCTCTACGGCCAAGGCAGAAGTAGGGATTGTACATACTTCTTTTGTACACAAAGGTCTGGCTTAAAGTCATGAATTGCCAAGGCCTCAGCTGTCTTTAGAAGTCTGTAACGAATAAAACGCGGGAAGTTAGCATGGATTCTATATATGATCTTAAAATCATGGTCAGGGTTAACAGAGTGACAGAAGTCGATCAGGTGTTCCAAAATAGAGCTTCTCACACACTTCCTTTCTCCCTTATAAAACCAAGCTGGAATATGTTCTCGTATCCGTGTGGAAAGCGTCCTCTGACTACGGCCAATGTACCTTGCTCCACAGGAGCAGGTGAACTGATAGATGCACATGGAGGCGGCCAGACGGGGTAGCTTATCTTTTATAGAGGTAGAGAACAACTTGCGGCTAGTGAACGTCATATGTAATTTTGCTGCATAGAACGTCTTACGGACTGATTTGGAGAGACGATTTTTGAGCATATCTGAATCTTGATCACCTTTGAATTCCAAGTTCATGAATAAGGTTTTCTTTGGAACTGTGTCGGTAACCAGTTTAGACTGCTTTTCTTCATTATTTTTGCTCATTCATGTTTATTCATAAACGCCTAACCAAAGGTCAACCAACAGGAACACAAGCCTACAAAAATCTTGAAAAAAATTCGTCGATAGCTGCACATGCATGGGAAAAACCCACAATATCGATTGGGACAATGTGTGTATTCTAAAAACTAACATGAACAAATGGAAAGAAAGACTTATAACAGAATCGATATTCATTAGTCACACCGGATACATGTAACAAGGGTGACTCAGTACAACTACCAACAACTTGGAATATAATTCTGAATACAAAAACATGAATGAACGTGGAATATAACTTCAATACAAAAAAAAACATGAATGAGCAAAAATAATGAACTATATATATGAGTACAAATCATAAATGTGTGAATCAAACAATTCCAACAGTGGTGTGAACACGGGCAGTAATTTTGCTCGAAATATTACCAATAACAAAACTTATCGTTGTGTGTAAACTATTGAAATATAATTATACCTTATTTGTTACTGACTTACACAGATATATAAATCCATACGGTTTTGGTCTAGTATAGGAAATATGATCGCTTTTATTCCAGTGTCAATAAACTTGGAAAACATTATGATTTGACAAGTATAGTTGTTAGTGTACATATCTTAATGGTGACCTGTTTTAAGTATAAGTACGACTACAGGCATTGTTTAATCTTAATTTGCAGTTATTTAACGCATGTTTAGTATCCCACTTTGAAGGTGTTAAAACAATTCATCATCCATCAGATATTTATCCGTACACTTAACTCGTGTATGAGTGAAAACCTTAATACGAACATCAATAACTGACTGAAATAGAAAGTAGCAATCGAACTTACATGGCAAAGTTTCTGAATATTCACTTTACCCAATTCTTCATCTGGTATTTGAATGTGATAAAAATGAAAAAAGTATTTAGTACATGACGGAAGGATTTAGTAACTAATATTTCAATAATGTATTAAAAAAGACTATATTATTGAAGTAGTCAATGAGTATATGGAACGGATTAGGCTTTAATTATTTCATATCAGGAAGTTTTAACTTTTAAATGGAGGGGTTGCAGTTTAGCATATCTTATCAAAACGTATAGTTAAGTAATGGTGAAATTCCACCAACAAGAAAAATACCTTTCCGTCAATAATAGCAAACCGACGAGAGGTATTCCAGTTGATGCCTAGTCCTTTTATTTGCGATAGTAAACTCACGTTTGATTTATGACATTTTTGGAAGACACTTTAAAATTAATCTGGCTTTTTGCCCTATAGTACGCAGCACCTCATTCCGTTAAGCCATAGCCAATCAAAAATGTGCATGTGTTTTGCAATACATCACCATCATACTAGTGAAAATTGAGGTTAATTAAACTCATTTATGGAGTAAAGGCAGTTCGATGCAAACAATTGGGATCGCCACATTCTATACAACAATGAACTGAATTCCAGTACAGTATGGTCACTCTCATGTATTCATGCTACAAGCATAAGGCGTTGTTCACCGTCGCAGTTGTTCTACTTAATAGTGAAGAGAATTTCAGTCTTTAAAGCAATATTTAGCCATTCAAAATCTATTCGAGAATATCAAAACAAATATATGAATTTATTCAACACACAAATTCATTATGCTTAAGACAACAATTATTACTGCTAATACGATTACTACTTTAGAGTATAGTCCATAAAATTGCATATTCAAATCAAAATAAATACTGTTAGTGTTAAAATAATAACTTCTACAATTAATTGTTTATTTTCTCAAAAATTTAGGTAGTATAGTGGTGAATGCAGTCGCTGTTGGCGAATCGTCAGCTACCATTGACAGTGTATTGAGCAGCTTAACTTCAACTTTAAATAACGGAAGCATCAGCTTTTCGGTAGCAGGTGTCAATTACACAGTCGCCAATACCGGAAAGAATGATGGATGTGTAAGTATCAAAATTATACTGTAAAGTGTAATCAGAATTTTGTCTGCTTTTGTCTGGTTAACTGTTAAATAATTTAGTGCACGTTAAATAATTACCATGCGTAAACGTCACTGTCTGCTTAAAAAGCAGTGAGTCCGTAACTTGTTTGGAGGAATTTAAATGATTGAATTAGGAGATATGTCTTTGATAGACTTAACACCTGAAAGAATATACCATAAAGTTGTACCTAAAAAACATGCAATGCTCTTTATTTCCTAATTTTTAAATCTGGCATTAACAGTCTGTATCAGAATAATACGTTTTTATCTGTATTTTAATGTTACAAATACAGTTGTACATCCGATGTACTCTGTAAATCACGTTTAAGTGAATAGTGAGACTCAGAGTGAAGTACAACTAAGAGGACTATTTAAAACCGGTCACTACAACAGAAAAGTATGGGAGTCTTTCTGCTTTCGACTAAGAGCAGTTTTTATTTCAACCAACTTAAAGCACTTATTCATTTTATCTTGATAAAGATGTAAATTTTAAGACGTAAGTGATGATCTTTTATGCAGCATACCATACATACCCATATATGTAATTGTTAGTTTCGGTATCTTAGGGACTCAGCCCATTCTCCTTATTGTAATCGACGAACTAAGTAACTGAATATGGTCCGTTGTAATTTCACCTGTTTGAATTCAGAATTTTCGGAGTACTACACGTTCTTTAAACTTCACAAATACCTTTCAGTCTGACATTATGCGTATTGGGAAACGTTTCGGTACACTGAGAAACGTGAAGAACTTGTGGGATTTATTTGTACTATACAGGAGGTAGATCAACTAAGCATTACTAAATTAATTCAGTGAGTGAACAAAGTAAGCAACCACTAAGTAGGTGCATACCAGCTTATTGAACATAAATTATGGCGCTTGAATAGCAAGCCAAAATTTATTCAGTAAATACGTTTACACTTGTGTAATCTACTCCCAAAATACGCAAACTTCATTTAATTACGTAAGTAGCTTAAAAATCTTCTAATAATAATTAACTGATAAGACATTTTGAAAACAACACTTTACCGGTAATTTTTAGTAGTGATTGTAAACTTTTACTTAACAATATTTTCTCTTTAAATACAAGTATTCTTTTTTTACATTACAGAAAACAACCGGCTTCGTCACACCATTTATAATGCTTACGATTCACTTTCTGTTTTACCAATTAATTTTGAAAAATCTACAATTTTGACCGAATTCTGCTGAATTTGTTATTTTCTGTTGTTGATTTCTCATACATACGCAGTAAAATCATACTATACGCTCTCTGAAGTGTAACATGAATAACATTTGCACTCCATCACTGTTATCCTCTGCACCATCCACGTTTTAAAAACTTATTTCTTTAGTTCACTCATAGTTGTTTTATATTCTGTGTTATGTTCATCTATCTTATTTTGTGATATAGATATTCGTCTCATGTATCCCTGTTTGTATTAAAAAGTTTGCATTAATTTTCATTCCCTGTTGCGTTACAAAAGTATAATCAGTATATTAGAAGAGTAAAATACATCATCGTTTCGTAGATAAAGCTTTTCTAGTTGCAATCAGTTTTAATCTGATTAGGCGTCGAACAAATGTAGGTAGATAACTTAGAAATCATATCTGCTTTTGTTCAGTCAGTTCTTTAACCGCTTTTAATATAGATGGTTTATTTTCAGAGGTCAAATCGTTTTCATAAAGACCAAATAAGGACTAAGTAAGTATTCAGAAAACAAAAGGACTGAGTGGAGAAATACCTATTTTTTAATTAGATCCGTGAATATGGTTCTACTCAAACACATATATAACAGTTTTAATACGGCACATAAATCTATCAATCTAATGGTGATAAGCTTGTTAATAATAATTAGGCAATATCAGCCTGATAAGGAGATGATAATAAACCAGGAAAATCAATGCAACAGTTAAAAGGTAGAAATAATTGCAAAAATTAAACAAGTGGGTTACATAATACATAATTCTGGGAAAATAGGAGGAGTACTTAAGAAATAAACGTGTTCAAATTGATCATTTAATAAATGATTAAAGATGAAGCGGTCAAAATAATAAAATAGTTAGGACAATAATAACTTATAAATGCCTTAGGGGGAGGAGGAAACTGTCAGTTTTTTACATGTATGCAATGACGGCTGAAATAAAGAAAGTGGTTCCACGAATTTCTTCTAAACACGCATATTTAGCTTCTTCGGTCGGATTCTGATGGCGTCAACTGAATGTAGAAGATGAACTCATAAAACAAACCTAATATTGGTAGGAATGCGATAAACTTTTTTAAATGCTTTATTATTATCAAATTTCTGCTCACTGTCTACAAGGTATGCGAAAGCAGAGTTACAAACATATTTTGTTTGTCACTTGCTTAACTATGCAGACTGATGTTCAGAAATCTGACGATAAGCATGCCTAATTATACGTTCAGTGTAAATGACTCCACAGGAGCAATAAAAATGATAAATGCACATAAAGGAGAAGTGGGTATCTGGTAAGCGTTTGACAGGCTAGAGACAGTATTTTCAGTTGTACATGCTATGTATAAAGAAGAGTATCAGTGCACTTGATACTTACAGTTTTGTTTGTTTATGACTGACCTATGTTTGGATCAAAATTAAAAGAAATTATCCTGCTAAGTAACACATTCCAAAAAATGACTGAACTCTGATAAATCACGCTTAATTGCGTTACAATTCGAATTTTTTCGGGGAAAAGAAATAACTGTCTAACTGATTGCTTTCTAGTATTCCAGATTATTGAGTTACCTCAAAGGACACATATACTTTGTATTTCTATGATACTGAATAGACTACACTGGATACTTCGTCTCCATGATTCTCACTAAACACTCACTATAACTAGAACATAGCTTGACAAACTACCGCAATCTGAGATAAACTTTTCAGAATTTGTTTAAGATAGCAATGATATGCAATTATGCATGACTTAAGGAGGCCTTATTTAACCCTCCACATATATTACGTGCTAATGGTACTCAGCTGTAACTTAAAACTTATTTCCAACCGTTTTTTGTGTGTGTAAGTCTTGTCAACTATGTAGTTTTCCAGTTAAATCATCTCAAAAGACATGCTACTTTAAAATAATTTCCCGAACACCTTATACACCTATCAGCGTGAGCTCAACTACTTTTAACGCGTTATATAAGTAAACTTAATCCCTCAGTGTTTTCTAATAATACTAATGAAGAAAATTTCGAAATAGTTTGTACTTAACTGCCATCTTCACATTTCGTCTCACTGTATGAAAGACTTGTAAGCTTGAAATAAATGCCATATAACCAAATACTTTATCATATGCACACAATTGGTTTACTTACGCTATCTTGTTTTATTTTGTCAGTTCCACGCTAAAGGTTCCCTATTAAGTCAGAAAAAGTGTGCGCAGAAATAAATATATAAGCTGCAACATCATTACGTTTTATAGACGTTATTAATGAATTTTTAAAAGCTAAAAGTGCTATTTTTCCAACATGAGGAACTATTCTCGTGACAAAGAGACCTTGTAAAAGCTTGAAAGCTCTTTCAGTAAATATTCCGGAGGAAAGTGATAGCGATAGCAATTTGTTTATAGTAAATACTTTATTCGCATCTGAGGGAAATGAATCAGAACGTCAGGGTCAAGATACTAATGCAAATAAGAATTAGCCAGATTATATATCCAGTTATCGCTAATGCACAACTTAATATTTTCCGTAAAAATGGTTTCTATTGCAGGAGAACAAATCAAAAGGTTGGGGAAGATATTTCTATTTGGAAGTAGTTTTTGACAAGTTGATTCTATGGAAAACGTGAAAGTTAGGTGGAATGGAATAGGGAATTGTAATTCCATCGACGTCTATAAAATTTACAGGTTTTCTTCACAATTATATTTAATTTTACAGCAAAGAAACCCAGCATAGGAGGAAATAACCCAGAGTGATGGAAGAATTTAAACACAACTAGTTTATAGTTTATCCAAATTTTGTTCTACATGCTATATGCTGCAAGTATACATATTGGTGTTTTACCTTTCCGATCTGGCTTTGGCATCCTCATCTGTGCAGCTTGCGGCTAAAACGATACTTCTTAGATAAGTAAAAGAAGTGACCTCCTTCAAATTTATCCCGTTGATAGTGATCCGTGCTCGTTCTTATTGGCGGTTAGGTAACCCTTTCACCTGTCTCCTCTATGTTAACTCCCTAAAATCACACATAAAGGTAGAGAAAAAAGTGCGGTGAAACTACAATGAATGAATGGAAGAGTAGCCATATGAAAAGTAATGAAGTTTTAGTGAATTTGTAAGCTAGAAAGATTTTGAGCCATGTCACCCAAAGCTTCCAACCCCCGTTTCGCAGTATGTCAAAGGCAGCAACTAGGCAATATCTACCTGCTTAAATGGTTAAAAATAATAAATAAAGACACTGTCGGCAGTGTTTGAGCGGGACCATGCTTAACTCTTTTCCAAGCTAATCGTATTTCAAGCGATATTCCTGTTAATCGCGATAGATAGATAGACTGTATGATAAACAGCCAATCAATATTATGTGACCTTTTTAGTCGCGATTATTGGTCGATTTATTGTAACTCTCACCACGTGATGACCTTGAATGTTCTTTTTTGTCTGTCACTTTACTTGTATATACATGTAATTAATTGACTGTTCATTTTGTCCGTACCTTCAATACTGTTCGGTACGTTTTTGTCCTATTTTTGTAATGACAATGGATTTGTACATTTTTCTTGGTGTAATTGTATGGTTTATTTTATGTTTTAGAAACAGATAAAGTTAAAGTCAAGTTATTCTGTTTTAACTATTGCTAAGCCCAGACTCTGTGTTGTCAGTATTGAGGGAGGACTAAATCTGTAGGATAAAAATAATCCTACAAAGTTTCGAACAGTATTACAGACGAAAGTTTCGAATAGTATGGCAGACGAAAGTTATGAAACTATGCCGTCGTTAACTCCACAATTAGGAAAGAGTAATGAAGCTGCTTTCCTTGGAAGCAACGAGTATGAATCACGCTATATGGTAGAATTGGAGCTAGCGAAATTGCGCATAGTCCAAAAGGAGAAAGAAATGGAATTAGAAAGATTACGACAAGGTAGACGCGAATGTTCTTGTCACAATAAATCGCCTTACAAACCTTCTACTTCTCATAAAGTCTCTGTATCTCCTAATGATGAGTCCGCCAGAACCATATCTAAGTTTCTGGACATGCTTAAAGCATATCAATATTTTAAGTGGAATGCCGATGAACTTGAGTGTTGGATCAATGAAAAACTGCAAACATATACAAATGAGGATTTTAAAGAACTCAGTAATCTTCAGCTGAAAAAACAGAAACATCAAGAGTTTGAGTTCGAAGTAACAGTTCATGCTGAAACACTCTCAGCTCTAGATTCTACGGGAGAAGAAATGATTGGTCAGGGGTACTACGCAACAGATATTATCAAAAACCGTCTTGATGAATTGCATGCCCTGTGGGAAAGGCTTATGGCTATCTTCAGAGAGAAATCCAGTGTCATTAACCTAAAGCTTAAATTTGTCCAGTTTTTACGCCAAGTTGACGAAATACTTTTCTGGATACGCGAAAACGAAACTTACGTAACATCAGAGGATTTAGGTCAAGACTTGGAAGATGTTGAGACACTTCAAAAAGGGTTTAATGAGTTTACAAAAGATCTCGAGAATCAAGAAAGTCGTGTCGAAGACATCTACCGGAAGGCAGATGAACTTCTAAAAGAGAAATTTCCTGAGGATGCCCTAGTCATAGAAAAGTTCAGACAGGTCCGCGAAGCTCTAGAACGTCTGAAGGATCTGGTTAGAAAACGACAAGAAAAGCTCCTGGAAGCCTATGAGATACAGTGCTTCTTTAGAGACACAGATAAAGCTATATCGTGGGTGAATGAAAAGTCTATTCCCTTATCCATTGAGGACTGTGGTCGTGATCTTGCCTCAGTCCAAGCCTTACAAAGGAAGCACGAAGCATTAGAAAGGGATTTGACTGCCCCAGATGAAAAGATTGTTCGACTTGGAGATGAGGCTAAGGCGCTTGCACAGAAGCATCCTGATTCGCAAGACACTATACAAGGCAAGTATGACGAATTAATTACTGCATGGGATAAGCTGAAAAGTCAAGCTGTAGATAGGAGAGGTAAACTGGAAGAGTCATTCAAGATGCATCGCTTTTCGGCTGACTGGAGAGACTTGAGTATCTGGATGAATGACATGAAGACGTTAATGTTGGCGGATGATT